TGACTATATAGACCTCTTTCTCTCTCTGTTCCCAGTTGAAAGATTCTCTTGGGTACTATCTCATGTTAGAAAGCGATGATCACATGATTTTACGGAAACAACCATCTGCTGTCAGTATAGCAAATATAAAGCAACCTGTCGGTAAGTACACCATACAGTGTGCACCGATGGTTGTTATTTTCGAAGCGCTTCGATAAAATAATTGCCTTGTTGAACAGAGAATTAAAGATCGATCTGTGGGATGTGGATGGATGTCCGAGTTAGAGAGTCAGACGATCACTGTTCGGAGATTAAATCAAGTATAACAAACTTTTATAATGGTTCGTCTCATGCAGAAGGGTCTGAAGGAACAGATAGCCATGTACTGACATTCTAACATAACTCTGGTATGCGCAATTCCATACTCCCGTGTGGGTATATTGACACTCAGTGTCTCTATATCCAGATAATGGGTGAATCTCACTTTGCTGTCTAGTTCAAACCGAGGCTCATTATTCATTGAAAATGTTCCGTTGAGAGATGCTTCACGAACAAAAATACTCACTACTGCTATTTTCTGTTTCGATTATCGTGGCTATGTTGTACTTTCTTTGTTTCCTGCATTGCTGAGAAACACCACAAAGCCCTTGTTATTTTGTATGCTGTTCCCAAGTAATGGCCTTCGTCACACATGATCAAGCGGGAGCATCAGGGGAATATGTCATTCGGAATTGGATGAGCCTGTTCGGACGCATGTATTTGTTTCTGCTGATACTGAGCTTTGACTGGAGACACTTTGTCTTCCCGATTCTCAGTTGAGAAAAGGCCAAAGCAGGGTCTTCAAGGCTCTTAATATCGTGTTTGAGGATCAAACGTTCTGTTCAGTCTCTTGGGTGTATCCATCGCTGTCTGTCTTTTTTTTTCATCTTGAAGATATAGTAATGCCTGGAACTTGAAGTTTGCTGAGTTCAGTGATTTATTGATCCGATAAATTTCGAGGCACAATGACCAGCACAAGCGTAAGGTCAGGATTTGTCGCGTCTCTATGATAGTGCTTTGTCGTGAGACGTTCCGGTTCAACTATTGTCCTAAGGGCCAGCTTTGAAGCCCAATACCACCCTCTTCTAAAACGCCACTGCAAGAACAAAACCCATCGCCTCCCATGTCTTTCCAAGACCAATGGAGTAGGCGAATATCACTTCCAAAGCCATTTACTGTCCAAGTCATACAGCGACGGAACATGGCGACGGGCTGCCAGAATCGCAAGTCCCTATTCCAGATATCCCGGAGGGTTTTCGACAAGCTTCATCATCGTTTGCATGGGCATTTCTTCGTCTCATCATCAAATTAGGGTTTGAATTTATCGAGGTATGTTCACCATTGCTGCGAGCATTAGAAGATGTATATGGGCGCCTTCCGAGTTGCCAAATGTCTTGATAAACTCCTGGGCCTCGGACCGAGTGTTAATATCATCTTGAGTAGGACATGTTTTTGACACGGGGCCGGCATGAACTTGATGCATGGGATCTTCCGGGGATAAGATAACAACAGCTGCAGATATGGCAGCAGTGCAGGCGGTATAAGAAAAGTTATAGTCCGGTTCTTCACCATGAATGACATCCGCGGTCCATTTGAGCATCTTGGAGATATGGCAGTATATATTGAAGGTTACTTTACCGCGACTTGTTCCCTTTTGTTCCCGGCCGCTTCGCAGGCTTCCCTCTAAACTTCTTAGTTTTTTCGATACATGGCTCGATTTGCTGTCGTGCTTGTCAACAAACAATCCTGCCTGATATCAGGGTTATTGTTTAATTGCCAGACCATAGAGACATTCTTGTATAGTCAAGGACAATGACATTTTGCCCCGCCACTCTACTTTGTATTCGTGAGAGTTAAATCAATCGTCCCGTAGCTCCAGGCACAGCGATACAGAACTTCCGAGTACCCTTAAGTTAGGGCACACTAGACTGGCGCTTGACGTCTTGAAACGCTGGCGACCTTTACCAACACCATCACTGTCTTGCATGTAGTCAGGGAAGTATATCAATACCTCTTCGATTAAGAGGAGTATAGATCCCGCTCCATGTTTCTCTTCTGGTAGAGAGGGGCATGAACATGTGTCTGACGTCGTAAAAGGGTAAAAAGCCAGCCTTCACCAGGTCTTCCAGTCTTTCTGACTCTTTAGTCGGCGGTTGTGATAATGTGTAATTCGTTTACGGTTCGGGCCTTCTATGAGACTGACGTCCAGCAACGTACGAAGCCTTTTGCTGTTTGAATTGGTTAACAAAAGTCTTCAGAATGATGGCAAGACCAAATTGGTGGAGGGTCTTTTGGCAGAGAAGACAGTCACATAGCAGAAAAGGAGAAGCATTTACGAAATGCTGTACGGGGATAGAATGGTAGGCTGCTCGAAGAAGAGAATTAGAAGTTCAAGAGAGGACATCGTTATCCACCTGCGATCTCTCGAGCTCTGCTAAGGAGGGCTTGAGACACAGGGCGACGAGGCGGACTCTAGCGATGATGATATGTCTCCACGGCAGTGTCCGCGAGGGAGAGATGCTCACCAGCTGACAGGAGCGGTGCACTGAGGAACAATGAGCACTCGTGAATTAGTTATGGCGCATATATTCTGCCACCCGGGGTTTCAACAGCAACACCTAGGTCTATCGGCTCTCGTGGCGAATCGGTTGCTGGAAGTATTCTTTAGTGATATCCAGGGAGATGAACATGTTTGCTGGGGTAGAGAGTACAAATCTAGCAATTCCTGCATTTGTTTGACCAGAACATACCCAAATTCCACCAGATCTCTAAGGATTTATCATAATTTTGCTTTTCAGGGAATCTATGAGCTGATTCCATCGGTACTCCTGCTTTTGTGACTGGTCTTTGGGAGATATTAAAACTACCTCTTTTTCTTGGTGCTAGGGATAGATTATCCCAATTTGATGGTTTGCGCCTAGTATGTCAAACCTAATGGAATTCGCATCACGGTGGGTTGGGATATATTTCAAGGCGCTTCGCCATGTTGTTTGGATAGAACCACAGTCTATATTTGCTTCTTCTCGGGTAAGTTTCTCATGCAAATTGAATAGATCTTGGTATAGTTGCGGATGCGTATCAATCAAAGATCTTCGCATGTATCAGTATTGCTCGAAACAGTGTTCGAGTCGCTGGCCTGTAGAGACGGACCATTCTATCCATCAAATTGCACCAGTAAAGCCAGGGAAGGCCCAGTCCGGGGTTCTTTTGTACCTGCAGTCCAGACAATGTCCTTTAACGTTTCCAGACTTCCAAAGGTTCTCCGTAAGCATCATTCAATGCTGTAGATACTGAGTGCGTGTGCTGCGACTGGACCAATCTGTGAGAGCATCTCGGAAGTTCCAAACCCTTGACTTTAAGGACCCAGCGGTGCTTGATTATAGGATTAGCAGAATCACCGATATGCTGGGAAATCAAGGGATTTTCGCTCCCTAATTTGATAATTGCCATCTTCGCCAAACCATTAAGTCAGCTGGATCGCCCAGTTGTTGTCGTATTCTGCAAATATTAGGTAGATTTCGTGGCGTTTAGTAATAATGCGCCATGTCCATATCAATAGATGTCATATCTCCACTCAAAAGAAGGTCCTTACTCATATTTCTGTCCCATCGAGGCCTACACACAACTTCCGCAACTTCTTGCATCTGGACAGTTGGAGTATGCCTTTATCCAATCTTATGGCCGAGAATCGCACAGAGATGTCTCCTGTGATTTTCCATCTGTTACCGCTAGATGACTCTGTCTTTACCCCAAAATGCTGCTTATCTGTGTCCATGTCGATAGTGAATCCTTACCCGCGCGCGGCATCGCAACAAATACGATCGTTTTTTCAATATCAAGATGACTTCGGGGATCTGACATTGTATCTCCAGGGTGGATCAATCTCATCAAGGGCTTGATATCTTCCCAGCCATGGATCATCTGATGTTTCTCTCTCTGAGTGAACAGAGAGCAAGGATATCAGACGCAGCTGTAAAGCCTGTTTCGTGATGATCGCACTCGAAGATGGCCAAGTGGTAATTATCAGTGCTTATAATCTGGTCTTACGTACTGCATGTCCAGAAAGTGTCGTCATTCAGTATTCTTAGCCCCGGTTTAGTAAAATTTGTTGGATGAATATTAGAAAGAATCTATCTTGGGTATGTCGTTATATCCATATTTCAGTTAGGAGTCGTCGCTCGCGGACTTGTGAATAACGGAACCATAACCAGAGCAGGGTAAGATGGAAGAGCTTTGTTGATCCAAGCAATATAATTTGTATTTTGGAAGGGCACCAGGTATATCTCTTGTTGGATGGGTATCGAGATGCGGTGTCGAGTATTCGTCATCTTTGTGAAGAAGATATAATTAGTAGAATAGTAGATGTAACGATACTATCGATCGGAGGAATGTAAGCTAGATATAACCATGTCAGGCTGTGGGAGATATGCGGTCATTGCCGAGTGGGATTTTGGTGCAGTGGGATAGTTGAAGATATGACTGGAGTGTAGACAGAGGAGGAAAGAGGATAGATAGATGAGTGGAGGAAGGGTATTTATGGTCTTGGGATTGTAATGAATAGGGCAATTCAATTCGGTATTTAATTGGGAACTGTGAATTTCACTGCATTCGTCTATGTGGTGTATATTGGAATTCACGAGATGTAGTCACCAGGGGGATATTCAATAGTTAGTACAAGGAGTCTTACTTCATAGACAATGGTCGGGTCTGCTGTCATCTCGGAGATCAGACACTATTTGCTCTGTAATAGTGAAAGACATCTACATGATTGGCAACTATTGGAAACAGGGCATGGAAAGATAGAATGAAATTAATATCGTAGCTATTTGATGTAGTCATCGCATAAGGCCATTAAATGGTTCACAAGTCATGTAGTGGCATCTGACATCACATAATAAGAAAAATCGAAATCATGACAATTTAATATACACGTCGAAAGAAAGATATCTATCCAAGAAATTAGTCGGCACGAGGTAAACTGCCTAGGTGGTGCCGGTCTTGGAGGGATAGAACCTGGGTTTGTTAGTATAGCATCAATCATATCATAGCAGGAACTTACCAAGCAGCCACGGCGATGATGAGGTACATCATCATCAGTAACACCCCCTCCAGCCAATGGGACTTTCCATCGGCGATAAGGTAGTTGACCAAAAGAACAGCCACGAAAAGAAGGATGACCTGGAAAGCATCAAAGTACAAAGTCATGTCATCCTTGCCCATTCCCCATCCAATCACAATGATCAATGGCAGCACCAACAGCGCAATCTGCATGCTGGATCCAACGGCCACACCAATGGCCAGATCCATCTTGTCCTTGCATGCGACAGTCACTGCCGTTGCGTGCTCAGCTGCATTGCCCACAATGGGCAGAAGGATCAATCCGACAAAGGTCTCCGAAATGTGGCCTTGAGTAGTGAGGGCATCGATCGAATCAACCTAAAGAATTAGCCACGTCGGTAGTATGGAAGAGTCTGGTCATACCATGAACTCGGCGCAGAGAGCAACAAAAACCGTGGAGATGACGAGCGTCAACACAGCAACCATGACACTCAACTGGGGCTCTTCCGCATCCTCCGGCTCCTGTAACTCGACCTTCTGCGCGTATTCGCCCGCCATAGAGGCCGACATCTTGCCGATCTGCGCGATGCCACGACTGGCGTCGCCCTCATTCACCTTCTGTCGTCTCTTTTCCACCTTGGGGCTGGGGGCGTTGTAAATCTCCGTGTGCGACTTTAGCTGGAAAAACAGATAGCATCCGTACACAACCAGCAGAATGACACTGGTGCCTGCGATTGTGAGCTTCGTATGTTACTAATTACTTCTGGCGTGCTTACCTCGTGATAAAGGAGCGACTCCCGCATCGCCAGCTGGAACTGTTAGCTGCGTCATACAAATATGCCTGGAGACTTACCATCAGACCAAGCGTGGAAGGCCGTGGGAATAATCAGACTTCCCACTGCCAATGCCAACAAACTGGCCGCTGTCTGAGCGACAACGGGGTTGAAATGCTGCTCCAGACGGTCGACACCTCCGAAGAAGAAGCACATGCCCATGACCAAAAGCAGATTGGAAAGCATACTTCCGATCAAGGACGTTTGGACGATGGTCACTTCGTCGGCGACCAATGCGATGATCGCAACAATGAGTTCGACAGCGTTACTGCAGAAGATTAGACGAGAATCCCAGAAAAGACGGAAAAACATACCCAAACGTTGCATTGAGCAGACCACCGATCGTCTCGCCCGTGCTGCAAATTGTTAGAATGGTCCAGCCAACAGCAAAGGTCCTCATACCGCATGGCAATCTCCTCTGTCGCGTAACTCAGCATGGCCGCAAGGGGACTATTCACATTAGCAGCGAACGCCAGGGAAGAAACTAGAGACATACATGATCGCGATGAAATTCACCACAAAGACAGCCACTGGGCTAACGTTGACATAATTCAAAGCAACTATCACCAGTCAGTCAGGTTCCAATAAATTCGTCCGAATACTCACTTCCAACAGGTGCGGCGACGAGCAAGATGTTGATCCAGGAATTGAAGATCGTGGCTTTCAATTGCCCCATCACCGTGAACTTCCGCTTCTCAGCGACTGGCTTGTCCATGTCACTCGTCATCCGATCATCCTCCGGGTTAAGCGTATTGCTCATGAAGGTCCTCCTCTTCCGCGGGCCCTGCATGTCTCCCGGCTCATCCTGGAGCGGAACATTGATGGGAACTTGACTGTGCATGGACGGATTGGTGCCTACTCTGTCGCCGTTCTCCGATCGCGCCACCATATCGGTGCCCGCCGACTGGGGAGGGAAGCTGTCTGCATGCTCTGGACCAACAAGTCCATCGGTCATGTCCCTCCGTCGCCGGCGCTCCTCGGACAGGCGCATGTCTCCCTCGGACATTATCGGAGTCAATCGGTTCTCCAGCTGAATGGAATTGGTGCGTCGCGGCTGTCTGCGGAACTTCTTAAAGGGGTTATGAGAGGAAGGTTCGCCTTCCTGGTCATACCAGGCCAGCTTTCTGGCATGTCGTTTGTAGATATCTGATGCCAAGACACCAATTAGCGACTGTCGCGGACCCAAAAAGGGGGTACATACGCATGTTTCGATTTGTTTTGTCAATGAGTACCAACAAAAGAGAGTATCTGCTTCGGTGGTATATGTACTGGGATGGTTAGGCACCAGGTCAGCGATGATATAGGCAGGACAATTTTAGAACCAGGCAATCGACTGTGCCGCGTTGGGAGGCACATGAGCGTCCCAACCGCGCGGCACCAGCTGTCATCCTCGATCGGTCCAATGAGCAAGACAAGAGATGAATAAACTCACTGACGTGTAGAGCTTACTGATCGATAGCAGCGAGTTGAAGCCTCACCGTGTGGCTGAAGTGGATTCGCGAATACTCCGCCTCAGTGGCTACCAAAACGGACAACCTGGAGGGGTTCGGCCTCAACGAAAGTGCAGAATGGGTCCGATGATGATAAGATCAGCTGCAAAGGAAGGAACACGAGTAGAAGCAGCAGAGGCAGCAGAAGCACTCAGGAGTGGAATGATATAGGAAGGCCGCCACTTGGTGACCGCGCAATGACAGCAATAACGAGCGACAAAAACCAGAAAGGAAATGCGAGATACCTCCGCCGGCCAGGACACTGTCACCCACAATGGCCGAGCATGAAAGGAGAGTGTCGCGTCCAGTTCCAGGTTGATTGTCAACACATCTCATTATTCGGTTTGGGTTGCTGCAGCATTAACACAGCCACACTACTCCCGCTAGTCTCCGCTGCGAGCACGACGGCCATTGGCTGGCAGGACCAGATCGATAAAATGATCCCCCCAACTTCCCCATCGACCGCAGAGAAATGCCGTAAGCTCAGTGGCTGACAGGCCGGTGGGGAGGATTTGACTTCTGTGATTCAAGCCCCTGGCGCTTCCCAGACAGAGAATTGTCAATGGGAAAAAGATGAATGCCGACTACGGAACGCCAAGCCTCAGATTGCCTTCGACTAACGAAGTTTGGCCTCGCTTTTCGCCAGCGGAGTGCACAATCCATCATCATGATGTCTGGGCTCTTGGCTGTCCCAGGGGATCAGACCGTGAAGAAATTTCACTCCTGGAAATCGGGAATCCCCTAGAATCCCTGGGTTCTCTTCCAGCATGTTGCACGCCTGTCCCGGCTGTCAGGTAGGAGTTTTATATTGGGCAGCACTATGGCTATCACAGATGATGCGGAAAGTCTCTTTGACATCAACCACCACAATGAATGGCCCCATGAGATGGCCTGTTGGCTGGTGTGTCGTCATCAAAAAGTCAAACTCCGACGAAGCATTCCAGCCCCTGGCTTGTTTCGCGTCGCCCCATGTGGTGGCCTATGATTGGTCGACCCCAACTCTGTGCTTATATAAGCGGATGTCTTGTTTAGCCACAGGTGTGGCTTGTTAAGTTGACTGTGCCACATAGTTGAGCCACATGTATAAGCCACTGGCTTCCACAGCCACAAGGGTTCAGCACGGCTCTTCCAGGCCGTTGAGACTACTCCGTACTCCGTAAGCATCAGACATGATGTCGTCAGTCTGATTCAATATCACCGTTCGATTGGGATCCATATTCCACCGCCGAGGTGGGCTTCCACCGCTTTGAAGTTTTGCAGATGTTGTGCCACCAACTGACATTCTGACCAACCGTTTACCCGCACCTCGACGATCGAACAATGCAACTCCAACCCAAGCAGGAGAACAAGAAACAAAGGATCGGTGCTACGAAGGATGCCGTGCAGTTGTAAACGCTCCCGCGGCGAGGTGAGGCACCGGCGGTTGAAGAGGCAACGATTCTAGCCATCCGCCAAACCGCCAGGTCGCACCGCACGACAAAGGCTGTCTGGTTGCGATTGTGGCGCCTACAAGCTCAACAGCGCAAGCCATTATTATGACGTCGGTCGGTGGACAACCGGTTGGACCGGTGAGACTGTACTCCATACTCCGTGCTTTATACGGAGTACTGACAGTGGGGTGATCCCTTGCTTTGAGGGGGCTGGAGGGCTGAGATGGCTGCGATGATGACAACGCTGGCAGATGCGTGGTCAGATTACTCTGTAGGAGGACGAGCAAAAAGGAGAGGAGAGGACAAGCGGCCAAAGTCAGTGGTTGGGCTATTGATAGACTAGGAGGCCGCTCGATGGATGATCTTTCAACGCTTGGTATCTATCCCGTGTCTTGTTTCGACAGCCGATCACAGCTGGCTTCCCGTTCTTTGTGCGGTCGGTCATCTTTGTCTCCTGAGTTTGCGGCATTTCCGGTCATTTCCGGTCTGAATGCTCTACTCGGAATTGTAGGGGCACAGAGTCAGACATCTGCTTCATGGGGTGGGAGACTATCGAGGAATGTCTGGGATGACGGAAGTATATAAAACAAGCGGCCGGCGTAAACAAGCATTTCATCAATGTCAAACACTATAAATAAACACGGCTGATACGGAAGAATGATGAAGAGGGATGTAGCATCACAACACAACATGAAGCAATCATAACAATGATTGAATAATAGAAATCCCCATTGGGGGTCGTGTTTCATTCATGGGGATGGTGTGGAGTGATTTGTTACCGCAAAGTTACCGGGCCTTACCATGGTTTACACTTCCCGGGCCCTTGGGCAGACCCTGAGACCCTGCACAGGGTCCGAGGGTCTCTTCCGCGTATTACACTCTGGTACGCCGTACGGTCAATTACCGCCCAGCAGGTTGCGCTCTTGGCATCCTTGGCGGAGGCCCGCTGGATCCGGCAGGCTGCTTTTCATTCGTTACTTATTGCACGTTGTTTGCCATTGGGGATGAATCAGGGATGAAGGGAGGCCTGAGAGTAGAGTAGAGTGTTGGAACTGGAAAAGACGTACTGAGAACCAACAAAGGTAAATCAAGGGCATGCTTCCGGATGCATCGACCCTGGGATGCGTGCATCGAGTGAGCCGTCCATGAGAATCGCAATAAACAGACGCCCCACCCCTCCGACCGGAAGCGCCTGTGAGAGGTCGAGGGCCAGCGGCAGGGACGGAAATGGCGATGGATGAGCCAGGGAGTTGCCCTGTTGGTCCGGGTCAGGAACAAGGAACCCGGCTCGGCGTGAGTCTGGACCTGTTACAGTTCTGTAATACATTCGTATCGAAAGAAACGCCAGGGTCCTGGGCCAATCATCCCGCAGGGTCCTGGGGCAAGTTACCCTGTTTCAGCCCAGCGCCATACGCCATACCGCCATACTTACGATACCAGCTTTCCTCTGTCCCTCTCCCATTGTTTGCCGCGGGATGGTTCCATGCACGCACGATGCTGCCCGGAAGAAAGGCTTGTCTGTTGACCAAGACGATCGGTGACACTGCCACATGGGCGTTGGCCAAATAAGAGTAGGACCAAGACGAAAGGCAGTTGGGACTTGGGAGATGGTGGATGGAGGGCCGCCCCATGGTCATACAATGTACCATCCACCCTGGAGATCAACAGGGAGCGGCACTCCAATCACGGCGGAACCTGCTATTATTACGGCGGAGGCGTCGTAATCGGCCCTTGATCCAGCCGAGTGACCAGCAGGGGCCGGGGCCACTCAGGCCGGCTCTCTCCTGCTCTCTTCCCCCCCCCCCCCCGTCATTCGCCTCCGGTCAAGTACCTCGCCTCCCCTCGTCGGGCCTCTTCTTCTTCTTCTTCCTCCCTCTTTCTCCTCTCTCGTCATCTCTTTCTTTCTTTCCTTCCCAGCCACTTTTCTCCCCCCCAACCACCCAACTATATCTCGACGGCCCAGTGTGTCGGCCGTCAGTCACTCGTTGTATACTTCTAGACTCTCTTCCATCTCCTTGGCTATCGATTCTCCTGCGGGCAGTTGATATCAACGAGACTACTTATTAGAACCAACTACTTCACCACATTCAACTCTCGTTACACAACCATCTCACATCATGAAGCTTTCCGCTACTACCCTGGCCGGGGCCTCGCTCCTGCTGGGCCGCGCCATTGCCGCCGATCTGCCCGCCATCGAGGCCAAGGTACGTTCAGCATCCTGCAGTGACCCAAGTTCGCTATCTGACTGGGCTGGTTGGCAATAGAGCAACAAGTTCTTCTACTCCAACAACGGCACCCAATTGTAAGTTATATCGATCTGCATCCTGTCTCAGCAACCGACTGACCGTTCTAGTTTCATCCGTGGTGTTGCCTATCAGCGTATGTAGCTCAGCAGTTGATGCCATCGACACAGCTAACCCTTGAGCAGAGGACTACACTGCCACCAACGGCTCCTCTTCGACCACCACGGACTACACTGATCCCCTGGCCGATGCCACCACCTGCAAGCGGGACATCCCCTACCTTCAGCAACTGCGCACCAACGTGATCCGTACCTACGCTGTGGACCCGACCAAGGACCACACCGAGTGTATGCAGGCGCTGCAGGATGCGGGCATCTACCTCATCACCGATCTGTCGACCCCCTCGACCTCCATCAACCGGGACGACCCCCAATGGAACACTGAACTGTACGACCGTTACACCAGCGTTATCGATGCCTTTGCCAACTACACCAACGTCATCGGTTTCTTCGCGGGTAACGAGGTCGCCAACAGCCAGAACAACACCAACTCCATTGCCTACGTCAAGGCCGCCGTGCGCGACATGAAGGCCTACATCAAGGCTAAGAACTACCGTACTTCCCTGGGTGTCGGTTATGCCACCGACGATGACTCCACCATCCGTGACGACCTGAAGAGCTACCTTGCCTGCAGCGACTCGGCCGACAGCATCGACTTCTTCGGTTACAATATCTACGAGTGGTGCGGTGACTCTTCCTTCAAGACCTCTGGCTACCAGGCTCGTACCGAGGAGTTCAAGGACTACCCCGTGCCCGCGTTCTTCTCCGAGTATGGCTGCAACAACCCCTCTCCCCGTACCTTCACCGATGTCCCCGTCCTCTTCGGTGACCAGATGAACGACGTCTGGAGCGGCGGTATCGTCTACATGTACTTCCAGGAGGACAACGACTACGGCTTGGTTTCGGTGGACGGCACAAGCGTCAGCACCCTCAAGGACTTCTCCAACCTGTCTTCCCAGATGCAGAAGGTCACCGCCACCGGTGTGAACAGCAACAGCTGGTCCGCCAGCAACACCGCCACCCCCACGTGCCCCAGTGTCGGCTCCGCCTGGGAGGCCAGCAGCACCCTGCCCCCGTCCCCCAACGAGGAGCTCTGCAGCTGCATGGAGGCTTCTCTGTCCTGCGTGGTCAAGGACTCGGTCAAGGAGAGCAAGTACGGCGACCTGTTTGACTACATTTGCGCCAAGGGTGACTACTGCGATGGCATGTCGAGCAACTCCACCACCGGCTCCTACGGCTCGTACAGTGTGTGCTCCACCAAGCAGCAGCTCAGCTTCGTCATGAACCAGTACTACGAGAAGCAGAGCGCCAAGGCCAGCGCCTGTGACTTCAGCGGTGACGGCACTACCACCTCGTCCAGCGCTGCCACTGGTACTTGCTCTGCTCTGCTCAAGGAGGCCGGTACCGCGGGCACTGGCAGCGTGACCTCTTCCCCTACTGGTGGCTCGGTTGCCAGCGCCAGCTCTAGCTCCTCTCAGGGTGCTGCTGCTGGCGTTGCTGGCCCTAGTGCCGTCCGGGTTGGCAACTGGCAGCTGGGTGCGTACGCCGTGACCGCCGTTGGCGCTGCTCTTGGCATGATCCTGCTGTAAGGACTTGGCGTGGAGAGATGGAGGGATTGGATTGTTAGCCGTACATAATTGAATCCGTTCTACTTTGTGATGATTACTCCGAGTAGCATTTAATTGCACATATCTTTCTTTTCTATCGTCATGTCGTGTCCCGTGTAGGCTATAAATATCTCGTACCTGTCAACTACTACTCCGAACACGCGAGCAATTCCCCGAAGTGCAGGCAGGCCAGGTCAGTTGCGCGTCGGCGGGCGAACCCGAGGTCGGCGCAGGACCCCGGCGTGGCCGAGCGAGCAGTCGGCCACACAACCGGCAAGCCGAGGGTCGGAAACAAGTCCGCCAGCTATAAGATAGATAAGACGCCATGGAAATGGATCCCCTCTCAGTCATTCAGATTCACTTTGACATCGACAATGAAGGGACCCATGCCGGCCATGGCGCCCGATCTCGAATCCCAGCCCGCGCCTGAGGCCGCCACGGCACCGGCCAGCGAGAAAACCCTGCCTACGTCAGAAAAAACATCCGGAAAATCGTCAGCAATCACCAATGGATACGACCTTCCCTTCTGGCGCAAATCCATCATCCTGTTCATCGTGTCATGGATGACCCTGGCTGTGACCTTCAACAGCACGTCGCTGCTGCCCGCCACGCCCGAGATCGCAACGCAGTTCGACACCACCGAGGAGATCCTCAATGTCACCAACGCCGGCGTGTTACTGGCCATGGGCTTCTCGTCGCTGATCTGGGGCCCTATGGGACAGTTAATTGGACGACGGATGGCGTATAATATTGCGATTCTGGTGCTATGCGGCTGCTCGGCGGGCACGGCCGCGGCGACGAATATGCAGATGTTTACGGCGTTTCGGATCCTGGGTGGATTGACGGGGACGTCATTTATGGTGATGGGGCAGACTATCCTAGCGGATATCTTTGAGCCGGTATCCCCCCATATCTCCCATGATATCGTGTGTTGGGTGTGTATTGATGAGAGTAGGTGGTTCGGGGCACGGCCGTGGGTTTCTTCATGACGGGCACCGTCACGGGACCGGCTATTGGTAACCCTCTCTCTCTCTCTTTCCCTCTCTTATACTCCAACAAATGACACAATACTGATCAAGATAGGCCCCTGTATCGGTGGAATCATCGTCACCTGGGCCAGCTGGCGCAACATTTTCTGGGTGCAAGTCGCCATGACCGGTTTCGGCCTGATCCTGTCCTTTCTCTTCGTGCCTGAGATTCCGTCGGCCGATACCAAGATCACTTCGACTGCCACCGAAAAACCCTACTCACGAACCACCAAGACCCTCCACATCATCTCCGCATTCAATCCCACCCGTATCTTCCGTCTCTGGGTGTACCCTAATATCTTCCTTGCTGTATGCCACTTACTCCCCTGACCATACCCCCCCAACCATCCCCATCTCAACTCTATACTCCCTGACCCTACCCTACACATCCACACAAATCATACTAATGCTAAACAAAGGACCTAACCTGCGGCCTCCTCTCCACCTTCCAATACGGCCTCCTCACCTCCGCCCGCTCCATCTTCAACCCCCGCTTCCACCTAACCACCGCCCTCGTCTCCGGCCTCTTCTTCCTCTCCCCCGGCGCCGGCTTCCTCGTCGGTTCCATCCTCGGTGGCCGGCTCTCCGACCGCATGGTCAAGAAATGGATCGTCAAGCGAAACGGCGTCCGTCTTCCCCAAGACCGGCTCAACAGCGGTCTCATCACCCTGTTTCTTGTGTTGCCTGCTGCGGCACTCATCTATGGCTGGACCCTGCAGGAGGGCGTCGGGGGCATGGTCGTTCCCATCATTGCGGCGTTTTTTGGCGGCGTGGGGCTCATGGGGACTTTTAATGGGTTGAATACGTATGCTGCTGGTATGTTTTTCCCTTGCCTGCTTCTTTTGGTTTGGTTTGGGAGGATTGGGGATTGGGATTGGGCTAATGGGTTTGGAAATGGTGTGTAGAAGCTCTCCCCCACCGCAGATCCGAAGTCATCAGTGGGAAATATATCATTCAATATCTGTTCTCGGCGGGGAGTAGTGCCGCGGTGGATCCGTTGATTGGGGCGATTGGTGTGGGGTGGACGTTTACGATCTGTAAGATTCCCCCTTCTTTCTCTCTTTGTTTGTTTGTTTTCTTTGAAAGAGGGTATGCTAATATGCTATGTGATAGGTGTATTCTTCTCTCTTATCGGCGGAGTTCTAGTAGTTATCATCACTCGAAAAGGACTGGATATGCAGCGATGGGTGGAGAGGAAGTTTGGGTTGGTGGGGAAGGGGGGGTATTAATTACTTCTCTTCCTGGGGAGTTTGATGATGCTCATGATTCATGGTGATGGGGATGGTTCATGATACTAAACAGTTTTAGGTAGACTTGGCCTTTGTGTTTGCTTTGTTGGGGATAGATACTAGATACTCGATACTTGGTTAGATTGTTAGATCCTTAGATTGTTAATGATATACCCCGTTTGTTTGTTTGTTATTATTTTGTATAGTTTAGAACGTTTGTATAGTATTTAACCACTGACTTACGAAGCTTCCGAGAAGCAATTGCGCTACTGATCGCCAGGGACCGACTGTATGTAGATAATGAATGAAATGTAGAGTTGATAAATTTCGATTTTCTCTGTTAGGGGATAGATAATAACTACCAAGATCGATAATGAACCATGTATGGCCTACGACATATATGTTGGGCTTATGGGCCAGGTATAGTAGAGTTACATTGTCTGTAGTACTTTCTCCCCATGAAATAGATCTATATCCAATTTATATTCTATATGTACTTGGTTTATCAGCTGTACCCCATCGCATACGCATTCTCATCATTCATAAATGTATCCACCGGATGCAACATCCCCAAGTCAAAATCACTCTGCGCGAGAAAATCTTGCATTGTCGGCTCCATAAATGCCATCGCTGTGGTGAACCCGCTCGTCGCATCTCGCACGATACCCCCCTCCACTACCGCTGTCGCCGGATGAAACCCAAAGTCCGTTGGCATTGGTCCCTCCGTCAAAGCATGCGGTGGTGGTGCTGTGCTTGATGCCGGGGTTGCTGTCGCGGCTGCAGACGCGGCTGCATCGCTGGCAGACACGGTTCCCGGGCCAATGGCTGCGGCTGCATTCCGGCGACTACGAGAGTCGCGCCGACGCTCGCTCAGATACCGGTCCAGGCAGTATTTGACCTGCTCCAGGTTGTGGTAGAATTCCGTCGCCGCCAGGTTGCCGTTCTCGCTCATCGACCGCAGCACCTCCATTCCCGTTTCGAAGGCTCCCAGGTCCGCTGGGCTGCCGATCGGAGTGAAGCTGGACATGGCTAGCACGAGTGCGGACGAGAAGAGATAATGGGCGTGGAAGAACCCAAAGGTCGGGAGCGTGCCGTTGATCCACCGTGTCAGGATGATGGAGTGCGAGTGGCGCGCGGCGTGGATGCATGCTTCCCCGAGGGTGAGCACCGGTTGGGAAATCTCCTCAATGTCCTCGTAACGGGTGCCGTCGGCTTCGCTGAGTTTGATGAGGATGTGCAGGAGGGTCGGTCGGGTGGTGAGAATCACACACTAACTAATTAGAGATCGACTTCGATGAGGGGATTGAGGGGAGCGGCCTACCTGGTTGAAGGACAGATGCAGCGAGCCCACCGGGGTCCGACTCATCTCCGGCTCTACCTGGTCGAGACGCAGATGTTCCGGCAGCGTTTCCACCCAGTTCTTTAGCGCCTTCAGTAGCTTCTGCACACGCTGCAGGAATGTTTCGCTGTACTTGCGTCGACTGTATAGCTTGGCGATTGTCTCACCCACGATCCGCGCCAGGCTGATGTTGGCTTTCAGGTATTCCGTGTCGGAGAACTGCTCCTCGTGCAACTGCGTCGGCGTCATGTTGGACGGCATGTCCAGATGGATGTCGTCGTCTAGGATCTGCGACGGCAGGCCCATCTTCGATCCCCACATGCGATCGAAGATATATATCGTCCACCAGATGCGCACCCGGTGCTGCCGTTCAATTGGATCGATGAGCTGCGACTCAGGGACATTGTGGTTCATCCCGATGGATAGCCCCAGGCGCATGGCGCTCCCGATCAAGACATAGGCGGAGTGCCGTCGGTTCAAATAATATGAGAACAGAGACTGGTGCATTTAGTATGAGCAGCATTAAACTCACGAGTGACCGTAAAAATACCAGTAGTAGTAGCGTTTCCAAGTGCGTGATACTCGTTCTTTCCGGCAGCACCTGCACCAGGCTCAACGCACGCGCAAAGTACTTGGTCCCCGGCACCCTCGACCCTGAGGCCGGCTCATTTCGCATAGAGTAGGCCTCGCCAAACGCAAACAAGGCAAAGAACTTGCACTGGTTGACCTTGCACTCAAAGTCGCCCATCTGGTAGATCTCCTCGAGCTTCTCCAGCGTCGACTTGCGCAAGACCAGGTGATAGATGAAGCCGATCTGACGCAGGGCAATCTTCAGCAATAGCCGCGCCTGGTGCAGACTCGGCCATGAGATATCGCCCGCATTGGCAGCGGCGATATTCTCATCCCGAACATACTGCGTGCGCGTAATATGCGCGGTCGCATTGCTGCCGGTCAAGAAGCGCCGGAAGCGCGTGGCAAAGGCCGTGCACGCCGCCTCACCCACGAAGATGGGCGGCGCTGAAGGATCATAGGGGTGGAACCAGGCACGGTCTCCGATCAAGGGATTGCGCACGTTGGGATTGCTTTCCTCAGACGCCTCTGCCGCTCGCAACGGGCCGCGACCGGTCTCGGCGTCGGGCTCGGTCGGGTTGACCGAGGGCGTCGGTTGTTCTCGCAGGCGCTGGTTCTCGGCCTGCAACTGTCGCAGATAACTTGGCAGAAATCGATCAGTCAAATGCCAATTAGACAACGCATGCCGGTGCTAGAAAAGCCCGTGAGTCATCAGTGGATTGCTGTATCACCTACCTTTCGCTCACTCGGACCTGGCGATCCCGCGGCGCGTATTGACACTCATCGGCACAGCCGACCTGGCGACATTTGGCGCAGGGCTGATCCCCTGAGCATTTGATTTTGTGGGAATGGCACCGTTGACAACTAGAAGATTGGGATGTGATCAGTCGTTGTGTCTTGGAGATCCTGTAGCGGTCATTGGGAGACTCACGCGACAAACTTTCTCCGTTTGGGACAATCGACCTCGTCGGTCGTTCTGGGATGCTTTCTACGGTTCATGAGTCATGACGATGCAGGTTATCACGCCAGGAACAACCACGAGCGACGTGGACGGGTTGGTGCTTATTCTCCGATGAGGGATGGAGAGTTGAGTTTGGTCGTCGAGGTCGGCCACGTCGGCGGGCGGGCGGCTTTGCCGAGCCCAGCCGAGGTCGCCATCCCCGATACAGCACAAACTTTAAGAAGCATTGGTTGGGCAGGTCTACATTTAGAGTAGGGTAGCAGCCATTGAATGGATTTTGAGCAAAGATTAGAATATATATCAGGCTGTTTTTGGGTTAGATACTGCTAAAGGCCATGCCCTCCGCCCACTCTACGGATACGACTATCTGCACTATTCTACAAAGACGCTAGCTTGTGTTCCCACCCCACTGCCAGGTCTTGTCCATCACTCTATCTATACCCTTGAATAGAGGACCCGTCAGATGGTTTCAAGTAAGACCAGGCAGCATGGCAACTTGGAAACCGCACACGAAACAAACCCTGCAGCAGACACGTGCAGACCAAGGCCTGAAGCCGCCATTTCGATCTCCGCGGAGTGGCTGCAGGAAAAGCGCGTCGCACAGACCGCCCCCAAATCCTTGGAGGGCCGGCCAGACCTGCTGGGTTCTATTGGCCGCCTGGTCTTCCTCGAATTGGCACTTCTCCCGCGTTCCAGTTTATGTATCCTGCACTTGATCTGGCTGCCATTCGGTTGGGATGTGGAATACAGAGGTGACCTGCTAGGTGAACCGACCACTGGCTTCCAACCCGGATTATCACGCGTATACGTGTGTTTTTCGGGAGCTGTGTAGATCGGTCGCCACGAGCAAGCTATCGTCATCGCTTTGGTGGGTTTCGGAACGTGTCACGGCCGCAAGCGTAAGAGACGGTATGATGCGAAGCAAGTCCATCCGTCGACCGACAATTCGAGTGGATTCGGAAGCGAAGGCAAAGCGTCGGAAGAAGATTCTGGGGCATATTCTGCGGGAAAGATTAGTGTAGACCGTCGGGGAGCTGAGGTCACCGGAGAGGCGCGCTAATGCGGATCTATGAGAGCGCCACCGAAACCTCGGTCGACGCGACGTTCAGGGCGCTGTTCGTCAGAGCGACGCGAACCACTAAGAACATGGTAGGAATTTAGGACCGATGGCAAGGGAGGCTCGTGACGAAGGGCGTCGGTTTCACTGCCGAGTCGGGGTAGATAGATAGATAGATAGTTGCTAGGCAGAGAAGACGAGGACGGAGGAGTACTAACTCCGTAGATCGCAACTGTCTGGAGATTGGGGATTGGAGAATGGAGAATGGAGAGATGCAGTTAGCGCTCCGGCGAGGGGGGTATTCGGGATTTGGTGCCGGGGCCAATGAGAGCCAGCGACGCGATCGATGGTCGAGTCGAGGACTGGCTGGCGACTGGCAACCTAAGGCCAGCTGAAAAGGCCCAACCCAGCTTGACCAGCTTCTCCGTGCCACCTCGCCTCTCTCTCAATCCTGCTGGAGATCGAGATGGATCTGGCATCCAGATCGTCCGATCGTGCCTCCCGATGACCCTTACTTCCCACGACGGAGCGTGCTGGCTGGCTGGCTGGGTCCGGAGGTAAAGAAATGCGACGCTGAAGGAGGAAAAACAGATGGTCCGCGCCCAGCGAGAGGAAAGTGGGAAAGAGGGAAGACGAACAGGAAGAGGGTCACCGTCAGCCACTTCCCCGTGCGGAACCTTTTTCCTCGCCAATAGTGCCCGCCGCGCTTCCTCGAAGAACTAAGTACCGAGTAAGTCTCGGCCGGTGGAACAAAGCATATTTGAACGGGCAATCTCCCACCTTCATCGAGTCGCTTCGCATGTCGTGCAGTCCAGCGAGCCGGAGCCTTGGCTTGCCTGGCAGGTCAGGTTGACCCCCCTCGCACTCCCCTTTCCCGGTCTTCTCCCCCGCCTCGGCCGAAACATTTCCCATCTTCATCTTCATCTCCATCTCCATCATCATCTTCACCCTCTATCGACCGGCTTCGCTCTCTTCGGATACTGGTCTATTGCAATGTGCCTACTGGATCCCGTCTAAGCACGGATCCGGGAATACTCGCGTGTTCCGACGCCAGCCTGCGCAGCACCGATCCCGGGATGCCGGCGGACGCGAAGAGTGCTACCTGCAAAGTAAAGCTATGCTCCAGTCTTTGTGGCCGTTGGCTAATGTCTGCTCGTCTCCAGCTCGACCTGACCCCGAAATGGCTGCCTGAACCCACTCACCAGAACGCGCACCTTGACGAATCCCATCTTCGATTCAAATACAGGGCGCGGCTCGTGATACATGCCACCCCTGTGCCTTTGAAATTCCCAGCACCAGGCAGAATCTTTCATCGAGAGCTGTGCTGGTCAATCCTGTTCGTCGCCCATGCTCGTGGGCCACCCGGGAAGGAGGACCGGCAAGTGGTTATCCGAGGAAACAAAATCGGTGCCATGGTCGGCCCCTCGCCCGCAATCTCTGCTGAACCCAAGAGCACTTTTGAGTTATATGCCCCCAGATCCGTAAGGTTTGGGTGTGGAGTCAATGCTCGGTGGTTTTGCACCTCCAGGTGTCGCGACCTTGTCACAAGGCCAATACTCCAAAAACAATCGCCGCAGCAACAACAAATTCCCACAGATCCCCCACTCCCTGATTTCTGGTACTCCCGCATCAGTTTTTTGATGCCTGGTAACTGTGCTGTCAGTATGGCTGATCTAGGTCCACTCACTTTGCCATATCTGGCAACACCTTTGCGGCTAGCATGTGTAAGGATAGTGGTGGGATGCGCAACGCGTTTCTCCCTGCAGTTGCTTCTGCTTGCTCAAAGCTCGAAAGGTTTCTAAAGCTAGCGATTCAGACGACGACGACCCGCCTAGTACATACTGCAGTTGTGTTGCAAAGCGCATCAAGAAACGCCAAATGTGAGCATGTGATGGATAGATGAAAAGCACCATGTTGAGAGCCATATCGCCATATCGTCATGCCACGACGTCATCCACTTTTATGGATGACGGCCGAGGGAAGGAATCCAAGCCGGCAGACATGTGACCATGACGACCTGAACGTCGTGCAACCTTGGCCACTTCAACATATTCTCCGGACACACGACCCTCTGGGTCTTGAAGAGCAGTAGATGTATAGATGTCCCTTCACTTGCTACTCGACCTTTACGAGAAACCTTGTCCATCAATTTCGAGTATTCTGTTGCCGGCAATCATCGACAAGGGGGAGAAACTGGTCTGGCTGGTTGCGGGATTGCCCCTCGATCTTTTTCTGTCGTTCAATAGGTCTGGCTAAGGAGGAGAGTCAACAATAAGGCGAGGGGGGCATCGGAACCAGTAAATAGAGACAGGAAGTGGCCCTGTGGGTTACAAGTTGCATCTAATGTACTGCTTACCTTAACAGGCAGCAGGTTCCCATGATCGGGCGATAAAGTCTGCTGAGCATGTCGCGAGCCCCTCTTCAACCCCCTCTTCGATCCCAAGGAAAGGTGGCCATGTTTCGCCGTCATCGTCAATGCTGGCACCCCAGATGAAGCACTGAACTCGTTACCACATACCCCTGGACTGTCGACGGGGTGGGGTTGTTGCGTTCCTCCCCGATGATCGGCACCCTCAGGGTTCGCCTTATCCAGACATCCAGAGTCCATTTCGACCAGTTTCTGCGCCACTGGCAGACGTCAGGCCAAGCAGGTGACTAGAAGACATCGGGTTGATGTAGGTGGCGCCATTGACAGAGTGGGACACTTTCTCATTCGAGTCGACGCGGGGGCTTGAAATTCTTCTCGTCTCCTGGTGAGCGTGGAGCTCCGATGCAGCGAGCGGATCATCTTGTCGGAGGGCTTCTGGACTGGATGGTGGGAGGGGAAAGGGGAAAGGACCGCCGAAGGGTTATTAAACAGGAGGATTCGACTTCCAGCTTGGCCCCGACATCCGCCTCACAAACATTGGTGCGGGTTGGCTGTCCTGTCATGCGGCGCCCCGAGGGCTGGTCGAGGCACCACGCAATCCGGATCACGAGCGAGCTGGTTGAGCTGGTCCCCTAGAAAAATCCGGGTGGGCGGTGGGATATCTAAGCTCTCAACAGCTTTCTATCAAGGGTGCGGAGAGGGGGTGGTCAGAGGGGGGAGTGATCCATGGGTGGGAATTCTACCACGATGGGCGCCTCTGGGCCGGATGGGCTTGGTGTTCCGGAGACGCGAGCCGATTTCCGCCCAACTGTGGCGAGACAACCAAACCAGCCCCGGCAATCACCTCCAGCCTACCACACTTCGTCCTCGACCGGCTCTGGGTCCCTCCCGGCCAACAAGCGTCCAGAGGTCGGCATGAGACTGTGTGACACCCAAACCAAGCCTTGTCCACTATTATTGTTCTTTCCTAGTCTATAGTGACCCTATCTATCCCCAGCGCCCACTCCTGATTGATTAGCGATTTCCCGTGTTTGCTGTTGCTGGGTTTGTCCGTGCTACGAGGGTTGGGACCAAGGGGGCTGACAAGTTTTCTCGTCTCGTCTCGTCTTTTCTTTGACAATGAGCGACAACAAACGGCCCCCTCCTTTCTCATATCCCTCCTATCCCTCTTCCTCCTCCACTTCCTCCGACTTCCCCGGCACTGAGCCCAAATACCGTTCCTGGCCGGTCCCCCAGTACCCGCCGCAGTCGTCCTTGGGCCCTTCTGTCTCTTACGAGCCCGTCCCATCCAGCCATGCTGAGACCCCCGCTGCTGGCACCTCCCGGAGCGCCCCTGGGGATCGCGCCGTGAGTTCCAAGGTGGCCATCCCCCGGACGGCGAGTAACAGCACCTGGACCAGCAGCGGACGGGTCAGCCGGGCCTGTGAGAATTGTCGGGACCAGAAGGCCAAATGCAGCGGCCACCGTCCAACCTGCCAGCGGTGCCAGGAGTCGGGCATCCGCTGCTCGTATGGGGACCGCAAGCGAGAAAAGATGGCCAAGTGCGTTGTGTGACTGCTCATGGAATTGGTGTCGAACAGTTCTGACGGTGGGTACTAGGCAGCTCGGTGATCTGACAACCCAGGTTCAGGTATATGAAGCCCTTCTGCGAGAGATTTCTCCCAAGCTGGGACCGGAGATGGCACAGTACGTCGACCAGATTTTAAACGATGTAAGGTCTTTTTTCACTGCCTACCATCATATCATTTGCCTCTCACCCTGCAGTCTCCTTCCCAACTTTGTTTAACAACCCACGTCACAGCAAAGGGACGACAATGAACAGGTCGCCGGCGGCCACCGTGCGTCGGCGTCTTTATCGGCCTCCAAAGTAGCCGATGCTGCCCTTCTGTCGAACCCTTCCCCGGGTTCTTCGCTGGCAGCCCTGGACTATACCAACGAAGATTTTAACCGTGACGAGAAGATACAGGCCATGGGCTTCGTGGGTGAACATTCCGAGATTGCATGGATGTATCGCTTGAAGCGCCTTTTGGAACGGTCCAACTCGGTATCCCCACGAGAAACCTGGGATCGCCAATCAGTCTCTTCCGTGAACTTCTTCCTGGACGACTCGGATATCCCAGTCATTGATGAGGTCGACCCAACCCAACGACCTCCTGTCACCGTTGCTGACCAGCTAGTCGATGGCTATTTTCATGCCGTGCACCCAACTTTTCCGATTGTGGGCAAGATGATCTTCTTGGCGCAGTACAAATCATTCTATTCGGCGCCTTACGTACGGCCGGGGAAAAGATGGCTTGCGATTCTCAACTTGATATTCGCTATCGCTGCCAGACACGCGCGTCATTTGTACAACGAGACTGAAAATGGGTCGGACGACAGCCTCGTCTACTTCTCACGGGCCTGGAAGCTCAGCATGAGTGATACCGCACTGCTCGAGCATCCGAATCTGCAACAAGTACAAGTAGAGGGGCTAACTTCGTTTTATCTCATGTCTATAGGGCAAGTTAACAGGTACGGACCTCATCTGACTGTTTTCCTTTCAAGCGCCCAGTTCTGGTTCGCCCAGGGACCACGTTCTTCGTACCCTTCTCTGATTCACATGGTCGTCCAGGTCCTGGAGAATTTGTGGAATATCTCTTCGCTCGGCTGTTACAATGGGACTGAATTTACGAAGCGAAAGCAATTCCATTGTTCATGTGTCTAAAGAGACCCGTTATCGGGTGTGGTGGTCGCTTTACATGCTGGACAACTCCCTCTGTGTCATGACGGGCCGACCACCGAGCACCAGTGACGATTTCTGCACCACCCCGCTGCCCGTGCCTTACCGGGAGGAAGAGTTTATGGATAACAAGGTAGTTCAACTCATTGCTGATAACGACGCTCGAACTATTTTCATGGAGACCTTTTGTCTTCGAGGCCCTGGGAAAGCGGTTGACAATGGCGGGTCGCCCGATTCCTTCCGGACCCATGGGCCGACGCCAGTAAATCAGAGCGAACAGATTGTTGCCGGCGCCATCGAAGTGCTGACGCCGAACACCTCGCTCTATTTCCTTTACCACATCGACCTAGCACTGGTCATGCGAGAGTCTGTTGACCTACTATACTCCCCAGGAGCAGCTCGGAAATCGTGGCGGGAGCTTGAAGCGAACATCTCCATGCTGCATGCCAAGATAGAAGCGTGGCTTTCCCGTCTCCCGCCTGCCTTTCACTTCGGCCAGGGAGCACCAGCCTTCGAGAGGCAGAGAGTGAGCCTCGCGTTTCGCTATTACAGCACCAAACTGCTTATTACGCAACCTTGTCTAAGCCGTCTCGCCCAGAAAAATTCCGGCAGCGACCCACCGAGCCGTTTCTGCGAGACCATGGCAAGCGTGTGTGTTGAGACTGGGTGCCAGATGTTCGATTTACTACCTGATCCCCCTGACCTCTCTTGGGTTTATCGGGTCGCGCCCTGGTGGTGCATCCTACACTATCTCATGCAGTCAACCACCGTACTCATCATCGAGTTGTTGCTTCTGGCCAAACCGGGGACTGCCAAGTTCCGCAGGGTAGTCGCGCAGGTGGCCAAGGCCATCTACTGGTTGGCGGAGATGTCGACCAAGGACCCGTCTTGCCAACGGGCCTGGCTTGTGTGTAGGGATCTTATCTCTGAGCACGCCCCCGAACTGGGTGCCTTCGCGGGCCCCGCAGATCGCGGCAAAACCTGACTGTTCTCTTCGAGCAGTGCGACGTGCGAACATTCCATGATCTCCCACCCACCTTGCATTTCCGAAACAACACCGACCACTGACCGGGGGCCCCTATGCAGACTGCAGAGATGGCTTGTGCTAACCCCTTGTAGTGGTCCCTCCCCCGCCCGTGACCACTTGGACTGTCCTGCGCAGAGGGAGATGAGGGAATTTGGAATCTTTTCCCTGCAGCATCTGTTGTTACTGGAGTAGGTCTCATTCACATTTCCACTTTCTGTTTCTACTCCCGCCCCATATCCCCGCTATAGGTTGGATACGGCTTCATGATTCTCAATAGATGTAGACGTCACCGACTCTTCACCCAGGAGTCTCGGGAGTGGATCTACATAGCGCCCGCCTTGTCTTAAGTTGCAACGAGCCGTGGCGTCCTTACACTAAGGGGCTTCCCTTTTTGCAGCTTTCCACGGCGCCCCATTCCTGCTCATGCATGATGCCACCGTAATTCTGGCCACCAACCCAAGAGGGTGACCGCGTCAGACTACGGTGTCACTGATAGAGACTAATGTGCCCCTTCATGCAGCCCCTATTGGGCATCTATGCGACGCTCAGAAGATATTATCATAATCTAAACCAATCATTTTAATATGTGTCCGTTGATCTATCTTATTTCTTTTCTTTTCTCTTTAATTTTGTTGGCCCGCAAAAAATAATTCTTCTAACAAAAGGAAAAAGGAGGGGGAAAAAAAAAAAAGAATAAACAAATAAGAAAAATAAATAAATAAATAAATAAGAAGGCAAAAGAAGAGGGAAAATGGGAGAGAAAAAAAGAAGAAAAAAAAAAAAGCCACCAGTCCATTGTTTCTGAGAGTTGTAAAGGGAACGATCCTTGGGAATGCGGCTGCCTTGGTTGACAGGCATTCATGGATCTGGCTCAGGCGCCACTCAGGCGACAAGAACAAAGACCAGGTACGAACTACGAAAATGGGCGGGCACTTATGCAGCTAGACCCCCAACGTCACTTCAGCCATCATCCTTCTATTACACTCCGTACAGCTTGATCATAAAAAAGCAACTCCTTGCGTTTCAATGATGAGCGGATACCCAGCAACGCGGGCTGCTGTCATTTGCTGGCACTCACATCCGTTGCAGTGCAGAGCGGTACTTTATGCGGTAGTTTAATGACTTCTTGCTGCAAAGGTGACTTCCGTCGGGTCTAGCTGATGCTAGCTAGGTACTGCTACCGTTCCTCGCTGCTGCTTGAGCTTTCTGCAGGGGGGGACGTTCCGTGGTTGACGGCGCTGTCGGCCATGGTCCGGGGGTTTCTGGTGCCAGATCCGTGCCGCTGAAATCACCCATCTAGATGAAAGAGAAAAAGAGCCAGTAGAACTGACGTCAGAAGGATCGGGAGACCCAGTACGAGCCATTACTGATTGGGGCATTGGGAGCAAACGGCCTTCGCTTTTTTACGATCAGTCTGGATCGTGGCCCGCTTAGTATTTCCGCGACTGGCCGTTCTGACTCTCGAGGCCTGCAATAGGTCAGATCCATGGCGATCCAGCCTTCCAGAGGATGCCGCAGGTCTGCGACACTCGGTCAAATGGAAGCGAAATAATGGAGTGATCCTCGATTTGTTGGACTTGGGAGGAGGATGCTGCATGGGCCATGGGTGGGCCAGCCCGATAGATAGTACCCCGTTGTTTCATTCGACTACTGCTGATCCTCCCTGGCGAAACTGCAAAGGACATCCTATGATCCTACTAGGTACGAAAGAGGCCCCTGGTGACTGGATGAACCACTCGAGTCGATCTGATCTAGAATCGAGATGGGGATTGACCAAATCAGGGAGGAGTCTGAGGATGAAGGAACAGGGGAAGTCGGCTTACGCATGGCCCCAGCGTACCCAAATAGGGTCCAGATCCCGATGTCAGAGTCAAATCCCGAGCACGCTAATCCGGATCTCAGCCGAACCATGACAGTCACTCGACTTAGTCTGTTAGAGTTAGGGCCCACCACAATAATAATGTCTCTCAAGTCTCATCCCCCTTTTTGGGGAGGTGGGCGACTATTGAATATTGATGCGTGGGAAAACAGGGAAAAGCCTCACAGTTCAGCCATCACCACCGATTGCCATTCGGATTGGCTGGTTGGGCTTGGACAATTGCATTCTCAGGTTGTAGTCCACTCAGTACAAGCACGCCACTATCTATCTATCTTTCTTCGTATCAATTTATCATTTCCCAAGCGGCCCATTCCGCCGCATCTGATTGGACTAATGGAGGGGTTCGCCAGAGGTACTTTGTCCAACCGACGAGAAAAGATGGATCGCTTTCGGGCCAGCCCTTCTGCCTCACCGTTTCGATCCAGTATTCCATCCTTCCACATTCCACATTCCACGCCTGCTCTTCCCCACAACGCTGCTCGCTCGGCAGTAGACTGTATTCAGCAAGACCGATAGACAAGACTTCTTAGGGCCTTAGGGCTCTATCAATTGCATCGCACTTTACGGCCCTCGATTTCGATTGCCCGACGCGAGCCAATCATCAAGCTATATCTGTTGGTGAGAACGAAAATTCGATTGTTGCTGTAGATTGCACATTGCCGGATCGGCCCATGAATCTGAGATCATGAGATGGGAGATTAGCTGCCCTTCGCTAATCGCGTTGGCACCGCACGTACCTATCTACCTACTCCAAAGTTCAAACACCGTACTCTGTGTGACTGTGGATGCGCTCTGCAGATCTCATTCTTAGCAGCCGATCTTGATCCGAGGTCGTTGGGCACCATCACGAGCACATGTCTGGACTCTGGAGGAACATCCCAGGGTTTTGTCTGCCTGAGGCATGTACCTCATGCATCCTTGCTGCCTCAGGTGCTGATATATTCACACGTGACTAAATACATCACGTGATGGAATGAGGAGCTGTCAGCTTGTCACATGGTGTGGGGGAGTCCATCACATGATGTGTCTCTACAGAGGCCTATGAAGCCAGCACTTCTATATCTCTGGACTCTGGAGACACTTTCTCTAATTTGCACATCTTGGAACTCCATCTATATAGAACTTCGATTGCCCCTCACCTCCCGTTAGGAAATAGTTCATTCTATATAGTAGTAATTTTGTCTTTTTCCATACCTATCCGTACACAACATTTATAGTATCCTGGATCTTCAGAACCAGCAGCACCGACTATACCAACATCACTCCTAGAGGCATCTGTCCTTCTTCTTCAGGGTTCACAGAGTGGCAGTTCTGTCGGATAGCCCTGATAGTATTCCCGGGTCCTGTGACCGGTCCCGTGCCTGGTCGCCAAGCAGCCCCGTCCTCCCACTTCACCCTTCCTCCTCTTCATCCTCTTCCTCCTCTCCATTCATCCCATCATCATCATCAGCATCACCACCACCATCATCATCTGGATGATTGGTGGCCTTTCCCCGCAATGTCCAAGCCCTACCCCGCTCGGCCGGGGTAGAGCCCAGCTTGGACCACGGGATGGCCTCCGTCCCCAATGAGGAAATGGACGCTTCTGATAGTGATCCTACAAGCTGTTTCGCACAGTCTTTAGACCGCTCATTTCCTCTCAGCTTCTCTCAGCTTCTCTTGTCAATGTCGCAACGTAAAACATATCTCCGATCTCTAACAACCTTTCCAAAATGAAGTTTACAGAGGGCATGTGGCGGTTGAAGGTGAGTTCAACGCTTGGACCTCAGGATATCACTGACACACTGCAGGAGGGCGTCCGGATCGACTGGATGAGCAATGTCGAGCGGTTGAGCATTGACAGCGAAACGGTGGATCTGCTGCTGAACAAGCTGCAGCGGCATCGTGGTGATACCCTCAATTCGGGTGAGTTCTTTCAGATGAATGTTAGTCAGATGATGATATTAACTGCACAGCAACTGTTACCGCGCAGATCACATCTCCGTTGGAGGGCATCATCGGGGTGAATCTAGTCCATTGGTATATTTTCACCCTACCCATCTGCATCAATATGAAGACTAACCCACACCAGGGCAGGCTCACTAGATCAAGGCCCCCATTTCGAACTCGCCTCGTCCACAGGACGCGTCCAAATATCACACACCGAGCGCGAATCCCTCCGCTACAGCAGTGGCCCCCTGACCTTAGCCATAACGACGACACCCAACGAACTGGAATTCAGTTTCACCGGCGCAGACAAGCCCACCACCAAGCTCACGGGCCACTCCTGGCGTTCAATTGGGTACGTCAGCGATCAAACCACCGAAAAGTCCCGCTGGGAAGACGGACTATACCTCGAGCGGCAGGGGTACATGCTCGCGGAGCTGGACCTCGGCGTCGGCGAGAAGCTGTACGGACTGGGTGAGCGGTTCGGACCCTTTGTCAAGAACGGCCAGACGGTGGACACCTGGAACGAAGATGGCGGCACCTCCTCGGAGCTGGCATACAAGAATATCCCGTTTTACATCAGCTCCGCCGGATATGGAGTGTTCGTGAACAACCCAGGCAAGGTCAGCTTCGAGTTACAGTCGGAGCGAACGACGCGAGTCAACATCTCCATCCCGGGCGAGGAGCTGCAATACTTTATCGTCTACGGCAGCACCCCCAAGGAAATCTTACGACGATATACTGCCCTCACTGGCCGTCCCAGTCTCGTTCCAGCATGGAGTTACAACCTCTGGTTGACAACAAGTGCGCTCTCCCCTGGTACCCTGTGACAATAGCTAATGCTCATCCGTAGGCTTCACAACCAACTACGACGAACAAACCGTGACCGGCTTCCTCGACGGCTTCCGGGACCGCGACATCCCACTCGGCGTCTTCCACTTCGACTGTTTCTGGATGAAATCCTACCAATGGTGCGACTTTGACTTCGACTCCGACATGTTCCCAGACGCAGCGGGCTACATCAAACGACTCAAGGAGCGAGGCCTACGGATCAGCGTATGGCTGAACCCGTACATAGGCCAAGCATCGCCGTTATTCCGCGAGGGCAAAGAAAACGGCTACTTTATAAAGGTGCCCCCTACCCCTTACCCCCTCCACCACACCAACAACTAACAAACCACCCTCAGCGCACCGACGGCACCATCTTCCAATGGGACAACTGGCAGGCCGGCATGGCCATCATTGACTTCACCAACCCATCAGCCCGCACCTGGTTCAGCAACAAACTCACGCACCTCCTATCCCTCGGCGTCGACAGCTTCAAAACCGACTTCGGCGAACGCATCCCCTACAAAAACATCCTCTACCACGACTCCACCCTCTCTCCAACCCGCATGCACAACTACTACACCTATCTCTACAACCAAACCGTCCACTCCGTCCTCCTCTCCAATCCCACCCCCAACCCCAACTCGAGCAAAACCGCAATCCTCTTCTCCCGCAGCGCCACCGTCGGCTCCCAGTCCCACCCAATCCACTGGTCCGGCGACAGCGAAAGCACCTTTCCCGCCATGGCCGAGACCCTCCGTGGCGCTCTCTCTCTCTCACTCAGCGGCTTCATCTTCCATTCCACAGACATCGGCGGCTTCGAAGGAACCCCCCACCCCAGTGTCTACAAACGCTGGATCCAATTCGGACTTCTATCCACCCATTCCCGCCTCCACGGATCCAATTCCTACCGTGTCCCATGGCTATTTGATTCCGAGTCCGTGGATGTACTCCGAGACGCCGTGAAGCGGAAAATCGCACTCTCGCCGTATTTACTCTCTTCGGCTTTGGAGGGGAGTAGAACTGGGACGGGGGTCATGAGGCCGCTTTTCGTGGATTTTCCCGATGAATGGAGCGTTTATGATTTAGATACGGAGTATATGCTTGGTGGGGGGCTGTTAGTTGCGCCGGTGTTTGGGGAGGATGGGGTGGTGAGGTTCTATGTTCCCCGTGTTGGTAATGGGGAAGGGAAGTGGGTGTCATGGTTCGATCATGGAAAGGTGTATGAAGGGGGGAGGTGGTATGAGGAGACGCATGGGTTTGAGACGTTGCCGTTGTTGATTCGGCCTGGAGCAGTGATTCCCGTGAATTGGAAGATGAAGGGCGCTGAGGATGATCCGTTGGATGGGCTGGAGGTGTTGGTTAATGGCGTGTTGGATGGGGAAGTTAAGGTGGAGATTGTGAATCCGGATAGGACGGATGAGGTGTTGAAGGTCGTTACGGTTAGGCCGGGACCGGAGGGAGTCGTTGCGGATGAGGAGGTCAAAGTGGTGTGGGTGGGTCATTAGATGGTATCTTCATTGCAATGATTGAATTGTAGTGGATGAGTTGTAGTTAGGATGCATATCTACATAAAGCATCGAAGAAATCGGTGGAACACAGATGGATGGAGGCTGGGCTCATGAATCAAAGTTGCTCAACACATGGGTATCATGATGATATCAAAGTAGCAAAGAAATAAGGAGAAGACCCCAATAATCCCTGTCAAGTCACAGGCGAAAAATAAGAAAGGTAACCCAACCAACCGCATCGCTATGCAACAGCCAACAAGCACTACCACGCCTCTTCCACATCAAGAAGCCACTTGCGAATCCCCTCTCGCAAGGTGTTGTCTCCTCCCGTCTGCAACCGCCGCCGCTCCTTGTCCGACGGGCCGAGCTCCCCCTCGACGTCCTCGCGGCAATGCTCCGCCGTTACGCTGCGGACCACCTCCTCGAGAGCACTGAGAACGAGCTTGCGACACTCGGTCCGAGGAACCTCCGCAGCGCGGGGCTCGTCCCGGTTTGGAACCTCCGGCATGTGCTTGTCCTCGCCTCGGCGGGCGCGTGACGGCGACGGAGCACGGGAATGTTGCATGGACGACGGGCCGCTCTGGGCAAGAACTCGCTCCAGCGCATCGACGAGCGTCCCATCAAGATCCATGACATGTTCTTCCACGAAGCGCTCTTCCACTTCGTTCGGTGTAAATCCATCTACGGAAGAACTCGCAGATGATTTGCTAGAAGCCGTAGCTTGAGAAAAGAAACTGGTGAGCTGCGACGCGGAAGCCGAGCCTCCAGAGACGTGACGAGGGGTGCCGGGTTGAGGAGAAAAGTCAGGCGAGGCGTTGCGCCACGAGGCATTCCCTATTTTCCGTCGCAGCCGCAGCCGCTTCACTGAAAAAGTTCGGACGTCTGCAACAAGCGTGGTCGCGACATCCACCCAACGTCCGGAACCATCTGCGTCGAGACACACAGCTTGGTTGGAAGTCGGCTCCGCCTGCATGGCGCGTTTGATGTCGGCCTCAAGCCCGGTATATGGCCGTACCGCTTGGAGCAAAAAGTCGTCATGGAAGCTCTTCAGCCAGCCAGCAACATTGATATTAGGTCCGTCATTGTCCCTCGGGGCAGACGGGAAGCCTGATGTGCTACTATGAGTAGATGCCACAGCGTCAACACTAGTGACAGATGTCCGCGTCTTCTTCGGTGAGGCCATTGTTGAGTCGCCAGACGAAGAAAGGGACACGAACCCAGGCAAAGGAAGATCAACATCGACAATGCCATCATCGCCTCGCACCGATAGTTTCAACGACGATTCTTTGGCCTGATCTGTAGCAGAAGACAGATCCTGGGCGTCTTCTTCATATCCATGGTGGGGATTTGAAGACTGTGGGATCGAGATGTTGCTGCTCGTCGCGGTCTTGGGGGACGCTTCAGCGGGCCTGAGCGAGACATCTCTGACCATCTGACTCAGGGTTGGGGGATGACGCCTCGGAGGGTTGGCAAATGCTGAAACGGACCGTCTGCGGATTTCTGCCGGTGCCACAGCCTCGCCGCCAGTGGATGATTCCTGACGTGAGCTCCACAGTCCGGAAAAGAGACTCCCCCATCGACCATTAGCAGACGGCACACTACCATTACCACTTAGAACCGAGCTTTCGCTTCTTTGAAGGTTTCGCAACAGGGTTTCCGACGCCAGGCTGTCATGCCCTTCGGCCACTGTCTGATCCGATCCTGCCCGCTCGGAGCGGCTCTGAGAAGCAAAGTGCGGTACGGGAACAGTACTGCCTGGGGTGGTCGTCGACGTGGTCGCCGCGCTCGTATTTCTCGTGCGCATATCCTTGGCCTGTATCGGCACCCCCAGTGCTCTAATGGAGCGGGCATCGGAGCCTCGGCGCGTAGTACCAAATTCCGGTGTCACCAACGGCTCTGCCTCATCCGTCGAGCGATGCGCGGTCTCGCACGACGAAACGCTCACGGACCGCTGGTGCTGTTCTCTATCACTGAGGGTCAGGCGCTGCGCGCGAGACCGACGTTCGATGGCCCTCCGAAGGGACTCCTGTCGTAAAACCGGGACATTTGGCGGGCTTTGAGAGATGGCTCTCGTGGAAGCGGCGGTACCCGGTCGAATTGGCGATGGCAAAGGCTCAAAACGCTGTTTGGATGGGAGAAACGCCGACAGTAGGAAGATCAGTCTTCGCGCCGTCATCTTGTCAGGGGAGATGATGACAGTGCGCTGAGCAAGGACAGGGTCAGAATCCTGCTGGGCCTTCTGTTGTAGATAATGTCGCTTTCGGTACCACTCGGGACCCAAGGCATTAAGCCACTCAGTATGGTTCCCCAGGAACGCGGTGATTAGAACTAAGAAGAAAAAGCTGTGGTCTTTGTCCCCGATGCTGCGGATAATCGAACGACCCTCCTCGCGCCAAACGCCCCAGCGACTCTGGCCCGTTACGACAAATGGCATTTGCAGTGCGGTGCTGATGCGGCGGCTGCTGCGGACGGCTTCGTCTCGCAGCCTAGAATTCACAGCCAGGATATTCGCAGGCAGGTGAACAAATGTCTGATTTGTGCGTTGCATGTTGGGAGGTTTAGCTGGCTTGGGATGCATTCCTGAAGAGGAATCTACCTTTTTCAACAGAAAGAGAATCTCATTCCGTGACAGTCTCTCCAAGTGTGACAATGTGCGGTTGATGACATCCCAATGGTCGACTAGGAGATCAATCCGCTCATCTAAGCTGGCTGGTGGTGATGCAAGTGACAAGCTGTCATCGAGAAACCCTCCCCGAAAACGGTAATCGGAATCCAGGGAGCAGGACATTCCAGGTTTGGGGGAGTCCGGTCCCTGACCATTAAAGCGAGAGACCGGTCGTCCAGTATTTCGGGAGAGAAGTGGGATTTGAATGGTTATGGCCACAGCATACATGGGAGTCTTCTTCTCCTTGATCTTCCGGCGCTTCGTGACGTCAGGAAAGGGAAACCCCGCGTTTGGAATAGACTCTTGGTAGACGGAGGTCTGATCCGCCCTATCCGGAGACGCCTCTCCCCCCTCGGGTAAATGGACGCTGAACATCCTAGTTAGGAGAATGGTGACCTTTGCTGGCGGTTTGGAGTCATTCCCAGGGTTCGTGCTGGCGAAAGCCGAAGAACTTCCAGTTGTATACGCCCGTGAGAGCGAATTGCGAGTTGCAGGGGACGTTGGCGCAGTTTTACCAGGTTCATCGTCGGCAGAGATGATATGCATCTTCGTTGACGATCCCCTATAACTAAACGCACTGCTGCCGAAAATGCAGTTCAATAACCCAGAATCATTCGAGTCAGTGGAGTAACGCGGGCCAGGCTCATGAATGCTTCCAGCAGGCGACAGAGTGGAACTACGACCACGAGCCCTCATGAAAGCGCCAGACGACATGGGTGGTGACCTCCGTGTCTCTGCAGCGACTGAGAGCGGGCTTGGCTCCGCAGCTGACGACTGAGACAAATAGCCCCGTCGTGTTCCACGGGTGAGGTTCGAAACCGTGCGGGCATGTCTTGCACCATTATTGTCGAACAGCTGAGGCTCCAAACCAAGTCCATGGGATGTCTGATCCTGCGAACTCGCGCGGGTATCCAACAAGACACAGGCGTCTCGATCTCCCAATGCATTTTGGGCAATGATCACACGGAAATCCTTCATCGGGTCCAACTCAACGCCGCCGCGATCATCATAGGCACCAGCCGTAGAGGCGTTCGGGGAATTGTAGGCCGTGTGCAGCGGGTAAGTGTGTGTATTGGAACGTCGCAGGAGACTAGCATCGGGGAACAGTAAACCGGAAGTATGTTCTTCCTCCGTGACGGACTCCAGCTGGTGGGCATTTTTGGCATTGTAGGCCGCCGGGTTCAGAGTAGCCGCTGCAGTGCTCAACAGGCGACCCAACATGATGGCAATCCAAGGCGAGCCTGTGATGTAAAAGGAAAGTGAGAATGCCGATGGAAGAGGGGCCGATGACCCGAGCAGAGAAGAAGCGAGCGAGATATTAAACTAAGAGATTAAGGCAGGAACCAACAGTCAGACAGGTTCACCAGACTGGGCTGTAGCACCCCATCGTTCAATCCCGCCGAGAGACGACCATGATCAAGCCATCCAGGGAGGGAATGAAAGGGATCCGTCGTTCACGGTTCAGGCAAGACACGCCACTTGCAGGGAGGAAGTAGGGACTGTCCGTGTGAAGAGAGTGTTAGTCAGCAGCAATTGGACCCGGGGGGGGGGGGGGGTTCACTGGGGACGGATCGAAGCGAATCGATCGGGGAGGGGAGGGGGGAGGGGGAAGGGGATTGAAGCGACACCAACACACCGGAGAAGACGGGGGGAGTGAATTGGCCAGCCAGGAGGGAGAGAGAGAGAAAGGAGGGGAGGGGAGGGGAAGCGAAGGAAGGCCAGCGAAGGGACGAGGACGAAAGCCGACGAGGAAACGGAGGAGGCGAGCGAAAGGGCGGTGAGGGCGGCGCGGTGCACCTGATCTCAGCCTCATCGCATCGCGGCCGATCGCCTGCAAGTTGACGGGCATTTGGGCCTGTCAGATCCCCGCCGAAGCCCTGCACTCGGCCGCTTCGGTCGCACAACCACCTCATTCTGCATGCGCCGGGCAGCCTTTGGGCGGGAATCTGCGCCAGTCGGAATTCCAACGCCCTCCTTCTGCCTCTGATTCATCAGCTTTTCCTCCGTGATCCCCGATCTATACAGCGCATTTCATTACTCGCCTGCCCCGGACCAGGGTGCCACAGGGGCCTGATGATTTGACCAGGGGTCGCCCGCTGCTCTAAGAATAACATGACAGCTACAAAGGACAATCCAGGGGTATCTATTAGATAGGTAGCAGGAATAATCAATCAATAACATTACCGTCCGGAACGCAGACTGACAGACGCTCGTGATCTATCGAATAAAAACAGGAAATGTGCCCATGGTATTTGCATCCTCATCCTAGATAGGTAGGTAGTTCGATATGTTACAACCAGATCAGCTGCGCTGCGTCTTGCGCTTCACCTTTTCGACCAGCTTCTTCAGATCGTCCGATCCCGCGTCCTTGGAAGCATTCGTCTTCTGCTTCTTCTTGGGGTCACGGGGACCAACCTCCTCATCGACCTGGTCATCACGATCCCTTCGCCGCTTCCGGCCTTCTTCCAGCAGCGCCTTCATACCCGAAGTCGACTTAAACCGGGGATTGGTGGGATCAATCGCGAACTCGTGGCTTTCAAAGAGTCGAGAAAAACGAGGATCGGCGACTTCCATCTCGAAGTCATCCACGGGCGCCTCGACTTGCTTGCCCTTGCTCTTGCCCTTCTTGTTCTTCTTGCGCGCTTGCTTCTCCGCCTTTTCAATCTCATTCATATCAAAGTGCTTGATGCCGGGCTTGTTGTTGTCCTCCATCATGAGCAGCTCCAGCTCTGCCCGCTTGGCCGCGGCCGCGGCTTCCTCTGCGGCACGCTCCTCGCGCTTCTTGCGCTTCTCTTCCTTGCGACGGGCAATAGCAGCGGCCTTACCAGTAGGGTCTTCAAAGAATGGATCGTTAAAGCCCAGGTCTTCTTCCTGGGGCTTTTCTTCGTCACCCTCGGCGACAGCGGCGTCGTCGTCCTGTTCATCCTCGCCATCCTCACCACGCTTGGTGGCCTTGAGCTTCTCCTTTCTGCGCTTCTTCCTCTCACGCTCCTTGCGGATGTACTTCTCAATCGTAGTCTCATCCTTCTCCGGCTCGTTTTCGAAGATGCTGTCGCCCTTGGGACCACCAGCCAGACCGGAAGTGAAGGTCACCTCCATCTCACCAACAGGTCCGTCGGACTTGGAGGAAGGCTTAGGCTCCGCACTGAGGCCAAGTAGAGCTCGAAGACGCTGTCGCTCGTCCTCTTTCTTAGATATCCTGGAGCTCTCCCCATCTCCTTGCGTAGTATCAACGATCTCCACACCACCCTCTTCCTCCTCGTCATCGGAGCTATCGCTAGCAAGATAAGCCTTCAGGTCGTTCTCGTCGATCTCCTTCCGGCTACCCTTAAAGGCCCGAGCCTGGGCTTCCTTGCGCGACTTGTCCTCCATGTCCCAGGTCAGCTTGACCTTACTGTGTTGCAGCGCATCGGTGACAAACTCGTTAGGCTGATAACCATCAGGGATGCGTTTGCATGCGTCGCGAGGTATGTCATCCGAGAAGTCAGTGTCTTCGGGCACAAAGCGGAGGTCGAAGAAGTTCGCGCTGGACAGGTACTCGGCACCATCGACAAGATCGTAGACGTGCTTCGCAACATCCCTTGACGAGAACGTCAGGATAGCATAGAAGTAACGTAGTCGCTCCAACTGGTATTTCCGTAGCTGTGCCGAGTTGAACTCCTCGCCCTTGTCTTCCTTCAAGATCGACTTCTTGATGTTTTCCTCCTCCTCGTCAGAGTCAAGCTCATCCTCATCATCAAACTCATCATCCTTCTTTGAGGCGAAGATCTCCCTCGGAGGACCCTCAGTCTCCTCCCTCTCCATCCGCTCCTTTCCAAATTCACTCGGGTATACAGCCACCTTCAGCACCCGACCTCCAGTCGGCGCAAAGCTAGAGAAAACAGCCATCAAATCCTCTGCCCTAATATTGTCCCAGTCAAGATTCACCACCGCAATGCGATCCGTAACCTCTCCCGTCGGCACATCAGTCCGCTGCTTATCGGGGTATTCAAGCTCCTCGCCGAAGCCTTCAAACTCCTCCTCATCTTCTTCCTCGTCGCTCGAGCTCTCCTCCTCTGAGGAAGACTCATCGAAACCTCCATCACGCGCGGGGTCATATGACTCTGCCATTTTCAGTTCTCTGAGGACCTCCTCGTCATCGGCGACACTGGCATCTTCAAGGTCATTTTCTTCTCCCTCCTTTGCATCATCGTCTAGCTGGTAGAACCGTTCAAGCTGTTTCTTAGTATCGTCGCGAGCGAGTTTCCGTCCGTACCGATCAACTGCAGCGTTTCGGGAGAAATCCTTGTCGCGCAGCATGTGCGCGAAACGGTTGTCGAGCTTGACATGGGTTTGACGTTTGCTGGGGAGACGATAACGAGGATCGGTCTGGATGTTGGCGAATCTAGGGTCGGCTAGAGTACACGAGAAGGGAAAGAGTCAGCCATGGGTTTCTCCGTGGGTATATAGAATAATAAGTCAATCGCAATATACATACTGATCACCGAAGCGGCGTCATTTTTCGCTCCGCCGCTCTTCTTTCCCTTCTTCTTCTGGTCGGGCATTGTGATGAATCCGTCCTTAGTAAGAACTGAGCTGGACTAGTTGGCTAAGGTAAGTTCAACTATACTTCGGACAGCAAGATGAAGGGTGCAATCGTCCTGGGTGCGTGGCTGTCTGGAAAAGTGGTGGTCATGGATAATTTTCTGGCGGGCGGAACCAAAGATTCTTCGGCGGTCTTGGATGTGGTCCGTGCGTTCTCCGAAGGTTAACTCCGCCATCCATGCTTCTGGTTTACGCTACTAGTACTAGCACATCGAGGGTTGGGTTATGTTCGATTGATTTGTTAGGTCAGGTATATGCCGGAATATATATATCTATCGCCAAAATGAAGCATGTGCAATCATTGCGGTCGTGGAGTGAACCTTCTGTGAAGTCCGCGCAGATCGAGTCTAGATTCTGTCCATATTTCAACAGCCAAAGTATCTCTTCTCGATCCAACGAGGCTCACGCTCCTCCTCAATGCGCCCAACAATCACCTTTATCCCAGGAAATACGGTGGTCAGTCGCTTCAATCCTATCTTCCCTGCAGCACAGGTCACAAAGATAATCTTCTCCTCGTGAACGCCGTGGTCAATCAGAACACGGACCGCCATTAGAGCAGCGCCTCCACTAGACATCTGAGGGTCGAGGAGCATGACGTTTTCGTGGTTCTCAATATTGGGCGGGAGCTTCAGGTAATGAAGCTCGGGCTCCTCGTTCTTCTCATTGGTCTGGATGAGCACACGGCCGGTGATGCAGTCAGGAATGGTCCGCTTGAGCGCTGTCTCAAGGCAAGAACCTCCTCGTAAAATCGCAACAGCAGACACTACGCCCGCCTGGTTCAGACCATTGTAGCTGGTCGATTGAGGCGTGTCCACTTCTTGTGGCACGTAACAGGTGACGTCCAAGGCCCTGTCCAGGAAGTGGCTTGTAAGCAACAATTTCACAAGTGCGCAGCCATGGCAATGTTGGGATTATTAACTCACTTTTCTATCAGCAAGGCGGCAAGTCGGTCAAAGTAGAACACAAAGTCAACCTGCTCCGTTGCAGGGTCTTGAAGGATGGTGTTCATGCCGACAAACTGTGACGTTTGGGGCATCATAAAGACGTTGGAAGACAGTTGCTCTTCCGAGGCGATGAGACCGAGCCGGGTTAGCTCCGCGTTGTGCTTCTCTGATTTATCGTCAAGCTTGCGCTGGATATGTTGTACCACCATGTCTAGGAGTAGATTTAGCTTAAGGGCTCGAGAGAGGAGCTGAGTTCCTTACCAATAGCCGTTCTGTTCTCGATTCCACGGGGAATGATGATGTCTGGAGCTTTCGTTAAACTAAACCCGAATGGCTGAGATTCGCCAACTCACCCGATACAGCTCGCTGAGGTTCAACATAGTGCTTATATGACGGCTTCACATAGGTGAACCACTGCTTGACAATGCCTTCGACATCCCTTCCTCTCTCGCGAACATCGCGCATGACTAGCTTCCTCTTCGTTAGAGCAGTACGAGCTGCAGAAAGTTCAGGGGGCTCACTTCTGCGTCCCAGACAGACATCCATGTCCGCTTCAACAAAGATCTGCCCAAAGGTGGTTAGATACCGGCTAGATCTGGGTTAGGGGAGAGAAACCTACCTTAACGTCCAATAGTTCCATGATCCTCGGGTCATGCAAGGCCAGGATGCCCTCCAAGATCAACACACGCGGAGAATACAGTTTGCTTGTCTCTGACTGACGCTGATGTTCCGCAAACGAGTAGATAGGGATATCTGCTTTCTTTCTGAATAGGTTGTAGAGATTCTGTCAGCGTTCTATACATGGCACGTGCCTCTCCAGCAATTACAAGAGGCAATAGACAGTACCCTTGCTTAAGATCCCTCAAGGTTTGCACCAGCACATCAAAGTCCAGAGAATCCGGACAGTCAAAGTCATATTCATTGCGGTGGGCTCTGGCATGATCCTCCGGGGACAAACTCTTGTAGAAGGAGTCCTGTACCACACCGCCGTTAGAGAAGTTGAAGAATTTATTGTAGGCTTAGAGATATTATGAAACCGAGCGAAGATACCATTACGAGAATCACGACCCAGGGAAGATTCAGAGATTTCACAATCTCCATGGCCACCGAGGTCTTGCCAGACCCGGAGCTGCCTGCGATACCGATGATACTCAAATCCGCCCATGGGGGGGAGTACCGCTTGTCGGTGGCGGACGAATATACGGGGGAAATCGACTGCATCTTCCCGACCCTCACCGAGGAATTGACCGGCTGAGACGATGGGGACTAGTAGGCGGCCGGCCCGATCTTCAGTTCATAACAGAGGCAAGCAAAACTCGGCACAAACCCGCGACAAGCTTGGGACCGATGCGATAAGAGGAGACCGTTCGCAGATACACCCAAAAGGGACCGGTGATCGCCGCTTAGCCGGTTCGGGCCTAGCGGGGGCCGTGACCTTCGCTTGCGGCTTTAGGTTAGCTGGCTAACGTGACCTAAATCTGCCGCCGCTTTTTCTTGCTTTTCTACCCGCGTTTTCTTTTTCTCCTCCTTCTTCATTCCTCTCCTCCCGAGCATCCTCATGGCTCCCGTCTGCGAAGCTTCCCATCTTCCCAGACGGCCTCTTGCTCGCTTCCAGGCTACTTGACATCCCACTGCACCTTTCGCAACCACCCTGCTAATCACCATGTCCTCTGCCAATTATGTATGCGCCCTGACATGCCGTGTGTGTCGCGTGGTTGCTTGGTTTTAACGGGAAACAGATGTCTCCCTCTTCCTCGACAACGCCAACATGGCATCAGTTCGAACGGAAGGTCGAGGAGGTCAAACCATGCAAGACGTGAGTTACCCCCCTCTACTTTTTTTCCGCTTTGTCGCGCTTCGATTTGCATGATGTACCTTGAAATCAAGTTGGGAATCTCTCTGAAACTACTTGAGGAGAACATGTTAACTTGTGTTTCTGAACCCTTCGGGTTTACCTATCTTGTCAAGATCGCTTCCTTGCCATCAGCTGCTGACTGTCGTTCTTGAAGTGATATTAACTACTTGGTTATGGATTACCTCATCACCAATGGCTATCCTGCGGCTGCGAAGAAATTCTCGGTCGAGGCAAACATCCAACCCAGAGCAGATATCGAGTCGATTCAGGAAAGAGTTGAGATTCGTACTGCGATTCATGCTGGGAATATTCAAGCTGCCATTGAGAAGATCAATGAGCTCAACCCTCAGGTAAGACCTTCCTCCGTCTCCCTCAACCCCGCCCCCACCATGCTTGCTATGATTATACCAAGTTTCATGCACCACTCGGAACACCTCTTCGGGGGTTTGTCGATAAACAAACATCTTCAGTCCTCAGTATGAGCGCAAGCAAAAAACCATGCCGTTGTCATCACACCTGCCTTTCAATAGCTTATGCTGACCTAAACCGGCTTTAGATCCTGGATGAAAATCCGCCTTTGCATTTCGCCTTGCTGCGGCTGCAACTTGTGGAGTTGATTCGCTCATGCACCACAACCCCTGATGGAGACATCAGTCCTGCCCTCGAGTTCGCGACCTCGCAACTTGCACCCCGGGCGCCCACCAACCCTCAGTTCCTCGAAGACCTCGAGCGAACCCTTGCACTCTTGATCTTCCCGGCGGATAATCTCTCTCCGTCCCTTGCCCCTCTACTGCACCCCGACCTTCGTAAAGACATCGCCAACCGTGTCAATGAAGCCATCCTGCTGAACCAGGGTGCTCGTAAAGAGGCCCGACTACGCAACTTGGTTAAATTGCGCTCGTGGGCTGAGCAGAAAGCCCGGGAGGCCAAAAAGGACATACCCGAGAAGCTGGACCTCGGATTTGGTGATAACAACGCCAACGCCATCCATAACAGTAATTCCCTACTCGGCATGACCCGCGCCAGCCACAATGGCCCTAACGACACTGTAATGACCAATAATGGGGACATCGACCGAATGATCTCATAGCTTCCACCATTCGATAAGCGATCATCTCCACATATTAATACCTTTCGATATCACGACCTGTGAATGTTTTTTGTTCATTTTTCGATCCAGCATGGCGTTTGGGAGCGCACGGCTCAGTGATTACATCACATTGCACTCTGCACATTGCACCTTTGTACAACTCACGTGGTCAATACAAGCAGCGCTCTTACTGTATCCGTTCTTAGTTGGTTCCTCTGTAGCTACTGGTCCTTCTATGCTGTCACAGCGCAAGCTTTTGACGGGACCAAACCCAGTTAACTCAATGGGATCCCTTTCCGGGTTCATCACGGTTACTACATATTACTGAACTCGTATGACGCAGAAATCTAGGAGACATTGTAGTAGCTATAATTAGTTATATGCACGGTCAACAATTGTTGTATCTGAAATGTCTATCTCACAAATTCCCTCCCTGATCATCATACAATCAATTCATTCATTCGTCCAACCACGCCCACACAAACGTAATTCACTACAGCGAATAGAAAGGGAAGAAGAGAGTAGTAAGAAAGGAAATATAAACTTGATGGGGTAAATGGTAGTAGGTATGGAAGAGAAAAGCATTATTCCATCGACAGGCTGGTACGGGTGATTGCAGTAAAATATATATCCCGCAGTCCGCTGATACATTCCGGCACGGGACAAATCTACATCATATCAAAGTAGGGAAGAAGGGAGCAGATTAAAAGCTCATGAGGTCTAGATGTTGGAATGGATGGTTAGCAAATGTGATTTTATCGAATGATGTATGGGCAAGGGGCTGAAAAGTTAGAAACGAACCTCTTCCGAAAAGAGCTCTCTTAGCCCAATCCATGGCCAGCATACACCGAGTCCGGAAGCTGACACTCTCAGCAAAGTAGACACTGCGCCAGAGGTACATGGCCAAGACGCCCCCGCTGAAGCTCAGACCGCCGAAGTCGAAGATAGCAGCGTTGCTGATGTAGGCCAGACTTCCCAGGTGCCTGTATTTGAAGGCCTTGTACACAGCTTCGTCGAGGTCGCCGTAGTCGATTTGGTTGGCCTGCATGCCCGGAAGAGCGGCAGCGATCTTAGTGAGCTTGCGACCGAGATATTCTCCCTGCTGGTTGGCTCGTTGAGCGGTGGCGGGGAGGGAGGTGAGTTTGGTATCGATTTGGTGGAGGAGTTCGGAGAGCTCGCCGAACTCAAGGGTGCCCGACTGGTCCTTGTCATATTGTTCGAAGAGCTTGTCGAGGCGGCGGAGGTGGTTGGAGGCTTGGGGGAAGCGCTTCTTGACACGGGTGGCGACCTCTCTCCATTCGCGGAAAGTGAGATGCAACTTCTGAGGGTCCTTGCCCTTCTCCCAGGCGATGGTGCGCAGGAAGGACATAATGTTTCCGGCGAGGTTGTTCTGGACGGTCGAGCAGTCGCCGATGGCGTAGACGTCGCCCAGGGGAGCTCCGATTAGACGGAGGTGAGAGTCCGTCTCCAGGGCGTGCTTGTTGTTCTGCGACTCAAGCTTGTCGGAAATTCTCTTGCAGATTTCAGCACGGGCTGTGACAAGTGTGAGCTTTTTGGTCATGTAGATGGGAGGTGGGTTGGAGGCACATACCGACGCCAGTAGACCACAGGCAGAAGCCCATCGGGATTTCCTTCAAGATGCGCTTTCCATCCTCCTCTTGCGTGAAGAGGACTCGGTCGCCGCGAACCTCAGCCACTCTGGCGTTCGTCAACACATCCACATGGTCTCGAGCGAAACGGGACTGCGCAGGGTCAGTTACTAAAGCTTTGATAGTGCGACAAGGGGCGACAAGGACTAACCTCAGCATAACGAGAAAGTGCCTCGTCGTAGGTGTTCAGGATATGGGTGCGACTCTGAATGATATGCACCGAGATCTCATTGCGCAGGATCTTAGGGAAGGAGTGTAGGAGGTCCTCGTTAAGCAAATCGAACAGCTCTGCGGCGAACTCAACACCAGTCGGGCCTCCACCGCAGACAACGAATGACAAAAGGCGCTTGCGTTCCTCATCACTGGTTGTAGGCAGACAGGCAAGTTCCATGTTATCCAAAACCTGATTCTTGATCCTCCGAGCGTCGTCAATAGTCTTCAGGAAATGACAGTTCTCGAGGCCCTTAACGCCGTGGGGGTTCGTTACACAACCTACAAGATCGGAGAATTAGTTGACGGCGCATGCAGGCGATGTAACCAGACTTTTAAACATACCAACACCGACGACCAGCTTATCATAAGGTAGATAGAACCGTTGCTCTTTGCCATTGGCATCCAGTTGAGACACTTCCACCAACTTCTCGGAGAAATCAACGTCCTGGGCCTCGCCCTTGAGGAAATGGCCATTCACCCGTTGAACGATCCGACGAACAGGTTCAACAAGCGACCTCAATCCCAAAGTACCAACCGTCGCAGACGGCAGCATGGGAGTGAACAGGAAGTAGTTGGTAGGGGACACCACCGTGACGTGGTAGTCGCCGGGGTTGAGGTGCTTGAGAAGCGCGATGCTACCCCAACCGGTACCCAAGATCACCAACCGGGGCTTATCCTTTTGCTCCAGTCTACCCTCCGAATCATTGTCACCAATCAAGACTTCCGCGATAGGGAGGTTCTTCGGGCCACCACGTCGAGGATTAAGCGCCAATTCCGAAACCGGGATGTCTTCCGCGCTCGAATTCTCACGGTAGGTGGTCGCATCGTAGACGAAGAAAGCCACGACGGCAGCACCGCTCATGACAATGAAAAAACCGCAGTACGCAAATGACTTGAAGAGGGCATTGCGAAGGCCGGACTTCGGTGGAGGGGCATTTGTTTCTGGGGCCGTGGAATTATGACGGACTGAAAATCGGGGGTTGAAAAAGGCACGCGATGCTAAGCATTGAGCTGTCGGGGTGCGACGAGGAAGCCGTGATCGGGAGGCAGCGAAACCTGCGGATGCTGGCGACCTCGAGGACTGGTATCGACGGGATAGAAGACTGATTCTTGTCAGGGCATAGGGGTCCGGACGACTCCGGAGCAGCGCCGCGCTCATGGCGGGTGTAAAGGTGGCAGGGAAAAAGCGGTCACTGCAAAAGGGCCAGGCCCGAAACAATCGACGCTTGGAGGGACCCAATGGCACGAGGAGTGAGAGAAAAGGGAATGTAGATAGCGAGCGATTACACCGAGCTGGCAATCAAACGTAAATAACTATGGCGCGGAAGAGAAGGTGAGGAAGAGTACGGAGTAGTAGAGGAAGGAAACCGGCAGAGGACGACGACACGGAAACGGGGCCTGTGCCTCGACGTCATCCGGGCCCAGCTCACTACTGACCCGCTCGGGCTGCAGGGCCCGGCTTGGCGCCATTCTACATACTCATGTAGGTAGTGATACTAGGTAGATAGTTATTGATCTGAGATACACAAAGAATAGATAGGGTCGTCTCATAAAACATAAGAAACAATGGATGAAGCCGGCACGCCGCCCGCCACCGTGTAAGTAATAAGTCGCCGATGGCGCACGGTTCAAAGCAAGCCGTGCATCCCGAACGCCAGTTCCAGTCCCATAAATGCATCCTCCAGTAGATAGATAATGGACAGCCAAAATACAAGGGTCATGGTGTCAACCCGATCAACGGCTTCGACACCTTTCTAGTTCCAGTCCGATTCCTCCCCGGGCTCCGTGCTGGCGCGTTTCTTCACAGCCCCGCTCTTTCGGCCTCGAGGACGCTTCACAGGACTTTGCGCGGACATGGAGTTCTTTCGCTTCCCAGGCCTAGGCGCAGCTGCAGCCCCCCAAGCGGCTCCCGGATCATCCATGTCCGTGACCGCATCCAAATTATCTCCCTCGGCGTCCTCATCGCCCCCGACCTTGAATTCATCGTCGATGGCAAGCAAAGTCGCAAACTCGCGGCACTTGTCAATCATGCTCTGCTCGCTACTCAACGCGTTCATGTTCCGAGCTATGGCGTCCCAGAACCTGTCGCCTGTCACTCCATGTACCTTTGTCGCTGACTTGTTGAGCTCCTTGGTCGCACCCTTGGCCTCTTTAACGCGAGCATGCGCTGTGACGTTATAGAGGCGGCGAAGATAAGTACGGGCTTCCCAGAGCATCGAAAGTGATGCAGCAGCGGTAGCCAGTAGTCGTAAGGTTGCTGGATTATACTGTACCAGGGGCGCTGTATTTCCTAGGCCCTCCGTTGGAGGAGCAGGCATCGCCTCTCCAAGAGTGGGCTCCGTCTTCGCAGAAAAGATATCCGTTTCGATCGCGTGGGCTACAACAGTCCCAGTTGCAGAAACAATGCGCTCCATGCAACCGATGGTTGGCACGAGTTCGGCAAGCTGATTATAATCGAAAAAGGCGAGGTTCTGAGCCACAAACCGTGCAAGTAAGAGATGCTCGGGCGGGTCGGCAGTGACGCCAAGCTTTTTCAGTTCAAAGTTGACTTTCGAGCACAGATTCGAGAGGAACTTTCTCTGGTAACGACTGTTGCTGATTTTTATGATTTCGAACAGCGGCGCAAGCTTGGCGACATATGGGCGGCTTGATGCACCACTGGAGTCCCCGACCACGTCGCGCTGGTAGTAGAATGCTTCCTGAACAGCACGCATGTATTCCCTCTCGAACATCGATTCGTACTGCTGATGAAGCATCTTATGAGTATCAAATGCAACCTTGGAGATTGCGGGAACAGTGGACGTTTCCAGGGAGACCAGAACACCGGCACACTCTTTGGGGTGGACCAGTCCTTGGCGGTTGATACTGGCGATCAGCTCGATAGCAGTCAGCGCGTACGAATCTTGCCGCGATTGTGCAACGCGGAGCATGTTCCGTAAGAAGTGCTGAGCGATCAACGCGGCAGCTCCATCGTTATCACTGGCCTTCAAAGATCCTCCTAGCCTTGTGGAGTTTTCCTGTTCGGCGATTTCAGCAGAAGGCATTACTGTCTTCTCTGCCTTGCCTTCGTGCATGGCGAAGAAGTCGGCAAATGACCTCAGTACAATGTTTTGCAGGCTTGGATTGTCTTCCTTGAACACCATAGATAGGATCTGTCTTGGACTCTCGCGACTGAACTGGCCTGGCCAGGACTGGCAAATCGATCCCAAGCTCTCAAGAGACATGACCCTTAGCTCAAGGGGTTGCTTCGGAAGTGTGAAGGGTATAATGGCATCAACCATCAAGCCAGCCACCGATCCGCCGCTCCATGATGGAAAGGCATTCTTGAAATGTGGCTCGTACTTTTCAAGATCACAATGTCTTCCAACACAGCCTGCAATTCGAATATAGCTTTTGGCTCTGGCCAAGACAGCCGCATTCGCAGGATCCGAAAGATCGATGTTCTTATAGTGCTGTATTGGCTTCAACACGGAGATCGTTAGCTTCACTAGCCTGTCAGTGTTGTGCAGAACTCCGTTGATGGTCCAAAGACAAGCCATCACTTCATTCAGCTCCGAGCGAGCCAGTTTAGCAACGCTCTTGAAAAGGTCATTCTGCACTTCCCGCAACAGAGTGTTGTGAGCGGACGATAAAAAGGGTAGGACGCATCGATAGATGACAACCACAGATCGAAATAGGAAGAGATCCTCGGCCGTGGTCAAGTGTCCAATATAAGGGTGCAGAGTCTCCAGTTGGTCAGGTCGAAACAGCTTCGCATTGGCTTTTGCAAAGACGGTAATTGTTTGCAACAATGCCTGCTGGAATTCTTTCCCTGAGTCGTTGCCTTCAACCAGTTTCTCAAACATCGTAGAAACCATTGCCTTGCATACTTTGAAGTTCAGAGTTGCGGTTTTGGAGGTTTCGGAAAAGACCTTCTTAAGGCAATTATTCAAGGTCTCGAGCGCCGTTTCGCTTCGCTGAACGAGGCTGACGATTAATGTCACCCGCTCCTCAAGACCAACCTTGAGTTTCGGACCATCATGAGCAGAGTCGATGAGCCCGTGGAAGGGGGTAAGCCATATCTCCTCGAACGTCTGCCGCGCTAGGGTTGCCACACTATCTTCCAGATCACCTGTTCGTTGGAGAAAGCTATCCATGATGGCTAGCTTCAACTCCGTACGCGATGTGTTAAGGTAGATATCCTTCAGCAGTCCAATGCAGCGCTTCCTTACACCGGCAGTTGGATCGGCAGCGCATGTCAGAATGCTCCGGCAACCATCCTCTTCCAACTTCGGTTTCAAAACAATGCATTTCGCGATCAAGGACAATGCAGAATCGCGGACCATTGGGGATGCGTCAGTAGCACAATGGAGAATGACCCGCATAACAGATGCATCTCTATCAAGAAGACTCGGATCCTTCTCTAGCATGTAGATTACACTCTTCAAGCTACGACTCCGGACTTTGGCCTGGTCACTTGCAATGGAGTTTAGCAAAACTTTGAGGATAGTGTCAAAAGCTTTACAGAATCCCGAGTTCAAGATGGTCAGGATATAGGCGAACTTTCCGTGTGCGGTGGACACGGTATTGAAATGCCTCAAGAACAAATCAGCGACGTGATACGAGCTTCCTCATAAAGAATCCTCACCTGTGAGTCTCGAGCCACATCGGATCCGAGAAGAGTTTCCCAAAGAGTGCAACCAGGTCTTCCGTCGCGTCGTCATAGATGACTTCATCCTTGTCTTCAGAGTTATAGTAAACGGAACAGAAGGTCTTGGACCATTGTGTAAGATAGAAACCCCGAGCACTAGCAAGCTGTTGGTTGTCTACGCTGCGGTCCTGAATGAAATATTCGAGGGTCATCCGATAAGGGCCTTCAGCAACAACAAGGTCCTGAGGATGTAAGGCACGATTAGAATACTCTTCGAACAGCTGCCTTAGGGAATCGGTCAAGTCACTATCAGCCTCGTCCATGGCAGGAAGCAGGTGTTGAGCAGTCGCAATGAGGTCGGAGATGGCAGAGCCCATCCATCCTAGAAGCTCAAGGGCCATGCTCTTTGAAGTAGCAGAACCCTTGTCATGTTCAGTGATACTGACCATGTGAGAGGCTATGATGCGAAGAAGTAATTCTGCAGCAGGCCAGTCCGTGGAGCCCAGAACGTTGATCAAATCTTCGGTAAAAAGGTCAAAGATATTTCGAAAGGGCTGGTCGCCAGACTTGGTGGATGTCATTGCCCGTTGGGCGATGAATTTGACGATGTATTGAGCACTGCGCGCTGCGTTATCATACAGGCGGTTAACCTTCGTCGCAAGCTGTTCCATCGAGATATTCGATTGGTCATCGTCCACCCCTTGTCCATCAGCAAGCACCTCATCATCGTCCTCGTCCTCGGCCGAACCCGGTGGCTTACGCCTTATCCGGGAAGACCGTGAACTAGGAACATCTAAGGCGGTTGTTTGCACCAATTGCATTACCAATGCAGTTAGAAGTTGAATGTTCTTGCCATCAGCAAGTTTGTACTGCCTGGCGCTTTGCCGAGTAGACGGAAGCCTCTCCAGCGAGACCAAAATTTCATCCAGAATGTATGGCCGCTGAGCAGGATACTTGGAAAAGACCTTAGCAAGTACATCCATAGCTCCGCGTCGAACAGACTCGTATTTCTGGTAGCCCACCGTAGAATCCTTCTCCGTATGAGCATTCTCGACGAATATCAATTTAGCTGCGAAGTATTCCGTCGCCGTGACCGTGCCCTCGGAGACGTCAATCCGCGAGAGAAAATCCGCAAAAAGAGCAAGTACTCGTTTGCTTTGTTGGATTAGGGAACCAAGAACCCGTTTCTGAGCAGAGAAGAAATCAAAGTGTTTTGCGTCCTTGCCTCCAGGACGTGCCTGGACAGCAGGAATGATGCACTGATCAAAGGTTTGGTTAAAAACATTTGGGATAGCCTCAATCAAATCCTCCGGACAAAGATCTCGCTCTGTCTGAGAGCCAGACATTGTTTGCAGTAGAGTAGCAATGGCGAGGAGAGCACTGTGTATGTCATCCATCTTTCTCAGCCAATCCTGAGCTTCAGACTCATTCGAGGGGTCGTCGATTCTCAAGTCGAGTGACTGCGCAGCAATGATTGGCTTTTCGCAAAGCTTCTGGATCCTATTTAGATAGTCCGATGGAATATCTTGAAGTCGGTTATAGCCAACTACCTTCTTGATGGCCTTCTGGAGCCGGGTGTGGGCATCGGACGAAAGGATGAGGCCGCTGACATCTAGCGCGTGAGCCGTGGTGAACACTGCATCTGTTCGTTCAGCGACCGCATCAGATGATGCACTAGGGTCTAGTTGGTCCTCAGATTCAAAAATCTCATGAAGTAGGTCTTGCAATTTGACCAGGGCAGCATCGGCCTCCTCTTTTTGATCTTTCATGCGGATTGTCATAAGATTCTCGTCCCCATCGGCATTAAGCTTTCTTCTCTTCGACATGCCGTGCGCATCCGTATGAGGCGGCAGAGGCTTCACCGGAATTACTACCGACAGCTGACTTGCCTGGTGGCTCGGTCGGTTGGAGGATGTAGGGGTAGGTCTATGAGCGACCGAGGTCTGCTTCTCGTTCCAGGAGGTAGGCTTTTGTGGAGGTTCCACGTCATCCGGGGTAGGATCTTTCATTTGTCAGTCGACTCTAAATTACATGTGAGGAGATGAAGCCCTACATCGGAATGCTATATCCGTAGCATCCAACATCATCTTCGCAAAAGAGCCAAGCTTGTTGCTGCTGGCGACATGGTCATGGGCGGCAGCCGAAAGTGATTGTGAAGGATTGACCGTCCTAATAGGCAGTTTGAATTTACTGCCAGAATTGATGAGTATATGATATAAGAATGAAGCATTGATGAGGCTCACAATTCAGTCAACTGGTCGCCATCCAACAACTGCTGCAAGTATTCCCGAGACGTCTCTAAACGATTCGATTCATCTCGGCCTGACTGAATTTCACCATTCAGTCCACTCAGCGCCGTCCGGCCCGACTGCAGGATGTGATTAATGGAGGTCGTATTGGGGGGTCGACCGACGTCAGGGCGTAGGATGCAATCTAAGGAGACAGGTCCATCAGTTAAGGTTCACCTCGTTCGCAAAGGTTAACTCCGCCTGACCTAAACCGAAGACGGGCGAGCTGGACATGGGCGAGTACGGCAGAGCTTCATCAACTACCAACGGCCGATTCCTGCGCGGGGGCTGCCCACTGGGAACATGGCCTTGCGCTTGAGGATGGCCATTGATGACGACCTGGACAGCCGGATGCCAGTTTTGGGCCATGGCAGCAGCGGGGGTCCCTACTGGGAAGCTAACGATGGGAGGAAGAGAGATCTAGGTCTGTGACATAGGTATAGACATGCTCCCCTCAGAGACATGGCTAGCAAGTAAGAGAATGAAAGACCATCCCCGACAAACGCCTATTGATCCAGCGATCTCCATGGCAGACCAATGCAATAATTGATGCCAGGCACGGTTCTCGTGCCGCTGCCGCGCCTCACCGCCCGGCACTAATATCGCGCTGTGCCGTATGCCAATCACGGCCCGTGCACGGCCAATCTTTCCGGCGCCATCCAAGACCAGCAGAAAAAAAAGTGATTATTTCCAATTGTCCGGACAAGCCAATTCCCTTGTTGCAACCAACCCCGCTCACAATGTCTGCGATCGGAACTCTCGTCTTCTGCACTGACTGTGGCTCCCTGCTGGATGGCTCCATTGGAGACCCAACCAAGATCCTCGTTTGCGATGTCTGTGGAGCCAGGAACAAAGGTAGGTTTGCTACTTTGAAGCCCATAGATACTCATTTGGACATGCTTGACTGACACTTCTATCTTTTTCTGTCATGTAGACACCGTCCCCCAAACCATCGTCTCCGAGTCCAAACCCAGCGCTTTCCCGTCGACTCTCAGAGCGAAAAGATCTGCCGTTCAGACTTTGACAGCACAAGACAGGAATACTGAAGCCCTTGCCCAATATACATGTGTCAAGTGTGGCAGAAAGGAGATGTACTTCACCACAGTCCAATTGCGCAGTGCAGATGAAGGTAGCACAGTGTTTTACAGATGTGTCTGTGGTCACAAGTATGCAACATGCCCATTCATTCACATTTCGCGATTCTCCATACTAATCTGCTACAGGGAATCCATGAACAACTAAGCGGCAAGACCTGGTGTCTGATTTTTGTTCTCAATTGTACATCTATGAGTCATGAAAGCAACTATTTACCGGCATTGTAAACCTTTTGTTCGCATAATTCATCAAGCAGACACGGCAGCAGCGGCCCCAGAGCCCGGCACCAGCGCATACTCAATCTCTCCGTTCTTCTCAAACTCTGCCATATCAAGAGCCACAATGATGCTGTCTCTGACCACCTGTTCGGGGTCGTTGATGAACTTCTTCAGGGTATCCTCGACACCCTCAACGTCACCCAAGCTACCGAGGGCTTCGGCAGCCTCGTGGCGCACCATACCGGCCTCTTCCTGGTTGCTCAAGCACTCAGTCAGACTAGGGACAGATGCGGGGTGGCAAAGTTGACCGAAGACGAATGCGACCTCGTGACGGAACAGTGCAGAGGGGTCCTTGAGACCCTTGGCGAGGGCTGTAACGGCCTCAACGGCGGTGGGCAAGTCAGGGGGCGATGCGAGGTCGCGCAGGGCAAACATGGCACGGTATCTTTGGAAGAGAGGGAGTTTGGTGTCCAGCAATGTCGTCTCCAACTCCAGGATGGAAGGTTCTGCGGCTGCCAGGGGAAGGGGCGGGGCAGGGTCGATAGAAGTGAAGTCACTATATCATTTAAAAGAGCCCAGTTAGCAATCCGAATGACTCTGCGACAAATGAAGTAAACCATTGCCACAACATACCTAGGCTTCAACTTCTCCGCTTTCCGTTCCTCCGAGTTCTCCCACACAATGCGATCAACCGCAATATCGCACGTCTCCCTAATAACATCGGGCTCCTTCTCATCATCCTTCAAGGCCCTCAGAATCTCCAAACTATCCTCATAACCCAGAGCTCCCAGAGCCTCGGCAGCCTCATGGCGACACATGACATCCTCCTCCGTGTCCTTCAGAACCTGCTGAAGGAACGCGACCGAGTCCGGGTTACGTGTCTGACCAAGACAGTAGGCGAGCTCATGCTTCAACAGCGCCGACTTGGAGGAAAAGGCCGCAGCGATGGCCTCAATAGCAGGAAGGGTGTCCTCGGAAGGGGGCTGCAAGCAAGCCACGTACTTCAGGGAAAAGAGGGCACGGAAGCGGCGCGCGAGGGGCTCGGACTCGTTGACGAGAACCTTGCGCAGGGTGGCGACGGTCCCCTCGTGGTTGTCGGTGGCAGCAGACATGGTTTATTATTGATTAAGGAGTGTTCTAGTTAAAAATTCACGAAGTCCAGCGGAAACGAGGGGTAGGGAGAGAGGGTATTCGGGCTTGGACGATAGGTAAATTTTCGATCTTATCACCACCAGATAATAAATTTTAGGTGGGGGGGCGGGGTACCATCGCCGTGGCTGGGCGGCCTTTGCTTGGGAATCCAATGTGTGCCACCACCATCCGGATCTGTACCTGCCGGCATGGTTTGCAGGATTGGAGGTGGGTGCTTTTTTTTTTTCTGCTTTAAAAAAAAAGAAGTAGCATAGGCATTGATTATGGACTTTGGTCAATGTTTTGTTGCTGTCGCCTGTTTATGCAGATAATTTGCACAGCATCATTGAGTACACTTGGATGTATCTCTCAGCTTTTCTCTAGACCGCTGAAGCCTATTTCTCTCACGAACGGGCAGACTAGATCCACTACACTGCATGCTTAAAGTTTCATCTGTTACCCGGTGAACTTCCGTACTCTGCTGCACCATCAAAATCCTTGGTATCATTCTTGTAAGTATGGTTGTTGTGTCCTCTAAGCCATGGTGGTAGATATAGAATATAATCAAACATCTAGTCCAGGTGATACCATGGCAATACCAATGTCGTCCGTTTAGTATTATATTATACAGAAGACTGTCTCTCAGCATAGAGCACCGATTCATGCAAATCGTAATGTAAATATCTGGCCACTTTACTGAATCATGTCAACATAACAAATGGGATAGCGTCTTATGTGTATAATCCAGAGATTCAAAACTGATCGACATCATTCATCATATATTAGCGGAGCCTTATTACAGACCCAGGTCGGCATCATAGCTGGCCAATTACCAAGCCAACTGACCGACGAATCGTTTAGTTTATGATGCCTCAGGCAAGAAACATGCGCTCCTTATCCTGATAGACGATCTAATGAAGAATAGGCTGCAGACAGACTTCAGATCACTGAAGTTACTCAATTCAGTATTACTGGTTGGTGATACAGCAGGGCTTATTTTCGATCTTTTATTGGGGTGACGCTCGTAGGTCTCCCCCAAACTCCTCTGATATAGCGCCAACACTTTCTCATATGTCAGCTGGGACAGAAGCTCATATGGGATTTTAACAGATGATCCAGTAGCAAAATAAAGCATGTAGAAAAGTTAATTTATCACCTAGCACAACCCAGAACTCGAAGAACGACCTGCACTTATGTACATGATACACCGAAACCCCCAATCATTTAGTCTTGATGTGTTTGATCTTCTTCGGCTCGTGAACGAAGTTGTTAGCGTAGGCCTTGGGAACGAATCGGCGCTCATTAGGCTCCTGCACGAAGTATTCGTATCCCTGCTTCTGGGCGAACAGGATAGCATCCTCCTTGGTCTTGAAGTTCAAGTGGGTGCCCTGCATGCAATCGGCAGAGGACTGCCAGCCCATCAGGGGGTTCTCCCAGCGATGTCCCCTTTGCAGAATATCCCAATCCATTCTCCAGTGGTGGGCGCGCCAGGTTCCGGACTGTGTGGCGGGCTTCGCTTGGCGGTAGATCCTAAATGATACGATCAGCGCGCTGATAGGGACCTATATCTCAATTTGGCCCCATACCGGACAGTACGGGCCTGCAGATCGGTGGGAGCACCGGAAAGGACAGCGGCGGCAACAGTGGCACCGGGCTCACTGCCATCCATGACGCGCTTGGGCACAGGGGAGAATTGCCTGAGTCGTTGTCAGTGAGCCATTCCAATGCGACCTGGTGGGAGGTTCGTACGAGGTGGCGTGATCAATGGTGGCATCGTAGTCGGGCTGATGGCGAGCCATGGCCTCGGAAGGGCTCTCCTTCCGGATCATGGTGCTCTCCTGGTGAGGAGTAGCCGGGGCATCAGAAGTGCTGGATGTGCGGGAAGGGTCGCCGCGACCGGTCCCTGTGGACACAAAGCGCGCATTGACAGGTGCGACGAACCGGCCGGCACGGACACAGGCGAGTCTTCCTGCTCTGACAAGCGACATGATGGCGATGTGTGCTTGGTTGAGTGGAAAGAGCAAAGGTGCTGCGGTAGAGCAATTGCAGGTTGAGGTATGCGGCGAGAGCCGGCGTTCGAACAAATCCCGAATGCGGTTTAGCGCCCTTTGTGTGAGGCTCCCTGCGTTGAACCGCTCTTCCGACAACCCGCTTTCTCGTTGGCACTTCTTCCTTCTCTCCGTCATTATCCATTGTCCTAGTTCACCTGCTAGCGTCAAGGTATGCTGGTTATTCCCACGTTGAGACCTTGCAGTCTCTGTTGCTCCTATCATTGATCCGTCAATTCTCTGACTCGGGGCCACACAGATCTTCCAAGATGAGCTACATCGCCCGCCGCGGTCTCTCGACCTTGATCCCTCCCAAGGTAAGAAATAGCCGAAAAGAAACACGAGAGATGTCTTTCCCGGATGCTAATTGATGTTTAGATCGCTTCCCCTAACGTGAGACTCCCTGCCCTCTTCTGCCTCGGCACTTCTTCGACGTTACCGCCCGGAGCAATCTCTTTCGTGCTGCAACTCGGAGCTCAACAAAACGCGCTTCTCACATGATGGACATAACTAACTGTTGAAAAGGCCATCGGTGCTGCCAAGGATGCTGCCCGCATGGACCGCGTCGTGAACTTCTACGCCAGACTCCCCCGTGGTGCTGCCCCTGAAGTCAAGCCCACTGGTATCATCGGCCGTTACCAGGCTCGCTACTTCGGAAAGAACCCCTCTGCTGCTCGTAAGCATTCCTTCTCAGATACCACTTAACGAATGAACCATGCTGATGATTGATATCGATAGCCCTCGCCCACGCCATCGGCGCCATCCTGATCATGGGTTACAGCATGGAGTACTACTTCCACCTCCGTACGTTTTCCACATTCCTGGGGTATACCAGGCAGCACAACTTACCACATTGCAGGTCACCACAAGAACCACCCCCACTAAGCTATTCGCTTTTTGGATCTTGGGCGCGGGAGAATCTGTGTATATACCACACACTCTACAATGAAGACGATGTAGAAGAATCAAACTTGTACCACCTCAATTACGAATCTTTCCTTGAAGACGAGGCCTTTCCCTTATCTAGTTAGATCTTCCTTCTTGAGTTCATCTCTCAAAGTTTATCGCGTACGTAGCCCTACAATGCCACGACCACCCTGGTGGCTGTGCATATCCAGTACGGACGGATATACTCGGTGTGAATCGGCTTACCCTGTATCCTGTAACTTGCGATATGGTTTTTTCAGAGACCGGGCTGCGATCAGCTCAGGGCACTCCAGTAGTTTCGCCTGGTAACGAACCCAGGCGCGGGCTTGGGTATCTCGCCCACTGTCCAGATAACGCCTCGCATATTCGTGGCTTGGTCTGGCCTGAGAACCAGGATCTACCTCCTTGTGGGGAGCACAATGACGCAACCGAATTGGAAGATGTAAGCGATTCTCCGAGAATGTGGTTTCAAGACCAAGAGGACCCTGGTATGGTTGTCAAATCAAGCTCATGGGTACTAACAGGTACAGAGCTGTGCTGACGGACGGGACGACAAGAGACCTAGATCTTCACTCAGAAGAGACTAGGGGACAGGGAGATCGAAGATTACTACCAACAGTGGGGACGGTAAGACTATGGAGTATTTTGTTGTTTGCGTCAACCGCGATTAATTCTGCGAAGGATGAATGGGGGGCTATGTTCTGTTATGACTTATGAAGTCCATTGCCTGCATAAGCGAGCGATCACTCTGCTTCGTATGTAGTAGGTATCATGCGAACCCACCCTTAGATAGAGTTTGATGCCAGGACCTAAGTAGGTAGGGCGCATCGAATTCTGGTCCAGGCACGAACTTGCCCGTCCTATATCGCACGTTCCTGATACATCTCGCCAATTGGATTGAAGATTGGTGGATTACGTGAGACAGGTATCTACAAGGGTGTGGATGGATACCCAAGGCAGGCGGACGATTGTTGGGCCGTTTCCCCCGAAGTGTTGGGATCATGGTAAATCCTCAAGTGCTTGAGGATGCGACCATGAATCTAGCCGTTTCATCCATGCTGTGGCTGAGATCGGTTGAAATCTGACTCACTCTAGGAATTGGTCTCTGGACACTGCGAAGGATATGATCGGCAGCATGATAGGGAATAATGGCAGGTGTGGGTTTCAACTCGACAGGTGACAGAAGTCGGGTGGCAAATTCTTTGTGCATATCTGTTAAGCCAGTCATCTGATGCTGATTGTTAATAATTGTTAATGTTGAAACCCGGTTGTTGTACACGTTAATGTGACTAGCTCCCTCTTGGTGAAGCCACTACCCGAACAGGAAGCCAATCCGGACACCGTTGGAATGCTGCAAAGAGGGAGAAAGAGGAGGTGATCTTCGTACAGCCACAATGGAAGGCAGGGCATCGCATTGATGTCACCTCTTTCATGTAGAGATCGTTGCAACGCACCAAGCTCGATTAATGGGAGGGAGACTGAGATCTCTTGCTCCGCAGAACGGTGCTGCTGGTCTGCCTGAGTCTCGAGAGCATCACCTCGGCAGCTGGACTAAGTTCCGAGCGGCTTGGATAAGGTTGAGTCATTGGCGCTGATGCCTTAGGGATCGCGGTTATCGGCGGGAGAGCGGAAGAAGAGAGGCTCTCGCAAGTTGCAGTGTGGTGAGGCTGTGCTGCCTAATTACCCAGTAGAGGCCCAGAACATGATGAGGCCGACGCAGGATTTCACGCAGCTATGCAGCGAGTGCACCCTGGGGCTTGGTGATTGTTTCCTGCACCCTCCCGATATCATCCATCGTGGTCCGATTTCCCGGTCTAGCCACTATCAACGGCTTGGGGGAAAAAAAAAGAAAAAAGAAAGAAAACCACGGTATCATTTCCTAGGCGGGGTAAGTGCGAGTAAATAGCATTTCACCCTTGAAAGCGCATGAATCGCATTGATTTTGGTGGCACAGCCATCGAGGGTGATGGGAGGAAGTATCACCGTCTGGGGTTGTTCGAGACTCTGGGGCCGAATGATCTGGCCGCCCCTCCTCCTCCCTTAGTAGCTTCCTTAATCTTACTCCAGATACACTATACACCATCCTTAGGCAGGCACTCGTCACTAGGTGCTCTCTCGGACCTGCTGGTTCCCTGGAAGTCGGCGGACTCCGGAGTTGGGACGTAGAAGGTTTGGATGTTCTGAAGTCTTGCCGCCTCACTTTTGGGCTCAGGTACTCTGTTCAGTGTTCACTAGTCTGAAATCGAGGATGGTGAATAATGACATGGATGCTGGTTCTGATGCCATCTTCCGAGTCTAGACGGAGAATGGTTTCTATCTGCAGAACGCCCGTCTAACCACTTCATTTGCGCATTGTAGTACCTCCAGGGCTAGAACTCTCCACTGGTGATGGCGTTGATTTAGACCATTTGCCTGGGTACCAAGCACCTACTTAGAAATCTCTGTCCGTAGCGTCAATTTGGCTAGTAGTAGCAGTTGCTGACTACTGCCCAACAGCAAATGACCGTTCAGGATGTGTTTACACAGCACCGGCATCTGTTGAAGTCGCAAGCAAGAGGGTGAACGAAACTCGCTGATCGTCAAGAGAAACGTCTCATTGTGGATACAGTCGCTTGGTACCTTTTCCCTTGCATTTCAGGCCCCAGATCTACTCCCACTTTGGGACAGCTGTCTATTGATGACGTTCGTGTCGGCCAGAGTGCCTTACTAGTACCAGAAGGGTCCTGGACAAGGCTCTGAGATACGCTTGCACCGCCGGTCAGATTACAGCGCAGACGTCACGGCAAGCCTCCATAGCATCCATCGGCTTAACAGTACCAGGTAATACGGGTATGACTGACTGACTTGCCTGGTATTCAATGAATTACGCCGTTTCGGTGGCAACTATAAAGTAGGGGTCATCATCCACCCTGACCATGCTCGTCCCCTTGATCCTGGATTCTACTCGAGTTTCACAGTCAAGACGATCTAACACCAGCTTCAGGTCTAACCCTTTCCAAACTACCTCACGCACCATCCTTTTCTGCATCTCGCTTCTTTCTTGGTTTGGCTGTGTCTGTCAGCTGGACAGGGGCCCTCCTGATATCTATCTTCACCTCGTCTTGGCTTCCATTCCTTCCCATTCCCACCTGTCAAATTGCCCTTATATTTCATCTTCTTGTTAGGGTAGTAGCTGTCTCATCTATCTCTAGCACGTCATTATTTTAGTGGCACCAATGGAAGATGGCACAAGCAACAACGGGGCATTTCCGTCCTTTCCAGGCGACTCCTCGGGCTACCGACCTCAACGACTTCAGGTTCCATACCTGTTGCCTGTTGGGATTCTTGATGCTGCCTCGGTAAGATCTCATAAGAGTAATTCTTATCCAAGCAAGTAACTTACCTGACGTGAAGCAATATACTTCATCCTCGATTCCTTCGCCGGTGTCAACCTCGAGAAGCATGAGTCCCTTTGAGGGCTATATACAAGCAGATCTGAGCTTCGTTACAGGTGACAACAGGAGCGACCTCGCAGGTATATCAGGCGGGTTTGGCGATGGCATCCCGGCACCACCCCTGCCTGCGAGCTCGAACCCAATCCCGATATTAGTACCCCCTGCTGACATGCATGTCAACAATCTCAATGCTGCCCTGGCGCAAGTCACCATCGCACTTGAAGAAGTACTTTCACAGCGGGGAACAGAACGTCTCTATGAGATGAAGGACTTGCTCAAGGTCAACTACAATAGACATATCGCCATGATCCAGCACCAAATCGACACTGCTGAGCATTCGCCCCACTCCCCGGTCTCTTCGGTCTCGCATGACAGCATGCTTAATCGGGTCAGGTATATCTGTTACCTCTGCTCTCCGGAGGAGCGCAAGATATATCAGGCTCGAAGCATTTTCAGACGGCATGTGTCCTACAGACACCGTCCGCAAGCGATATACGGGTGCCTTGACCGTGGTTGTCCTTGGATAACAGCAAGGCGGGACAAGGTCCATTGCCACATGAGGGTCCATCACAACTACCCATTGCGAGTGACCAGGGAGCAATTATATCTCCTTAAGACTATATTGCCTCCACCCGATGTGTGTGGACTTTGCCCAAAAACGGTCAGCTGCTGGGATGAGTACTTCAAGTGTGTCTCCGAGCATTGTCGCATTGGAAACAATTCGACAAGCACTAGCGCAAGCCAGAGTAGACGAGGTAGTGATGATCGTGGAGGGGGCGACAATGGTGGAAATGGCTACAATGGACACCACTTTCCTGGAAATGGCTCCGGGGCGAATGGTCCGCAGCTGTTCTTCCCATCTGGCAACAGTGGAGCTTCTTCATCGCATGCTGGCCAGAACTATGGCTTCCAAGGCAACGATTTCTCCAACTGCGCGAACATTGCCGAACACGTTGATAATAAAACAACCTTGAGCGAGTCTAGTGGCGGAACAGAAGCCGGTCTAGATTCAGACTCACGGCCGGGTTCCAGCACAAGTGACGTGTCTCATGAAACCGTGAGCAAGGGACCATCGAGCCTCGTAAGCCAGAACTTGTCCCTAATGCGAAGAATCCATCCAACGCAACATGGAAGATGTGATTCGATTCAGCGTGGCAACGACTGCCCGCCATCTAACTCATACGGGCCAGTTTCAAGACGCCTCTCAGACGACGCCCGTCATTGCATACCACGGTCTAACAGCCCTTTTGACACACCTCCTAGACCGGATCCCCATCATGTGGCTAATGGGTCATGGTGCCGGAGTTGCGGGCATCTTTTGGACGATTGCAACAAGTGTCACCCTAAGAAGGGAACGGTTCTCAAGTGTCATATGTGTGCAGATATTGCCTGCAAGACGCACGACTTTCGAGAGTGTGGGCAATCGAGAAACTGCGAGCAAATTTTCGATGGCAACAATCTGTCTATGTCAGATCGTTCAGTCTCAGATGATACTCGATCCCTATCGCCAACCGATCAACCAGGGGGTTTACCTGGCCATGACGATGACATCGCTGATGCGGTCCATGGAGAACACTTTCACTCAAGCACGACGACTTCTAAAATGAATAGCCAGAAGTCCGGTATTCTACAGTCGCACATGCACAAGGCCTCAAGTATTGACAGCCTCGGTTCTCTTTGCCCAGGTTCTCATGCTGCCTCTACAAGCCTCGTGGACCATGGCGCAGTGGCATATCCCGTGGCCACGAAGCTCGATACACCAGGCTCTGAGGGATTTGGTTGTTCACTCGGTAAAAAGATACGACGAAAAGCACAAGTGACTGCGCATGATAATGGCCATGGTGACTTACTTGGGACCAAGAAGATGGCTCAGGCATGCAGTATGCAGTCTCTTATGAAGTTGCAACATGAGTTGTACAGCGTTCTCCCATTATGTGTTCTGACTGTTGTGGAAGACTTCCTCAATCATATGCAAATCTGTTGGTTGATATACGAAGCATTCATCTTCCACTCAGCAGTACTCTCCCGGCGTGCGTGCTTGTCCTACCCTCTTCTGATGCATTGCTGCTAAACATTGACATTAGAGGTCGGCCAAAGGGGCTTGACACTGAAAACCGAACCAGCCATCAACCGACGTTTTCCATGCTATCCATCGGGAAACCTGCGGCACAGCACCCCAGCTAGACGTATTTCGCGTAAAAGACACGCCCAGTTGCGAGCGAAACTGCATGTCGTCTTCGAGCTCATCAAGCTCCATGCCGCTGCCACAAGGAAGAAGTCTAGGATGGGCCCATTGATGGATGCCCTAGAGCCAGAACACCCGGAGTCTCGCGATTTCAACGCTAAACTTCAAGTATCCGATTCATCTGCCCAGGGCCCCCAATATCTCCAAGTGATGTTCATTCGCGGTACTGAAGCGGTAGGAGACGTTCTCTCTAACTTGATAACAGACGTCGTATTCGCAACGGAAGAGGAGCTGGAACTAATCAAGCCCGTTTCGGCGTATATCTCGACGTTCTTTAGAGACAGATCGATGTGGTCCGTGGGGGAGAGTCTGATTCAATGACCCCACTATATAGAACGGCCTTTGGTTCACTGTTGTACTTCTTTTAGCTTTCTTTCGATTCCCGATTCCCACTGTGACGTGTTATGAGTTTTGCGATATCCGATGCATGTTAATACGTTTATGACTTTATGATTACAGATGAATGTGATGCCAATAATCATGATTACTCTCAAATTCCATAGCCGGCGTCGGGGATAGGAGTTAAGGGCGGACACGCTCTCCGAGATGACATAACCGACGGTATCGATAAGCGGTGCCAGCAACGAAAGCGAGGCCATCTCGGAGCAGACCTGCCGGCCAATTGAGACGCAGCCCCGGCACCTCGCTTTTCTTTTTATCCGTCCGTTGCTATTGGAAGTCGGCTGTTGTCTGATATGATCCCCGTGGTGGATTCACCGACTGCTCGTACCCCTCACGTCTTCGGCCGATCATGAGTGCGTCTGGCTCGCCCCCCGCCGCCGGCGACCAACCGGGGTCTCCGTCCCGAGACCCTGGAACTGTATGGCATCCCGCTAGGGAGTGGCTCGAGGCGGACGAGGACGAGGATGACATGGATTATGAATCGGACTTGATCGATTCAGGCGACCGGGACGAACTAGATGCTGAGCCGTACGAAGATGAAGACGAAGACGCTGATGCTGACAATCATCGCCTCGGTACATCCCTGTCATCTTTCCCCATCCACGCTTTTACCATACATATGGCTGATATATTCCCCCACTTACTACTCTTGTGGCAGACCACGAATTGCATTTAGGGAATATACACATCGAATTCTCCATGGATGAGTCGGATCAGGACCAGAACGCCGAGCCCCAGGAGGGAAGACATAATAGAGGTAGCTTGCCTTGCCCGGAACATTCACTTTGGCGCAGTCCTTGGGACAGATACTTATTGTGGCAGTTTCTGCAGCTCGACTCCTAAACCTGTTGGCTTCGAATGGCCTGCGCCACATTCTCCATTATAATGGGCTCCACGACGCCACCGTTCCAGATGAGGAGGAGGATGACGATTACGAATTTGGCTTCTTCGGGTATCGGCGACGAGCACGACGATCGGGGGGCCATCAGTTCCCCAAGATTCCGAGCGACGAAGGAGCGAACCTGATGGGATCTGGCGATTTCGGATCGAACCCTCATTACGTTGACAGATTGAAGAAGCGCAAACGGTCCCTTGCAACGAAGATAATGTGGCGAGAGCTGGGGGTGAATGTGTCGGGGACGCAGAGAAGGGACGTACAGTCAATAACTCAGGTGGGATTTGGATAAGAGGTACGACAGGCTGTGTGCTGACACTTTGAGATATAGGGTCTCATTCCTGGCTCCGCTGCGGATAAGATCATTCACTACGACTCGCGGTGCTACTCGGGGCAGTTCTCGGACGACGGGAATTTCTTCTTCTGCTGCGCCCAGGACTTCAAGGTCCGCATGTACGACACCTCCAATCCGTTTGAGTGGAAGTACTACAAGACCGTGGACTATCCGTTTGGGCAATGGACCATCACCGATGCCAGCCTGAGTCCGGACAACAAGTTCCTGGCGTACAGTTCGATCCGGAACCTCGTTTGCCTTGCGCCCACGGACCCGGCGGATACCTCAGACCCAGCTATTCTAGATCTATCGTCGGTTTCAGGGAGGAGAGGTGGGCGCGGAGTGTATGGCAGTTCTCATTTTGGAGTATGCATGACATGCCGATGATTATATCCATCCTGTCTCGTCTAACTGGTCAATAGATCTGGTCCATTCGATTCTCGGGCGACGGCCGGGAGATTGTGGCTGGCACATCCGATCAATCGGTCATCGTCTACGATCTGGAAACACGCCAGTCCGTCCTGCGACTGCAGAACCACGAAGATGATGTGAATGCGGTCTGCTTTGGAGACAAGTCGTCGCCCCATATCCTTTATTCGGGCTCTGATGATACCACTCTGCGAGTGTGGGATAGGCGCTCGATGGGAGACGGGCGCGAGGCCGGCGTGTTCATAGGACATACAGAAGGGTTAACTTATGTGGACAGCAAGGGTGACGGGCGATACGTACTTTCCAACGGCAAAGATCAATCGATGAAGTTGTGGGATCTGAGGAAGATGATGACAACCGCAAAGTTCGACACGATCGACGTCAACCGATACACGACTGGCTTTGACTATCGATTCGAACCGTACCCCGATGACTACTACGAAGCGCACCCCCATGACTGCTCTGTGGTGACGTTCCGGGGCCACCGGGTCCTCAAGACTCTGATCCGGTGCCATTTCTCGCCCCCGGGGAGCACGAACTCGAGATACGTGTATTCGGGTAGTGAAGACGGTAAGGTCTACGTGTATAATTTGGATGCCACTCTCGCAAGAACGATCGATGTTGGGACGGCGACATCCAACTCGCGCCCGCGCGATCCCGACATCTTCACCGCTGCGTATGAGATCCGTAGCAGCCGCAGTGATATGCTGTGGAAAACGTGTGTTCGGGATGCCAGCTGGCACCCGAACAGCCCTATTTTGGCGGGTAAGTACCGTACCGCCTGGCGTTTTCGTGACATGGAACTGACTTTCCAGCGACTTCTTGGAATGGCTGGGGATTGTCCACTGGGACGTGCACCTTGCATACTTGGAACGACGGGGCCGAGAGCGATGAAGGCGACCCGCCGGTGGCGGGCAACTACGACAGCAAATTGAAGCCGGTGCGTGAATTCAACATGTTCAAGGAGTCGATGCAGAGGCGCAGTCGACCTGTCCAACGATCCCCACTGGATGATGAGACGTACTATGAGTTATGGTGATAGATGGTTTTGGATATATGGATTCAGCATTTCTTTTTCGGGTTGGGGCCGCCAATGAGCGCGAACTGGCTGGACGAACACGAGGGCCAAAGTCTCCAGAGGGTGGTTGAAATGGCATAGGAATGGCACATAGAATGTAATTAGCTCGTAGCCCAGGATAGTTTATCGATAACACGGCCACATATATGCCAAATCTAGGCCTGTCTATGCCTGCACTATGAATAGCACACGCTCCCTCCGGGTTGATCGTGATAGGCCTGAAAAACCAGGTACTAGTAGATGGTGTATCCAGAAGGGAGCACTCCCGACCAATTCATAGGCAAAGGAATCGAGGATTTGACCATCATGACGATATGTGAAGTATAGCCGACTGGATGGGATTGACGCGTCCAGGCGATTCTGGGGTCCGGAGCGGCAGTTGCGCCGGTCCGAGCAGCGGTCCACCCGCGCCTTCGAGATGGATGGCAGCAGCTGGCCTTCCTTCTCTCTTCTATCGCGCTCCACCGGCTCTGCTGCTTCTTCGGACACGTCTTCGCAGGGATCATCTCAACCAACCAATCCTTCCATCCATCCATCCGACATATTCCCCCCTTTGCAGACAAACCTCTCATCGCAATCCTCCCTATTGATTTCCTTCTCGCCACTCCCTCAGCGCTGGCACCGGTGTACACAGAGCTTCCTGGATTACATCAGTCTGCGGGAGGCTTTTGGACTAACTGCGCTCTCGACTCTGTTTGCTGGATTTTTCTTCTCCCTTGCCTGTACTCTCGTCTGGAGGGCTTCTCGGACCTGTTCTCTAGCCACGCTCTGCCTACCCGGCAGCAGCAGATCCCGCGGCGCCGCATCTTGTGTGGAATTACTTTTCATCCCCTTCTTTTCGTTTGGAGACACTCTCGTTCTACATTCCCTGTACTTGCAATCCTGAAACAAGGAGCCCTCATCCTGCGCCTGCATCCCCGTTTCAGAGCTATCAGATTGACGGACTGGTGACGTGTTTGTTCTTTTTGAAGCTGTCTTCGCTTCGGATTGTACGTATCATCAAGCCTCTTTATCCTGTCGTCGCACCTGCGATCCACCTCTGCCCCTGTGAGCTTAAGCCAAAAGTGCATCTACCCCGGGCTATGTTCCCGGCAGTTTGAAATACCCGCAGAAGCCTTGGTGGTTGATGAATGATTCTCTCCTTGCTAATTGACGGCCGGTGTCTACAGACATGTACTTCCCTTGTTCTCATCGATCCTGAAACTTGAGAGAAAGAACCCAAAGGAGGACTGTATATCCACAGACAAGCAATCAAGTTGCCTTGAACCCGATCCATAACTAAGCACGATGGCCACAGAAGATGATAACTTCGATATTGACATCTATGGCGATGGGGGTGGCTACAACGCCAATGAACAGGACTACAAGGCTGAGGACGAGATGAAGCATGATGACACAGAGCTGATTCTAGACGCGCCCGATGCACAGCCGAATGGCAACCCCAGCCAAGGCACCGATGGCTCGTCCGACGGGACTTTGAAGCCGGACAGTGAAACCGCTTCCCATAATGAACCTGTAACCCAAGCGGGCCCCGCCGCCCCTCAGCCGACCCCCAAGGAGACGCCCGCTCCCCAGCAGGGAGTGAAGCGCAAGGAGCACGACGACCGCCCAACCGACCCGGATGCCACTTCAGCACTGCTCATATCGGATTTGTATTGGTGGACCACGGACGACGATATCCGCGGCTGGGTGAGCCAGGCTGACTGCGAGGCGGAGCTGAAGGATGTAACGTTCAGTGAGCACAAGGTGAACGGTAAAAGTAAAGGGTAAGCTCAGGCAGGACTTCTGGTCCGGTAACGGGGACTGACTGTTTGCAGACAAGCGTTTCTTGAATTTACTACCCTGCAGGCGGCTACTGCGACCAAGCACAAGATCGACTCGTTCGGCGCGGCGGGACAGCGCAAGCACATGGTTACTTACACCAGCCCTCAACCGAACCCGTTCCGCACATTGCCTAAAGATGCGCCCATGCGTAAGGACAACCAGGCGCGGTCCATGTCCGGCGGCTTCAATTCCCCCAACCAGAACATGAACTTCGGCATGAATAACATGGGTGGTGGTGGCTTCCGGGGTGGTCGGGGCGGATTCAACAACCGGGGCGGCATGTCCGGGGGTATGGGCAACTTTGGAGGCAACCGCAACTTCCAGAACCCGATGGGTGGATTCCAAGGGCCGATGGTTGGCGGTGGGTTCCAGGGCAATCCCATGGGTATGCAGAGCTACGGCTTCAACAACCGCGGCGGCATGATGGGCGGGATGCGTGGCGGGCCCGGTGGAATGCGCGGTCGCGGCGGCGGCATGGCAGGTCCCAACATGATGGGCATGCCGGGGATGAATCCGATGGGCGGTATGGGTATGAATGCGATGCCCGGGGGTATGAATCCAATGATGGGAGGGATGGGTGGAAACATGGGGATGCAAGGTGAGTGAGGCGAGGCATACATACGGGGTGAAGATAGACTAATGGCATTCATTCAGGACAAGGTGGATTCCAGGGACCAACCCCGGGCTTTAACCAGGGCTTCTTCCCTCCTAACCAGGGAGTGGGCGGCGATGGGTCGTGGAACCCTCACGGGGCGAAGCGCAGTCGCCAGGAGTAATGTCTCTTCTCTACCTCGTGGTCTCAATCAATGGCCAGAGAGCATGTCGGTCTCTGTACACCTGATTACATTTATTGCTTGGTTGCTGGGTCTGTTGCATGGTTCGGGGGAAATTGGCATTATCAGCAGTATTCAAGGACAGCTCGGGTGTATTAGACCAATCCAAGGTTATGTTGCATTTATACCCTGTAAGCTTAGTTGTGTGTTCTGTTGTGTTGTTTTTTTTTTTTTGGAGTTGTGGAGTTGTGGAGTTGAGGGTCGAATATGCTGGATAATAAACTTGATTAGCTGATCCTAGTAATAGTAGTCATAGTAGATAGTAGATAGATAGACTAGATAGACTATGAAGTATAACCAAGTGATAATAACTTAAATACGAACTGCTCCGTATAGCGGAATGGAGCAACAATGCGCCGAGCTGTCCGATCGGCGGAATTACGCACCTCGCCGGCTCAGTGTCAGTCTTGTCCCTCTTATCTCCTCTCCATCGTCATCTCGCCTTGGTCGCTTGTTCTCTCCGCTACACATCCTGCACCTCGTGTCAGCTCAATCGCTCCGCTCAATCCGGGGTGAATCCGCCCACTTGCCTCTGACCCATTCCATCCATCCGCGACTTGCTTCATTGTCCGGAATCCATACCCGCACGCAAGGTACTACTAGGCAGCGCGCAACTTCCCCGCGATCCCCACCACCAGCACCAGTCACGACTCACCACCACCACTTTACCACACGAGACATACACCCAGCACACCACCAACACACACAACATAACCCACCACCAAGACCTCCGCCCCAGCGCACGCACCCATCCCCAAAATGCAAGCCGTTCCCGAATCCCGCCAACAAACCTTCGAGGAAATCTACGGTCCTCCGGAGAACTTTCTCGAAATAGAAGTACACCAATCCCCAATCCCCAGTTCCCTCCCCTCCCCTCCCCCCAAACCCACTAACCCATACTCCAGGTCCGAAACCCTCAAACCCACGGCACATCGCGAAACATGTACACCTCGTACGAACTTGTCTGCCGGACCAACATCCCCGCCTTCAAACTCAAACACAGTGTTGTTCGGCGTCGATACTCGGATTTCGAGTACTTCCGGGATATATTGGAGCGGGAATCGACGAGGGTGACGATTCCGCCGTTGCCAGGGAAGGTGTTTACGAATCGTTTCAGTGATGATGTGATTGAGCATCGACGGGAGGGGTTGCAGAGGTTCTTGCAGATTGTGGCGGGTCATCCGTTGTTGCAGACGGGGAGTAAGGTGTTGGCGAGTTTTATACAGGGTTTGTTTCTTCTATTTCGTTCGGTTCTTGGGGGAAGGGGGTTGGGGTATTGGGGATTGTGCTAATTGTTGGGTTTATAGATCCGAATTGGGATAGGAATGCTTGGTAGAGGGGTGTGAGGTACGATGAGGGAAGGGGGGTAAGAGAGGGAGAGAGGGAGAGGATCGGGTGTGGTGTGAGAACGAACGAAGGAAAGGGGGGGGGGGGGGTATACTGGAGTGGTAATGTGTCAGTGGGATTGATATCTACTGTCTATACTCTAGACAGATGGGTATGAATGATACTTCTGATATCTGAAGACAAGGTACCAGTACGACATGGTCGGTGCGGTGCGGCATAGGTAAGGAGTCCTGCTTCCTTCTATTCCTTTCCATTCGATTCATTTTCCAGCTCCTGTCGGTCTTCTGGCGGATTTCTTCGTGTTTTGTATCTAGCGTTATATCATTCTGTTCTTGCGTCTATGTTTTATTCTATCTTGCTTGGTATGTGAAGGGGTGCAATACTGTCTGTTCTATGATGTGTATGGCATTATTAGTTCCCGAGGTCTATTCTAGTGAAGTCTATTGGTAGCAGTCGTCTATTCTGGCGCTCATTCTGCCTGCCAGTATCGCCTAACCAGTAGCGGATATACTTCTCCGAACATTCTCGCTAATATGTCAGTTCAACACATTTCTGCAGCACGCCATGGATGAAACAGGGATGTCGTAGCTAATAAACAACATGCTGGTGCAGGTAGAGTATCTAACAATACCATCATGGCCAGTCTACTGTAGCAAAACTAACATCCATAGCTCATATCTATGCAAGCTCATCCCACATCATCGGGGCAAGCGTATTATCCGCCCAGGACGCTTCCCCCGACCCATTCTCGTCCAGCGGAAACGGAAACACCCCTGGCCCAGCACTGCTCGAGCTCTCATGCAGCCCCTGCGGCGGTGCCGGAGGCGCCAGCGCAGGATCAATGGGCCCGCGTGCGTGGGCACCAGGTCTGGGCCGTGCAGGTGGCCCCGGTTCGTTGCCAGGAACACGCTCTTTGCCCTCTTTCAGGCTTTTCCCATGCAGGGTTCGTCCACTCACGGAACCCCCGTCCCGGTAAGCGTGCGGAAATTTCGTCCGGAATCGGTCGCGCAGGTCTGTGGCCCGGCGATGGCTCAGGTTTAAGCGTTTGTCCTGCTGGATCAGTGTCCATTGGAAGCCGTGTACGGCGTACCCTTTCAGCAACGCCTCGTCCTCCACCACCGTGAACGGCCGTCGAGAGCGTCGCCGCGATTTCATGGTAAAGTGTGGTTCGGGGATGCCTAGAGACGCTAGCGTCGATGTCGATCTACTAGAGAGGGTCGGGGTGGTTTTGGAGAGAGAGCTGTTCTTAGTGGCCTTAGTGCCTTTCGGGTCAGCTTCCTTGGAGCCGGAGGACTCGTTTAAAATCACGGCACTCCCGCTGCCATGGGACTCCGCAGGACGTGGGTATGGCAGGTGGATTTTCCCCGCTTGTCCATCGGAACCTTCGGTCTCCGCTCGCGAGAGGGCGTTGGCGAGCGTGTCATGCAGTTGCTTGGTGGCTTCATTGGGGTCCGCCGCCCTTGGAGCAGATTAGATGCGCACAGCTACGAGAACCGTCGGACTCACCGGTACGCCCACGGGCAACAGACACGGAACCTAGATGGGACTTAGTTGGCATCCAGTCTGTCCTCCACGTCCACCCACGGCTCGACCATACCTATCTTTCAAGTTGGATGCGCTGCGCTTGTTGAACTTCAACTCGGGCTGGGCCAGAATCGCCGTCCAGTTGCCAATCCCGCACTTGACCACCCCGCGCAGCAGGGCTGTTGTCTCCTCCTCGGTCCACTTGCGGAGATTCTTGCGAGACCGGCCGCGTGTCTTGGGCGACAGTGGCTCGGCATTTTCCTCCGCGGAGGCGTCTCGGGGATCAGTCTCTGTATCGGTCTTGTCGGATCTCGTCGGTTCCACCGCAGTGACCTCGTCCAGCAGTCCACTGGTGATCTCCCCGTCCGCCGTGCGATCGATCGGGGAGTCCAGGATTTCCTCAATTCGGCCCTCTCGTCGTTCCATGATCTGGCTATCTGCAACAGCATTAGCAGTGAATAAGGCGGGCTCCACAACCGCGCTGGCCCGGGATGGTTTAGTCAAGAGCTGCGTGATCGAACCAGGTTCGATCGGGGGGAGCAGGGCCGCATTTGGAGGCGGCTCATTGAGACCATTCAGAATGGCAAAAGGCCCAAAGGGCGGCGGCCGCTGCTCCTTGTGGGCCTGGGGAATGGGCAATTGCAGGTGCTCGCTGAACGTCTCCGTCTGGACGCCCAAACGCCGGCGTTTGCGGAAGTGGAGACTGTCGTCATCGAACGAGTAGGAAAAACGTTCCAGGGCGCGGAGATTGACAAAGGCCGGTAGAATTGGCCGGGGCGGTGGGGGATCTAAGCTGAGGAGCGAGTCCACCGAGGGTTCCGTCTTCTTGGGCCGGGAAATCACCCCGTCGGGGGCTCCGGACAGGCCCGAGTCATTGCGAACGGGGAGGATGGAGGCGTTGTTGGTGTTGCTGGGGGCATCCCGGACGCGGCTGGCATTAGGCTCAAGCGGGGAAGGAATGCCTCGGAGACGGGACACGGGCTGGCGGAGGGGAGCAATGCGGAGAGTCTGAAGCTGGGGGAGTTCGCGGATCACCGACTCGTCGAAGGAGCGGGTGAAGGAAGCGTTGGAGTCCATAATGGGGGGGAACCCATTCGGGGGACAACCCATGCGGGAATGAATCACTGGGGGATAAAGAACACCATGTAGCATGAAAGGGATGCCACGAGGCAAGGTGCCATTTTCACAGTTATTGTTGTTGATAGATGATAGGTAGTAGTGAAGTAGTGAAGTAGTGATTGATGGAGGAGGCCAGCGGAAGGCCAGCGGAAGTCCCGCGGAGAAATGAGCAGATGGCTGAGCGGCTGAGTCAGCACTGCCCGGCAATGCAATGCAGATGGATTCATGATATCATCTATCACTCTTGGAATTGACCGGGAGCAAACAGACAGTATCTAGAGAATTTGATGCTAGATTCTCAGTAGCAACTTGTTTTTTCAGTATGTACAAGAAACCACCAGTCAACACACCTTTTTTCATGCGTCTTACCCAGACTGTATCCAAGTAAAGCAGTCAACCCATCTTCAAGGTACTACTACTACTGCAGTATCCCAGCCAAGTACCTCTAGAAGTACCCCATACAAAAGTACAACAAGTATACAACAAGCGACATTGACAGGAGTCAATACAATCAACCAGATAACTGGAAGCTCGTACAGAAAGGAAAAACTGTTTACACTCCGCCGTCAACCCCACTAACCCAATGCAGTAATCAGCTCTCCCCAGCTCCATCTCCATCTGTCCATCTCCATCTTCATCTCTCCACCAACACCTGTAGTATACACCACCACTCCCCAGTCACTACAACCCGCCTTTACTCACCCTCGCCCTTCCAAACTAAAACAAAAAAGAGAAGCAATATCTGAAATCAAATCCAAAATGCCCCTCACCCTCCCCCGCTCCATCCTCCCCCCAATCCCCTACCTAATCTTCGGCATCCTCGAGCCCATCTCCCTGTACGTCTCCCCCCTCCCCATACCCAATCCCTTCAATTCCCATCTCGCTAACCAGCCCAATAAACCAGCCTCTCCGGATCCCTCTACCCCCATCTCCACCCCCAAGACTTCATCCTCTCCCAAATCCCCCTCAACCCCGACGAAACCAACACCATCACGCCCTCCTCCCTTTCCCTCGCCTACCAACTCTCCAACATCTACTTCCTGCTCGCTCTCCTCGGCATCTCTTTGATCCATTCTACCTCCGAGCCAATCGTGGTCCGAAACTATCTGGTTTGTTTGGCGGTGGCGGATGTCACGCATATTGCGGCGGTGGGGTGGGGGATGGGAATGGAGAGGTTCTTGAATACGGGGCAGTGGAATGCGCTGACGTGGGGGAATATAGGTGTTACGGGGTTGTTGTTTGTCTTTAGAGTGGTGGTTTTGGGGGTAGATTGGGGGGCATTTCTTCCGGTGGGATTAGTAGTCTTGGGGGGGAGAAGAGGGCGAATATTAAAGAGGGTCCATTGGGGATTAGGGATGAGGGGAAGGACCAGGGGGGAAGTGTTAAGGAAGAGGGGAAGGGGAAAGAGAAGAAGGGGAAGGGCAAGGGGAAGGGGAAAGGGAAAGGGAAGGGCAAGGGGAAGAAGAGGGTGTGAATCAGGAGGATGGGTATGGAATGGATACTATCTACGGATTACGGAGTGGGTAGCTGTGATGAGGGATGTGTTGACAAGGCTGTACGTAACTAAATCCGCTATGACGAGGGCAGCAGGCGATGTTGTATGATTGACATCACCCTATAACACTACCCTATGTAGGCAATGGTGTTGCCTCTCTGTCGGTGTGATTGATACCCAGTATCCCCGGCCCCGTTGCCCCCCAGTAGTGATTCGTGACGCCACCCGTGATTGAGATCGACACCGGCGATTAACCCGTCGTGCTTTCAACTTGGTCGGAGCTAACTCGGAAGCATCCGGACCCCCTATCTAGACTCTACTACTATGTATGTACTAGCAACATGACTATTGGCAATGGTCTAGACCCGTCTCACGTGTGACGGCTGTCATTATCCTACCATGTACGTCCAAGGCTCGGGTGAAAGGAAGACTCACTCGGGCTCTCAGCAGAGTCAGCATGGACAAGGTCAGTCAGGTCAGATCTAATTTAGTATAGGTAGAATACAGCCCAAGAAAGAAACACAGGATCACCCGAAAAAGGGGGACAAATCAAGACAACGAACGCCCACCAGATAGTCCCTCGTCGCCACATGCTACTTCTGCTGCCACCAATTATTACGCGTCATTGTTGCCTAGCGTTTGTCCATGCCATGCTCCCCGAGCTCAGATGGCGCCGCCACGTGTTGGTCTCCCTGAGCGACCCGCTCCCCGACGGCCCTAGTGGAGATTGCTCCGGAGATTGCTCGTCTGCAACCGCTGGAACAGCTGGTGCAGGGCTGGCGGGCCGTGCTGCTGGTACTCTCGAATGTGAGGGAAGAGAAAAGGGATGCCTGGCCGCGTCTCAAACTCCTGTCGGTAGGCCACGAAGTTCTCCGCCGGGTCCAACAGGCCCGCTAACTGAGGGAGCACCGGGTTCGGCGTCGTTGTGTTGTTGCTGTGGATCTTCAGAAACGAGTTGTTGTATTTGCAGACGCCGCTGAGGATCGCCGCGAAAGAATGGTAGTCGTGACGATTGTACAAAGACTGTACCCGGGTCAGTTCATTCCTCCGGCTCGCTAGGATAGTAGACCTACCTGCACAACCTCCTGGATGTATCCGATCATCTCGGGCAGCCCGGAGCAGCACTCCCACACCGCCATGCTCAGCAGCTCCCACGTCACGAGCAGTCGTTTGATAATGGCATCCGGCTCCACAAAGCTTTTCTGGCTCAGTCCCGAAAAACAGTCCTGGTCGACACCGGTGATCGTTTTGGCAAAGTCGTCGGCCGAAGTCGATGCCGTCAAGCCCTCCAGAAAAGAAAAGTCAACCATAAAGGGCTTTGTCCAGTTCATCTCCCGGACATGTACGTAGGTTCGTTGGAAACGCGCTGCCAGGACGGAGAGCACCTTCAAAACATCTTTGAGACTCGGTGGAAATGTGAGGAAGAGTTGTTGAATGGGTCCCGAAATGAATTCAAAGCCCGGGGACGATGTTCTCACCGGCACCGCCTGTCTGAGGTCACGGAGGCACTGGTGCACTGCCCGGTGGGCAAATGGGCTGCGAGAACGAAGATGCTAGAAGCGCGTCAACGGCATGCTGAAGCCTTGGGATAACGGGCACCGGCTGATCACGTACCTGTTCTACCTCCATGTACCGGGGCAGATCCTCCGGGAACATCTGCAGATAGTGAATTAGGTGAATATAGAGCGCCGTATGCTGTTTTAGAAACCATTCCACCGATGGTTCCGTGAAGGTCAGGGAGTAGCGGACCAGCCCCTCGAACGAGATCCGGGTGAAATGAAGATGGCTCTCTGCATCGATGGCCTCCGCAATTGCTCGAGGGGTCATGTCTCGATCTCGCTGGGTCGGGAACCAGTCCCAGGAGACGAGAGGAGGACGGGTCATCCGGCACCGTCGGAGGATCTCCTCGACCTTCTGGAGAGGGGACAGGCTGTCCACAAAGGGCGTCTCCTCCGGGTCCACGAGCGAGACCAGGATTGCGCTGATGGTATGGGGATCACGATTCTGGAGAATCGTCCGGGGGAGGTTAGCGTTAGAATAGAGTCCAAACCGGATCACCCGCTGGATTTCCCGGGGGTCGAAGGCCCAGAAAACCGTCGCGGCCTCGTCTTCCCACCACCGATATTGAACGAAGAATGAAGGGATTTCGGTCTCCGATCGAAACAGCAGCGGGTAGGCCGGCAGCCCTGGCATGGGCATGAACGGCAGACTGGCCGACGGCGAGTACGCAGACATGTCCGCGATATCAGAACGGCTCAAAGGCCCTTCTTCGAGCAAGGAGAAGAGAAAGACGAAGCTGTCTCTGTTCACTGGAGGAGACTACAGTTTAGCAACCGATCAACATGGTGATGGACAGGTCCCATGGGAGAAACGGCGGAGCTGGCTACCTTGTTCCCTGGGACCTTTTATCCCTGCAGGCGTAGTACCAAGGTGTGATCGGAACCAAGCCCCCCCGGTGCCAGGCCGTTCAGCCGTACGATTCTAGAACCTCCAGGACCAGGCATATAGGGTAGGGAACAACGACGTCAGATGGAACAGGCCGGCACTAACCTCACGGGAACGGGAATGCAGAGGGCTCGAGCTCAACGCAACGGACGTATACAAAGGAAGTAACCGTCGACGCAGGGAGAGAGAAGATGGATGACCAGGTACAGACAACGGGATTGATCCAAGCAACTAGCTCTATTGTATTGCACCATGCATTGCATTGAACCACCAGAGAGAAACCGAAGAAGCTGGACACGACGAAACGATAGACCTTATCTTACCAGCCGGCGCAGGCCAATTCTCCTTCAACTTTGCCACGTTTGACAACTCACGAGGAAACCTGGATGGACGAGGGAGCTCCCGTCGACGCCCGCGCTGCTTCTGCTGCTGCTACTGCTGCTGATGGGTGCATCTGAGCGGCCAAAAGGCATGGTGGACAGTGGCGCATTACAGGACAGAAAAAAGTAGGAAAGACGAGGGCTGATCCTGATCCGAACCACTGGGACCCGGGAGCCAGGTTAGGCCAAGGACGGAGATTACCTTGGAGACAAGAGCTGAATTCATGGCCAGGGCCTGGCTGTGGGCCGACTCAAATCAGTCCAGTTGCTCGCCGCATAATTTAATCCTCGACTGGCGGCCAAGGAGTGCATTATTCGGCCCCTGGGAGACCGTTAGGCCTTGGAAAGGGCTCCCCACATGGGCTGTGAATAATCAGGATCCGGCATCAATAATCGTTATCCCCATAAATAATCGGACCGTTTGGCAATAGTATGGCCGATAATAGCAACAATAACGGTGATGGGCGTCAGCCAACGGCGGGCCAGTGGAACGAACCGATGGCATATCGGGGTAAAAAAAGGAACATGAGATAAAAGGAAAAGAAATAAAATCAAATATAAAATTGAAATCAAGAGAAAAAGAAAAAAAGGGAGAAAATCAAAAGCAAGAAAAGAAATTAATAAAAGAAAAAATCACGAAAATAACCCAAACGAGAAACGGAGAGAGTGAGAGAGGAGCGGTCAAGCAAGCACCAGGATGGAAACAGATAACCCAGGACGTGCACAGCAGCACAAGAGGACCCGGCCATGCAGGACTATTTGATTCTGGAAGGTTCACCTGGTCCCATCTCATCAGAAAAAGAGGCGACACACACCCAGACAGCGAGAGAGAGAGAGAGAGAGAGAAATCAGATCAATCGAGTTGGTAGAGCCCGGCCCTGAAGCGGTGTACATTAATGAAGTCAATTATACATCAGCCTCTGAGGGACCAACCAGGCAGTCGAGCCGACAATGCCTGCAAGAGGCTGCTTCATCAAGCGCCAGGAACGGCTGTAATGGTGGTACTGTGATACATGTCGTAAAGATTGTAAGTGGGTCAACTTATATAATCATGCTTCTGCCGTTCTTATGATATCAAAGTCTGCTGTTATGTAACTATTCAAGGAATTCGAATTACTAAAGAAAGTAGTGATAAACATGATTACATGATGTGTATGGCTTCAGATCCTTACTATTAGGGGAAGCGGTACAAAGGCGGAAGGGGTGTCTAGAATCGCCACCGGAGGCCCACTTACAATCTTTACGACATGTATCACAGTAGTAGTAGTCATCTGTCATCATGATGCCGAAGCGTCCAGCGTGGATCCTCGAAGCCGCCGTTCTTCGCGGGAGAATCCACCGGCCATCTATCTAGAATTCTAGATACGGAGCCCTGGCTAGACAATTGGATGGATAGACAGATACACGGCCGGTCACACACACACACAATCCCCAAAAGAGATTGGGTAGCTAGCAAGCTCTGCTAATGCTGTGACTAAAAATTAGTTGTCCTCGCCCAGCGAGCGCCATCCAGCAACCCAGAAAGTGTATCGCCAGTGATCGGGCGATGGCGATCGGGATGGGGTTGGAGAATCCTTCTAGGGCCCCAGTCCAAGGTGGGCTGATTAGACGTCTCCGACCCATCGTCATTGGTCTTCTTTTTTTCGACGGCCTTCCATCTCGGATCGCCCCCAGATGGGGATTGAAGGCCGGCGATGCGATGACGACTGCTGGCCCTGAACTCGTCGGACGTTTCCAGTGTCACCCTCGACCCCGGAGTCGTTGCACTTTGCAGAGTCTCACAGACCGGGGACAGGCAGGCAGAAAGGATTGAAACGCATCCGGAAAGAAATAAGAAACAGAAAAAGAGAAAAGAAAAGAAAAAAAAAAGAATAAGAGAAAGAGGGGAAGGGGAAATCCAAGTGGACAAGAAGAGCTCGTGGCTGTGGGTGGCCGGCCAAAGCCATGCTGTGCTCCACCAGCCAAAGGCATCGTAGGATCCCTCCTTCACCCTATCAATCCCAGCCATCTGTTCTCCAGTCGACCATCTCGCGTTTCCCGTTCCCTCGGTCTGCCTCTAAGGTTCTAACCCTGAGGAACACTCGCCCATCGCCTAGTTGGAGATAGCCAGACAGGCTAATTTCACCACTGGGTCAGATGGCGGGAAATTAGTGATCGAGCATCTCCACTCAGACCAGAGCGTGTGGCGCAGGGGAACAAAAGGATTGAGTCGGGAGGCCCGCCAGGATACCCTGGCCGGTCTCTATCTATCTACTCCGTACGGGGGTGATGGGACGTCCCGATGCTCAGAAAGGGACAAGAGTAAACCTTAGGTTCAGCCATCCGAATCATCCTGCTGTAACCATCGGAAGCGTAACTTGGGGTTGCAGAGAGCCACAGCAGCGCCTCTGCACTGCTTCCCTCCACGTTGTGCCAGACAACACCTTCCTGGGGATAGGCGACCATCCAGGAATCTCAAGAGAATAATGCAGGAGGCAGTTGGGACTGGGAATAGGAACGGAGTACTCCGGCGAAGGTACGCCGGGACGGGGCCCGTCGTCGCGACCCGCTCATTCTGTGGAGAGGCTTCCCGGCAGCTCAGGTTGGTAGACTTGTAGGTAGGTAGGTAGGTAGGTAGGTAGTAGGTAAAGTAAGTCAGTTGTTACTACTAAGTTGAAGCTTACCAGTCTGTGTCACACCTCGCCACTTTGTTTTTCTTGTTTTTTTTCTTGTTTTTTGTTTTTTTATTTGTTTCTCTTTCCCGGTCTTCCTTCTTGGCCGGACTTTACGACGAGCATGCGTGGTTACCTTCTTGCAGAGCTATGGCTGTGTCGCTGAGCTGTCGCCTGCGGAGAGGGAACCTGGAACCTCGACGCCCCCGGTGTTTGTTGAGTCCAGACTTCCGCGGACAGGAGACGAATAGGCGGGCGGGGGTGGATGGCCACAGCCATGGCAAGCTGCGACTATCGATGGGTGGCTGACTGCCTGTATGTAGGCGAGAGGAGCCCGGCTGCAATAACGCAACGGTTGTCGAGACCTTGACAAATCCCAGTCACTGTTTCGGCGTCCCGTCATCCAGTGTGCACTCATCGCCTTACTTACATAGATACATGCCTCTGCCTCCCGCATGCGGTGACGTTGGCGAAGACAATATCTTTCATCATCCGTCTCCCGTGCAGAAGCGTGGGGGCTCCTGCCACTACCCAGAGCCTATCGTAGATGATCCCATAGGTTGTATACGCATAACTCGGGGACCGTCTCTCCCTGAACAGCGACAAGGTCCCCAGAGAATGGCATCCAACGACATCCAGCGACATATCCACCCGTCTAGGTGTGGCCTGCTGTATCCGATTGGCTCCTGGCGTGCAGCATGCAGGAAGCCTGACTCGGAGTCTAAGAAAGTATGTATGGTGTGCGTGGACGAGTGCGTGTGTGTAGAAGCAAGTCCAAGAGCGGGCTATGTCACTGTGGCTTGAGGCAAACATAGCGAAGTCTTCGCTCACAGGCTGGTAGGTATATAATCTTCGTACTCATCTACCAAATGGAAAGGGCCACTGCCGCGCAACTTGCTCTGTGCGGTCTGGGTCCCCGGAGTCGGATAAGGATATGTGAATACCCATGGGCCATCGGACACCGTGATACAATGTGCAATCCCACCCTTCCCTCGATGATCGTCTCACCTTGGTCATTCGGACCATTCATGCCGGTATCCTGCCTGACCTGGCAAAGAGGCATCCAAGGGCCTAAGGTACCACCATCCAAAAAGGAAGAGGTGGGCACACCCGAAAAGGGCCGAGGGGGTAGGGGAAAAAAAATAAAATAGACCCAGACGAGGTGCTCCCGCAAGTGATGGATCGCAATCCCACCTACCCCGATCCTGCTCTGAGATTAACCGATCTATCCCGAGTGCAAGAAGGCTGACTCGGGGAGGGCGTCCGACCACGGCGATGGTCGAATCCGGACACTGGTTCTGATGGTATCTGTTATCAATCACAACTGGACCGCCAGAAATCAAGAGAGATCGCCCAGCCAAAGTGACTTGTCAGTGACTTGACGCGCCTAAACCATGCGACTGATGTTTAGTCGTGGCTAAGCCTGCATGGTCAGCACCCGTTTCGTTTGGCACTCCTGTGAAGCCGAGCATCCGTCCAAAGGGACGCCAGCAGGAAGAAGTATCCAGATGAACTCCCTATTGTCCTCCAGTACGAATAGACCTGGAGCTGCACCTGCACCAGCATCAGCACCAACACCAGCACCTCCAACCCGTCCTTTGTCTCCTCACTCATACTTACTTCGCTTCTTGGGTCAACTCCTCACTAACCCCCTCTAGACTAGGTGGGAAGGAGGAGAAGGAAGAGGACAAGATCCATATTAACCTGCAGCAGCCCAGTTGACGTGTTACATTCCTACTTGTAGCCTTGTAGGCGGGCTGAAGGAGGTTGACTGGTAAACAAATCAAGGCGGCGGCGCCGAACCCCAGAACGAATGGCCGGGCCATAGTCCGATGATGGGTCGAGCTGCCCCGGTGCTCTTCGGCCAACTGCTCCGACCACTGGCCACTCCACATCACAAAGTGCATCTTCCCTTTTCGACCGGTTGGTTCCCGGCTTGAATGTGAGACGTAATTTGTGGTGGTCGTCCTCTGCATCCAGGATCGCCCCCCCCAGCGTCGTAGCATCCCTGCCAGAGGTCACGACGCGACGGACTCGACCTTCTGGGCGCTGCTCGAATCGAAGATCGAGTGACATCGGCGCGAATCTTACGTGGACTAGACCTGCTGGGCTGGATTGCAACCCCCCACGGAATTGCTCCGTGGATGATATGGGTCCGGGGCACCGACTGTGACCTGTGTCAGGGTCGGGATTTGGATCTGGGAAAGAGATAGATTGCTGAGAGAATGGGGAAGGTTGCTAGGTTGCGCCAAGGGAAGGAGCAGGATAAGGTACGTCGGCTCATGACCGGACCAGATACGAATGGATGGAAGATACTCAAGACAATGGTATCATAAGATGGAAACGTAGCCAGACTTGGCATCTTGACCTTGCTTTAATGTACAGACCTACGGAACAGTGCAGTGCGACCCCAACGAGTCCCATATGTCCTGTAGACAAATCCTTCTCTTTTTGTTCTGGATAACGCTTCATATATTATCGTAACCGGCGTCATACAGGTCCACAAAGTAAGACAAGATGCCGTCGCCCCAGCGGATTTTTCAACGCTTTTGTTTTTCCGGCAGCCTACATGACTTACCATGCCACATCTACTGGAGGGCACGGCGGCGGTCACGCTCCTCAGCGATGGAGAGCTTGACACCCTTGCCCTTGGGCAGGGAGATCCAGGGCTTGTCCTGACCGATGACGAAGACGTTGGACTCACGGGTAGCGAAGGTGTTGTCAATGGCGTCCTTGATGTGGACGATGTTGAAACCACCATCGTGGCGCTCACGGTGGGTGACGACACCGACACGACCCATGTTACGTCCACCGGTGACCATGGCGACAACACCAGTGTCGAACTTGACGAAGTCGGCGATCTTGCCAGTGGCAACCTCAACCTTCACGGTGTCGTTGACCTTGATGGCGGGGTCGGGGTAGCGGATGCTGTAAAAAAGAGCTCTTGTTAGCACCGAATTTTCTTCATAGCGGCTCCTTACTGCGTTCCAGCAAAGAACTGCGGTTCTAGTTCTGTCGTCCTCCGCCGATCAACCAAAACTTGGTCCAACGACTGAATGACGCGGAACTTGCAGAGAGTATAAACTCACGTTCTCGCATCGTGCGTAACCAAGAATGGGATCCCGCCCTTGCCGAGCTGAACACGCTTGACCTTGCAGAGCTTGTACTCAGCCTCCTCAGCCTGGATGCGGTGGACGGTGAAGCGACCCTTGGTGTCGTAGATAAGACGGAAGTTCTCGCCGGTCTTCTCGACGCCGATGACGTCCATGAAACCAGCGGGGTAGGTAGGGTCGGTGCGGACCTTGCCGTCGACCTTGATGAGACGCTGCATGAGGATCGCCTTGGTCTCACGGCCGTTCAGGGCGTACTTGAGACTAGAACCTTTGTTAGTCCACCGATTCTCCATCTAGTTTCGTTCGATTTTTTTTTTGGTTTCTCATCGAGGGTTCGTACCGGTTGCGGATGAAGACGATCAGGGGCAGGCAGTCCCGGAGCTTGTGAGGACCGGGGGAGGCCTTGGGAGCGTAGGTTCCGGACATCTTGTCCAGGAGCCAGTGAGAAGGCGCGCTAAGGCGCTTCTGGTGCTTCTTACTGTACAAGCATCGCGGTCAGTTTTCAGTCCCTCCAATCTTCAAAATCTCTGCCGTGGCCCAGGTTTGCCTGTGAAAACCCGCTTTCGACGGCGACCTGGCCGTGTGCAGTGAAAATATCATAAGGCGTGTAACTCACGGTCCGCGAGGCATCTTGGCTGCTTTGTCGACTTGAACCGGTTAGTTGTCGGAGTGTCGCAAGAGGAAAGAAGGAGACTTCATCGACTGATATCCAAGCCTCCCGCAATTTTCGCTTAGCGGCTGGTGCTGGTGGGCTTAGCCCTAGCACTAGTCCGGATCAGCACTCCATTCCACTACACCCAATTGGCACTAGTGCCGTGGGTCTGCCATTGTTATGTAATACAGATTGGGTCTAGGCTTGATTTGATTGACTGTTGATGCTTTTCGTAGTCTAACTACCTAGGTAGAAACAAAAGGATATCTGACGCCGTCTGAACGCTATATGCCATAGATCTTTTAACACATTTAGATGTATCCCTTGATGACAGCAACCTCCGCATTGAGGATGGATGATCCAGCAGCGCCGATAACGGTGTTGTGCGAAAGCGCAGCAAACCGGATATCGAAGTAGCCACCTTCCTGACCTTCGCGCACGCGCCCAACGCTAACGGTATATCCCTTAGAGATGTCCCGATCAAGTCTAGGCTGGGGTCTGTCGGGCTCATCGAACACGCGGATAGCCTGTGGGGGCGCAGAAGGGGCGCCCAGCTTCTGAGCTTCCGACTGGTATTCTCTCATGGCCTGCGCAACCTGCTCGGCGCTGGGTGCGGGGCGGTTCTTGAAGCGCAAAGAGACGAATGCCATGTGGCCATCAGTAACTCCAACGCGGGTGCAGGTGGCGCCAACTCTAAGACCCGACTGCTCGTCAAAGGCGGTAGCATCGGCGTTCAAGGAGCCAAGAATCTTCTGAGCTTCGTTCTCCAGCTTGTCTTCTTCGCCACTGATGAAAGGAATCACGTTATCGAGGATATCCATGCTAGGAACACCTGGGTAACCAGCTCCGGACAGAGCCTGCTCGGTGAAGACCTCCACCTCCTCAACAGGGCCAAACTTGGCCTGCAGGGCTGCGAACGGGATAACAATGCCGATCACGGCACAATTCGAGTTGCAAACCAAGAATCCTTTCTTCAAGCCGAAATGTTTCCTCTGGTGGGGAATGAGGTCCAGATGCTGGGGGTTGACTGTGGGGACGACGAGGGGGACAAGCGGGTGCTTGCGGTAGTTCTTCGCATTCGAGAAGACAGGAATCTCGGCCTTGATGAACTCCATCTCTGGGAAGTTCGAAATCAGTAGGGAATTGTGTCGCCCAAGAAGAGAATCACATACCAACATCACCAGCGATATCGCTGTTGAGTCCAGAGAAGACAAGGTCGCAGTCAGCAAACTTCTCGGCCGTGCAGTCACGGAGGACAAAATTGCTGAGTCTCTCAGACATAGCGGTAGTCTGCTTCCATCTCACGGCATCCTTGTAGCACTTGCCCGCAGAACGTTCCGACGCACCAACGGCGTGAAGCTCCAGGAAAGGGTGGTCTGCGAGCAATAGGATGAATCGCTGACCCACGGAGCCCGTAGCGCCCAGGACACCTGATTGTCATTAGCATGAAAGCTCAGATCCAGCAAAATACTAGTCCTGTGATTGTATGTCCATACCGCACTTCTTCTTGGGATATGATGCCATTTTCGTCGGTCGGTATGCGATTCGCGTGGTCTAGCGTTTGTTAATTGATTTCCCTCAATTATATATTCAAAAAAACAACGGAAAATAGTTGAGCAAATCAGGGGCGTCAAGAGCGTCCAGTTAGGACAACCACCATTGAGACATCGCCAACATTACGTTCGGCGAGTTCAAGGATAGAAGCCCCGCAAGGGATGAAAACACATCTTTATCTCCATGATCGGACTCGTGCATGCAAATGGCATAGTAGATCACATTGTGACATTGCAAAAAGGCAAAATTCTGATTTAGGCATATACTAAAAAGAAGAATTGCACTCACCTCTTGGATAATGATGCGGAAGGTGAAGAGGGACAAGAGTGGCGGCCCCAACTAAAACTGCGATATCGCTCCGGAGCACATCTGCCCCGCTGTGAGTCAGCCCTCATTAGTCACGACCCAACTTTGTTTGCTCCGCGGCCCATCACATCACTGGCTGGTTGATCATCGAAAAGCAGTGGCATCATACCAGGCTTGACTACTATCTAGAGGAGAATGCTAGATTCATGTACAATTCCATTTTCCCGTCCAATCTACCATGGCTATGTTAATTTTAGCTATGAGAGTCGACAATATTCATGCTTCGTTTTCATAGTCGAAGATCTTGCCGGGATTCAACAGCCAGTGAGGATCAAGAGACTTCTTGATGGAACGCATAATGCCAATCGTGTCTGGACCAAGTTCCTTCTTTAGGGAGCTTTTCTTACCCAGCCCTACACCATGCTCACCCTAGATTCATCCAAGTCAGTCATGCTTCCAAGCACATGAAGTTTCGGATGCATATGTCTTACAGTGCAGGAGCCTTCCATTTCCAGGGCACGGTCGACCATGTCGTAGACAACCTTTTCAACGCGCTCTCTTTCTTCTGGGTTCGTACGGTCGTATAGGATACTTGCGTGGAAATTTCCATCGCCAATGTGCCCAAGAATACTCGCAAAGATTCCAAGACCATCAAGTTCCTTCTTTGATATTTCTAATGCGGTCAGCAAATGTACAGGCCGTGTCATGCAAAAAACGTACCGATAATGTCCGGTAGTCTGGAGATTGGTACAGAAACGTCGGTTGACCAGACTTCGGCACCTCGCTCCCGTAATGCCAGCATGCTCCATAGCGATTGTTTCCGTGCGGACCATAGATCGTGTGCTTCTCGCTCATCTCGGGCGAATTCAAAAGAGCTTGCATGGTTACCCTTGGCTAGCGTTTTGGTCAGGTTGATGCTATCAGCAACCCCAGCCTTGGTACCGGAGAATTTAAAGAACAGAGTAGGCAATGTCTTCCATGTTCGTCCAGTCCCCCCTGCACGGTTGATGACATCCATCTGAACCTCATCTAATATTTCCATGCACTGTACCTGGATCCCTTTTCGGACCAGTTGCATGGCAGTCGATGCAGCATCACGTATAGTGGGAAAGGTAACCACGCCGACACGAGTCTGCTCTGGAATTGGGGTCAACTTGAGGGTAGCTTCAGTCACAAGACCAAGCGTCCCCTCCGATCCCACGAACATGCCTGTCAAGTTGTACCCCGCTGAAGTTTTGCGGGGACGTCTGCGTGTCTTGATGATACGACCGTCCGCGAGCACAACAGTGAGGTTGATAACCCAATCCTTCATAGTTCCATATCTCACAGCATTTGTACCACTGCAGTTTGTACCGATCATTCCGCCTATCATTGCTGACGGTCCAGGATCGACGGGGAAGAAAAGACCGCTGTCCTTAATTTTTTCATTCAAGTCCATCCATTGAATGGACGGTTGGACCACAACGTCCAAATCAGATTCGTGCAACTCTAATATCTTGTTCATCATCGCGAAGTCAATGGTCAACCCACCGTAAGGAGCTGAAAAGTTGGCTTCGAGGCTAGATCCACCGGAGTAGGGCACCATTGGCATCTTGTATTTGTGACAAATCTTAGCGATTTGAGCGACATCGTCCGTTTTCGTAGGGTAAGCAATGGCGACTGGCAGACGATCAGCATTGACACTGGACCATTCCGAGAACCCATGTTGCTGGAGATCGTCCTCGTCGGTGCTAATAGTATCATCGCCTAGCGTAGCCCGTAATTCCGCAATAGCCTAATTGCTCAACGGATCGTTCAGTAAAGTGCGATCAATACCTTTGCTGAGAACAGGAAATAGGTGAACAGCGCCATACCTTCTCGAAATCCTTCGCAGATCCATACTGAGGTTCCTTGAGGTTCTGCGGCTGCGATGGTCGGCTTGTGACGGCATATGCATAGCCTACGCCCGCGGCTAAAGCGGATGCAATCAGGGTCCCGCCTGAAGTCCAAGAGCCTGAAGAATTGCCAGAGAACTCAGTATGGGCATTGTTTCTATGACCTTCACTGCCATTGTCTCTATTTTCTTTTTTGGAGCTATTCCAACGCACCGCTCGCCGGAGAGGGAAAAACTGGCGTTGTGCGATGACCCTCGGCCGGCAATGAAGCGCGCGGGGATGTGCGGGGAAACCCCGAGGTACCGAGATGAGCGACCGCATGATTCAACGGCTTTGATTGATATCGTAAGAGATAGAAGCTCAGAAGTCGGGGCAGGGGAGAGCATAAGCAATATATACTACGGCCTAAAGTTGCGGGCTTTTCATGAAAGAACCAACCAAGTCCGGGCTGCGAGGTCCGATCATCCTGTCATGGCTCATGGAGAAACGCCATCGGAGCTAAGGATGAGGCGTACAACAGCAATCGGAAATGTGCCGAGTAGAGAAGACCAATTCTGCCCATGCTGACGGACGGGCTAAGTGCGTTCGGTCAGAATTGAGGGTATTTCGTACGCAGACCCGGATTAGCCCCCCCACGCTGATGCAGAAATGTTCGAGGGTGATTGATCCCCACGTTTCGGCAATCTTGCTTATCGTCCGCCTAAAGCCGAAGTTAGTCGCGATCGGCCAGAACGCCGACGGTGCCTGAGGAACATCACTTGGCAGGGACAGGCACAATTTCCTTGCAAGCCAGTTTGTCCAGGACGAAGAAGAGAAGTTGGTGCGATACACACTGAGAAGATACAAAAGGAAAGGTAGAACATGCACTCCGATCAAACAATCGCCGCTACTTCTTGCATCATGTCAATTCCCCCCCACTCACGATCACGTCCTGTGTGCCATGTGGCCCCGCGCCAAGTCGTTGAGGGGGCAACCGGCTACAAAACATCAAATCTTTCCCGCCCCTACGGAGTAGTCGAAGACAATCGATGATAACCTCGTGGGGAACAGCACCACACTCTTGTCATTGACCCTTACTAGTCCATGGGAACTCCATAGACGGATCCGAATTCGCAGGCATGGCAGATCAGCAGAGTATTCGTCTGGGCCGCGAAGTGGAGCGCCTCGTTACTGCCCCATATGCGCCCTCACTTCAGGTAATAATCTCCGCTGCTTACGCTATAACGCTGGGCCAACTCGTTAGTAGCTGATCCGCATCGTTGCTTTAGGTCCTTCAGGGCTTGGTTGAGACTACAACATCGAACTCAATCCAGCTATGGGCCTTTCACAAGCCGTGTCAGATTGGGGCTCTTGTTGATGTTCTCGTCGATGGTCTATCACGTTCTCGATTCGCTCTGCCTCTTCTTAGAACATTTGGTAAGAGTTACACATGTGACCAGCTGCTTGTAGATATCTAAAGTCTGGCAGTCTTGATACCGGCTGTTCGAAATGTCTTACTGGAACGATATCCGTGCCTCCTCGACCAACTCCTCCAGACGGCTATTGAAGATAACCGGTTCGAGGTTCGTGCTCTTGCAGATATCCTAAGCAAGATATATCATACATAATCAAATATCTGGCATGTTAAGCTGAGGAACTCATGAGCTGACTATTATAGTACGCTTCTGTATGCACTGCAATCCTGTCTTCTCCTCTACCGCCTGACTTCCTGATTCCCGCATGTCTGGCGCCATTTATGGAGAAGTCAATACGTGCAATGGGAGAAAGTCCGTGTGCAGAAAGCATTTTGCCTCTAAATCAGATCTGCAATGGTATCAGGAATTCTCCGGGGATTCTTCTCGAAATCCCATCTGAAACGATGTCTAGCCTCCAGGTAGAGCTTACAAAAACTCTGCGCAACCTGAGCGATCACATGGGCAACATTCTTTGTCTAGCCACTTTTGCACGTATGGCATCCTTGCAAGATCTTAATGCTGAAGAGGGGTGCGTGCGCTTTGTTCCGTCATGGTTGCAAAATGTCAACCATTTCTTTGGACCCAAGCGGGGCCTGAAAACTCTAGATCTCGTTTTTCTACGTGTGATTCTTGCTTGCTCTGATAGCTGCAACGACTTGACGGTGGATCAGGCAGCAGAAAGTATTCGTTTGGCCATCGAGATTTGTGATAGGGTTGAGCAAGGGCAGAGGGAATGCTGGATCACGGCAAACTCTTCTAAAATTGCGAAGTTACGAGAAAAGGTGACAAGGAACGGTATTGACCGTAGTGTGCAATTGCTGGTATGTAACGGTCCCTGATGGGCAAATAGAGGGCTTGAATTGATCATGAATACAGGGTGTAACATTCTTGGCATCTCTTGTCCCGGATATCGCACTCTCGCCCGAAATAGCGCGAGTTGCTCTCGAAGGACTTTTATCTGAAGACAGCACATTTGTACTACAAGTTCTGCCATCAGATTACGTACCACGCCTTGTAGGGGCAAGTGTGGTAAGTAGTTCACGGACTGCCATCTGCAGCTCTTCTAACCCTTTCAAGTCTTGCCTAGGGCAATCTGCGATACGTAATATGTTGGAATATATCGTCTCTACCTTGACTAAAGAAAATTTGACGAGCTCTCAAAGCCCATCTCATGTCCAGGTGGCCAAGTGTTTAGTCGCAGGGCTGTGCAATGCAGCCCTGGAATCTTTCCCTTCTATGATAGTGGAACCTCTTGACCAGTGCAAGCAATTTATGGGGCAAATCATGAACAGTTTTCCGAGACAACCTTCCTGTTCACAATGTAACGGCTCTCAAATGTGCGAGGCTTCGCTTTCGCAACTGGAGAACGAGCTGATCTACGACTTCTACTCCTTCTACATTCACGCATCTTTATTACGAAACACAGCACACAAATCATCGCCTGAGATAGATTCCTTGCAAATGTTTATGGCTAGATACAAGCAGTTACTGCCTGCGCCCAAGTGCTCTTTTTCGGAGATTGAGCCAGTTCGAACTGTCAAAACATTGCCGTCTCCGGATGCCCGCGAGGGATCTCAAGGGCTGGGTTCGAGGTCTGACTGGAGAAGTGTTATAACAGAAACACTTATGCTCAATGCACGCATGTCTAATGACAACCTTCTACATAAGATAGGGGAGGTTTGTTACGATCTGGAACAACGGTGCGATAATGTTGAAGTCCCGCTAAGGGCAGTCGAGCAAGAGCGTGACGCAGCCATGCTCGAGACGCAGCAGGTAAAGAATCAAAACAGCACACTGGGGTCACAATTACAACAAGCATCCGACACAATCACCGCGCTTCAACTGGATATTTCCCGCTTAGAAACCCATGCAGAAGCTGCATTTATTCGCGCGGAAGAGCTATCGGCAACACTTGACGCAGCCCGGAAGGATCTAGAGATTCAGAAGCGTGAATCCCAGGATATGGTGGCGAGCGAGAGGGAAATGGCCCGAACTAGGGAGTTGGACTTGGTTGCATCTATAACTGAAAGGGATGATCAGCTGGAAGCATTGCAAGAAGAGATCACGGACCAGAAAGCTGAGACGATGAACGTTCAGAAAGCGTTAGATGAAATCGCACGAGAGAAGTCATCTCTACTCGAACAGAATGCCTCTCTAAGTCAGGATGTGATGGGTGTTGAAGAAAAGTTGAAACATTGCCAGATCCTCCTAACGCGAAAGGATGAAGACACGCAGAAGCTTCTGTCTGACAAGGACGACAAGGAGAGAGAAGTGGAAGCCCTACGGATAAAGGTATGAGTCGTGCTAGACCTGAGCACTGAAGGATGCTAAAATAGAGGATGCAGCTTGATGAAGAGGTCTCAAAATCCAACGGGTTGGCGTCTGCACTTGAAAAAGCTGAGGAAGACCTTCAACAAGAACGAGAAACCGTCAAAGATTATCGGACTCGGCTTTCGGTAGCAACTGCAAAGGTACGGTCAATGTATGAATCAAGTGTGGAAGGCCTGTTTTCTAATGCGCACTTGTAGTACGCAAAACAAACGGAAGAAATTTCCTCGCTACAGATGACGATGCAGGCAGCCGCATCCGACGCCGCCAAGGATCTGCAAACGAAGGAGAAGCGGATACACCAACTAGAAAAGAAGGTACGAGTATTCCCGACCATTAAAATAGCACTCTTTCACCTGGTTAGTTTTGGTCATTTACTTATTGGCTCGTTAGGTGCAACAATTACGGGATGAACGAGCAGCAAAAGCCCGCGAGTTCTCCGAAGCCCAGCAACATATTGGACGACTCATGAATGTCATGGGGTTTCGAGCTGAACCAGACTCGTCCAGACCTCCGAGCAAACCCAGCAGAACCAGGCCTTGTCAAACCACGACGACGCAGCAAACGCAGCCAGCGGGGGACGAATTCCAGACCCAACCTGAGAACCAAGTGAGAGATTCTTTTGGAACCAATCTGTCCCCTCCTGGTAGCCGTAGTCCCAAAAGATCGCGGGAGAGGGCTTTTCCTGGAGCTGATTCATCATCGCAACAAATGATGACTGACAAAAGGTCCCGGGATTCAACCCCCCGGCCGCGACGAACACCTCTCGAAGATACCGACCAAAACAGCCAGCCGTACTCACAACGAGGCACTGCCTCGCCGCGCAGTGAAGGGGGTGCTTCTGCCAAAGACCGGGCTAGTGGCAGCCTTGAAGAGAACCAACTTCGCCAGATCGACCTGGACATGGATCTGGAGTTTTCGAAAAATTTTCTATTTACCAGCACTTCTTTGTCCCCACCCAATGACCACATGCCCTTCTCAGAGATGCAATAGTGACACCAAGCAAACATATAATACTAAGGATCGTGTATATCAGCTGAGACAGTATTTGGTTTATAGCTCGAAGTGCCCCTGGCCCAGCCAAGCTTGTCCTCACTTAATCCAGAGCTGAACTCAGTCGTGAAGGGCTCATCCATAGCATCCGTAGAGAGGGGCGCTGGTGTTACTTTGGTGTTTAATTACGCCACCAGTCTCAGCCTGAACAGCCAGGCCGGCATCACTTAGGAAAAGTGGCAGACAACCAGCCACTGCAGAAGCCCAGGGTCTTCACCGGACCCTATCATTAAGACCCCTGCAGGTAGCCATTAACCAAATCCATCCATTGCCCGACTTCTATTCGCTGTTATCGCCGTATTTTCCCCTTTGTTATCAAGGAACTTCCCCTTCACTCTTCGGCCGCTGGGCTTTTACGAGCAGGAAAACCCCGGGGCTGAGACACCCCCCACGAGTGAAAGCTCATAAAACAACTAGCCAGCCCACCACTGACTCTGGCTCTATGAGCCACCCACCTACCCTCTCAACTTTCCAGGCCAGTGTCTTCGCACAGATTCAATCGAGTTCTGAAGTGTTCCTATCCCTCCCCCTCTCCCTGTCCCCAGCAGCCCTCTGGCTCCCATCCGATCGCCGCGCCGTAGAAATCATCTCGAGACCGCAGGTATACGGGCCTGAACGGCGATAGAGATGGAATTTAAAGTCGTTTCGGATGTTCCTTCCTCGCCGGGGGGGCCCTCAGAGGGCGAAGTCGCCTTTCACTCCGCTCTCTCACCTTCCCTCCCGTCTTTCTCTCACTTCACCCCCAACTCACCCCCTCCAACTCGTCCTCTTCCTCTTCCTCTTCCTTCGTCTCTTTCGTCTTCTGCCTCTCCTCGCCCCAGACCCTGCCACCAACCCTCTTTCTCAACTTCATCTTCTTTGTCAACTTCCTCATTATCACCGTCTTCTTCCCCTCGCTCCTTCCTCATCTCCTCATCCACTCATATTCCTGTTACCTCGACCGCCGCTATGCGTCCACGAAACAAACAGCCACAGTATCCAAGAGGAAAAGGGCGCCGTCTAGAGGCGGTTCCCCCTCCTCCTCAGAGCTCCCCTCAGATCTTGGCCCCATGGCGGCTGTGGGATAGTGTGGCGATCAAGATCACCAACCTTCCTTTGGAAACCAATGCCCAGATTATCTGGACTGCCTTCAAAGATGAAGGTAATATCTTCTCGATTGATCTGTTTGAGGATCACCATGGCCATAGGACACCAAAGGGGAAGATCCGCTTCAAGTTAGTTCTCCTTCAAATCCGATTGTCTCACCTTCGCTAACCTTCGACCAGGCCGCCGCCCCATACCGACTTCTGGCGAAACGGCACCTATACCATCATGTTGCCGGACGGACGAGCAGCACACATATTCATAGCTCTTGAAGCACCTAGAACCTCGGACCTTGAGATTCCAAGCCCAGTCCGTCCCACGGTCCGGTATCCAGCCGAGCTCGTAAGTACTGCCGGTCGCAATTTCAGACCAGATCGACATCCATCTAATACTTTCGTGTTCTAGACGATACCAATCTCTTCAATCGACATTGGAGTTATGTTCAATGAGACAACCTTTCTGCCAATGTGGACCGTTGGTTTGACTGGAGCCCCCTACGTACTGCTTAATCTCAAGCAGAGGGCACTATATGTCTTCTTTAGGCTACAGATCTTCAGCTCAAAGCGGAAATCAGTCTCCGTCGCAGACACCTGGCACGATTATCGTCTCAAGATTCCCTTTCGGCTGATGAACAAGGTCTTTCAGTCTCGTGATGTTAGAACTGGAACGATATCTCAATCGACCGTGTTGGACTATCCTCCCATGTACCATCGTCGGATCAGGGATATAGAGGCCACATTCATTGAAGAAGGGAGCTGGAGGGATTCGGACTGTTGGTACCGACAAACGCACATTGTCCACAATCCCCTCCAGTCATCCACTCTTCCAGTCACCCTACCAAGGCATAAACCCATCATTGACATCGGTGCGTCCTCACTCGCTCCCTGCTTAACATTTGGTCCTCTTACCAAAGCTTTCCTCTTGCTAACCAATAATATATACTTCAGGCCGCTGGAATGTATTCAGGTTCAATTACGCGAGTGATTGTAATAAGAAGGGGAAATTTGGTCAGCTTTGTAATATCCTCCAAGACTTCAACGTTTCCATTGAGGAAACCGATCGCTTCACCGAATGGGACGTTGGCAAAGAAAGGATGCCGCCAGTATGGAAATGGATCGATCTATCGGAGATTTCAACGTCGCCCAATTCGTCGTCTTTGCATGACCTGATTGACTCTACTTATGTCCCTCTGCCATTTTCAGTCCGCTATCAGCTGGAAGTCTGCATCTCCAATGGATTTCTCTCTGAATACAACATGACGCGTGAGTTCGCTGTTAAACTGGCTGACCTTGGGGAAGCGAAAGCTAGAAAGCTTCTGGAGCATGTGGCGAACCAGAAGCAGCGGTACTTTGATCCCATGAGGATCTTTGATCTGTTGTTTGTGAAGGGTGTGACCAATGCAAGGATCCCTCCATACTGTTGCTATATGCGATCCGCTACGATCACCCCCAGTACCGTTTACTATAACTTGCCATCCGTGGATATCTCGAATCGGATCATTAGACGCTATATGGAGCATGCGGATCGCTTCCTCCGAGTTCGGTTCACCGATGAGAAGTTGTTTGGTCGCATCAATGCCACAAGCGACGATTGTAATGATGAGATATTCACTCGAATCAAGCGAGCCTTGGCAAATGGCATTGTCATTGGAGACAGGCGTTATGAATTCCTCGCCTTTGGAAACTCCCAATTCCGTGAGCATGGAGCATATTTCTTCGCGCCGCTACCTGACCTTACAGCTGCCAACATGCGAGCTTGGATGGGGCATTTCAATAATATCCGGAATGTTGCCAAGTACGCAGCACGCCTGGGCCAATGTTTTTCAACGACTAGAGCCATAGCTGGCTGTCCGGTGCAAATACGCAAGATTGAGGATGTGGAGCGAAATGGCTATACTTTCTCTGACGGCGTTGGGAAGATCTCGCGATTCCTTGCGCAAATGGCAATGAACGAACTCAAAATCAAGACGCCAACGGGCGATCCCCCATCTGCTTTTCAATTTCGTCTGGGAGGCTGCAAGGGCATGCTTGCTGTTTCAAGCGATGCCCAGCCCCAGGAAATACACATCCGCAAAAGTCAACATAAGTTTTCGGCCATGCATAACGGGCTGGAGATTATCAGGTGGTCTCAATTCTCAATGGCTACATTAAACCGGCAGCTGATCCTTGTGTTGTCTACCCTCGGAATCACTGATGATGTGTTTCATTACAAGCTCGGGACTATGCTACGGGCCCTCAATGAAGCCATGGAGAGCGACTCTCGCGCAATTGAAGTGCTGAAGAAGTACGTCGATCCCAATCAGACAACTCTCACAGTCAGTCGAATGGTTTCCGATGGGTTTCGAAGGTCTAAAGAGCCATTCATAACATCTATCTTAGCACTGTGGCGGGCCTGGCATTTGAAGTATTTGAAAGAGAAGGCAAAGATTGTCATTGATGAAGGTGCAAACCTACTGGGGATTATGGACGAGACTGGCATCCTCAAAGGTCATTTTAATGACCAGGTCCCGAAGAAAGACGCTCCCCATGAGCAGCAACTTGCGGCATTGCCTGAGATCTTTTTGCAGATTTCTTGCCCAGAAGGCTCTGATATAAAGTATCGAGTCATTGAAGGAACCTGCATCTTGGCACGCAATCCTTCGCTGCACCCCGGTGACATTCGTGTCGTTAAAGCTGTCAACGTACCAGAGTTGCGCAACCTTCATGATGTGGTCGTCCTGCCACAGACCGGGGATCGAGATATTGCGAGCATGTGCTCCGGCGGAGACCTTGATGGGGACGATTACCTGGTCATCTGGGACCAGGATCTACTGCACAAAGACTGGTTTCGAGCACCGATGCGCTATACAAGCAACAAGGCCCGAGACCTAGACCATGACGTTACAGTGGATGAGATCACCTCTTTCTTCGTCACATATATGAAGAATGACAGCCTCCCAACAATCGCTCACGCCCACGTTGCCTGGGCAGATTGGCTTGAGGATGGTGTCAACGAGGAGAAATGCATTCGCCTCGCCCAGCTCCATTCTGACGCCGTCGACTACAACAAGACAGGGAGCCCAGCTATGATGACCCGCAGCCTGCAGCCACGCATGTGGCCTCATTTCATGGAAAAGCCCAAGCCACAAGACAAGATCTACCGCTCGCACAAGATTCTCGGTCAATTATATGATGCCGTGGAGAGAGTCGACTTTGTCCCCAGCTTGGAGATGCCTTTTGACGAGCGAATCCTCAGCAGTAGGCTCAAAGTCAGCGAAGATCTGTACACGTTCGCCAAGAACCTCAAGGTGGAGTACGATGCAGCCATGCGCCGAATCATGGCACAATACGAGATCAAGACCGAGTTCGAAGTTTGGTCTACATTTGTCCTCGGCCATTCACACATGAGCAAGGACTATAAGTTTCACGAAGAAATTGGTACAATCTCAGCGGCGCATCGCGAAGCCTTCAAAAAACAGTGTTACGAGAAAGTAGAGGGTCGTACCTTCACACTGCTAGCACCTCTAGCTCTCGCTATGTACAGTGTTACGCATGAGGAGATGACTGCGGCACTCAAAAAGCATCGTGAGCAATCCCCGCCGGACGGGAATAGTAGGCCCACTCCCAAAATGAATCAGCTGCCACTCATCAGCTTTCCTTGGATCTTCCCCAATATACTGGGCGGAGTTGCACTAGGTCATTACGATGCCCCTGAACTAGTCAGTCCGAACCAGGGGCAGGCTGCATCGGTTGATGAAGATGCCCTGCGGGCTCAGGGTGATAGCAATATCATACCGGAGGACCCTTTCGGTTTATTCACGGACGAGGAGCGCGCAGCCAGCGCATTATGCAACCAGCCATCGTTACATGCTTCTTCTAGCCATATCAGTCCAGAAAATATTGGAATTCTCGACCAACTCCTCGACTTTGGCTTTTCAGATTCCCCGCAGATATCGCCGTCTTCTCTCGCCGCCCCTTCCATCACCTCTGGTGAAGGACAGCTCGCCTTGCTAGACTTCAATGGCGACAGAGCCAGTGAAATCCTCGAGAATCAGGTACAACATGCCTCAGGACCGAAAGCAGCGCGTGACACGGTGAGCAACGAAGACGAATGCGTTGATGTTGAGGAGGTAGGTGATGTGGAGCCTACTGCCCTCGATCGACTGAATGAGATTCTCGGACTATGAGAAGATGGGGTTGCTCACTTATCATTCTTATTAGACCTTCGATCTCCATTAGTCATGTTTCAAACATGAATCAAGATCGTCTCCTTCGTTGTCTCTCTCAAATTGCTCTTTATTGATGTTGTATCGTCAAACGAACCCATGCATCTAGTTTATTGTCATTTAAATACAGGTCTCCTGAATGTAACTTCCTAAGCCCCGTCATTGTTAGACATAGTAATAGTACATATATGTCTGACTTCCCGTAACAGAACCTCTACCTGTCTGCCTGCCAACAGACAAGGTAAAAAAACGCCATCACATCCAACCTCTTAACCAAGCCTAGAGTAAACCAAAACAAACATCACCCTACCACTCCAACTCCTTCTCACTTTTCTCCTGCAACAACTTGATAACAGGATCCAAAACAGCCTTCGTATGTCTCCAGTTCGCCAAGTCCCTAGTCCGGGAATAAAACACCGGGCAATCCTTACTATCACAGTTCACCTCTTCTCCAAACGGAACTCCCATACAAGACCGACAAATCTGATGCAGATCCGCCACCTTCTTCTCCGCGCACCGCTGGCGCGAGACCAACTCAAACAATCCCAGTTGCGGCTGCCGTAGACACCTCGAGCAAACGGGAACATCCGCGTCCTCTAATCGCGCCTTACAAATCACACATGTCGAGGATTTCATGTACGATTCGAGCGTTTTCCTACCACCCCCTGAAGTTGCCATTGTTCCTTCGACGCGACGCACGCGCTGCACTTTCGGCATCTCGTCGTACCATTGGCGGACGTTAGCGCCGACGAGGTTGAAAATTCGTTCAAGAGGCGGGATCAGGTTCTTGGTGATGTAGTAGTCTGCGTCGAGGTCGAGATGGGGATCATGGAGGAGCGTTTCGGGGGGTACGCACCGGTCGATGAGGCGGGAGCCCGGGGCGCCGGTTACCACGACGTAGGGGACGCGTTCCCCGTATTGAGGCTCGGAGCGGGGATCAGCGAGCATCTTTTTAGCACTGATGAGGGCCCCGGGGGGTGGGAGACGGTCGCTGTAGGTTCCGAGGCGGACTTCTCGCGCGAAGCAGAAGTCTTGAACGGAGACGCGGCCTTGCATTATCTTGGTGCATTGGGATTGGAAGTAGCGTTTGACTTGGCTGAGGTCGGCGGTGCGGAAGAGGAGTTTGAGGGCTTTTTCTTCGATTTTTTGTTCTGCAGGCGTGCCGTCTCGTCGGACGGTTTCAATGCCTTTCGCGTCGAACTCGGGCTCGGTTTGGTCCCGGTGTTCATATTTGAAGCCGACGTAGCGTTTCTTGGCTAGGAGGACGCATGGGTGGTAGACTTTCTCGAACTTGAGTTTGACGGGGTGGGGGTTGATTTCTGTGACGGATTTGGCGATTTCTTCGCCGATAGAGAAGGCCTCGTCTCGCGTGCGTCCTTTCAGGTAGATGAAGAGACTGTCGGTGTCGCCGTAGACTACCTCGGCCCCCCATCGTTCAACGGAATGGATGAATGCGATGGCTTTCTCAAGCGTCTCTCGCCCGGATTGGACAATGCTGTCTGCGATTTCCGAACAGGGCATGCGGCCTGAGAATGAGGCTGAGGTATATCCGTAGGTGACGTTCGCGATTAGCTTGAGCGCCAGCTGTCTGTTGTTAAGCAGACGCTGCAATGCCTTGTCGTCTTTGTCCATTTTCATGCCGGTCTTGACCATTACCCGAGTTTCAAGGATCTCTGCGAGCATTTTTGCGAGGAGTGATTTGCGCACTTCCGGTTTCGCGTATATCATGCCATTTGGTGCGATGTTGATTTTGTCTTTAAGCAGCTCTAGCATCCGTGGCTGTCTTATGTAGTCTGTGAACCCCATCTTGTTCCGTCCTCTCCATTGACGCGCTCGTCCAAGGAAGGTAGAGTAGCAGTAGTTGTATGCAATCATTATACTAGGGTACAATGACTGAAAGTCCAGCACCACAAGAGGACTTGTGTAGAAGTCGCTCTGGGGTTCCATGACTAAGGGAAGACATTCAAGAGCATTCTGTTGGCCAACTTGTTTTCTGCTCGGGGAGACCAGCATGAAGTTTTCCGGCTTTGCAATGCGGAACATCAATGATTCGACCTTGAATTGAGAGCCCCGGGAGAATACTGAGAAGAAGTCTATGCCAAGCAGCCTGGCCTGTTCGCTGGTCCTGGAGATCAGTTCGTTCGACTCCACGATTTCAATGTCCATTTGAACGCGTGAGACGAAATATTCGACTACTTTCAATATGTTGCGAGGCTTCCCACTTTGATACCATTCTGTGAGGTCATGTGAAGAATAGTGTGGAACACGACGGTGCAGTAGGTGGAATGCGACATTTTCCTGTGTGTACTGCAGCAAATTCAGCTCACTTCTCATGGCTCGCCAAATGTTGATCATATGCCGTCCGGTGACTCGAATAGACGAGCTGTGGTTGAACCCCCATCGGTCGGCATCCTTGCCAAATCTTCCGTGCGCTTGTGACTTCACTCTGGATAGTTCGTCGCAAATGTCAAAATCATACTTCTTCCTGGCCCGCTCGATGAGGTAGCCCCAAGAGCTGTTGTGTACCTCGTAGCCAGTGATGATATCGGGGTCATGCCAGCGGACAATGTCTACTACTCGGTTGATCAAGTCAAGTTCAGTCGTCTCATGTTCCCAGTCTATTCCCGAAGCCTTGGAGGTCTTGATATCTGGCCTGTCATCTTCTCCTTGAGATATCATGCCAATATGGACACCTGGCACCATACCGTTGGTATCAAGATCACCGTCTTCTGACTGCAGGCACCAAAATGCGCATGTAATCTCGTCTTCCTCTGGATTTGGCGACAGCATACCGCGGGTGTTCACATGCACTTCCAGGCCCATGATGCTCATATACTGGGTCTGGTGCTCCACACTGGTGGACTTCCCTTTCTGTGAGTACTTGAAGCCATAATCATTCTTCTGTGTAGGACCTTCGATTTGCGACATGACGTTCGCCCTCACTTGCCCCTGTGTGCGGCCCTTGGGTTGAATGGCATCGGACTTTTCCTCCGCTTGAATTTTTTCGAACCAATCAATAACTTCTGAGCGGCTTGGGGGGACAGGAGCAAATTCCCATACCCTAGACGTGGAGAAAGCTCGTAGCTGCTGGTCAATCGCCTCCTGGTCTCCCTTATCTCTTGTCGCATATTGCTCGCCCAGCATCGCCATCGAACGCCCTAACGGATCGAAATCTGGGATATAGTGTATACCATTACTTTCTAAACGAAACTCTCTGCCTGCATAGTCCCTCGAACGATCCGGCACGTCATTCTCGTCGCTGTAGTAGGCCTTCTGGTAGACAACAGACGGGTACTCATAACTATGGGGTGTTGAAGAAACCTCACTAGGACCGGGACATGAAGTTCGCAAGAAACAGATGCGAGCGTTCGCAGGCATATTGAAGGCTGCATGGATACTTGACGCCATTTCTAATGCCAGTGTATCCGAAATATCATCAGCCTTCGTTGCTGTAGATGATGGCTGCGGTTGTGATGGGTTGTTATTCACTTTGATGCTTCTGGAAACAGTCACATTAGATTCAGGACGCATTATGTCGCTTTCGAATTCTCGTAGTTCCTTGGAAGAAGGCGCACCGTCCTGGCTGAAACGCAGAACTGTCATAGGGTCATTGGGGTCCTTGACAACCGGAAAGTTGAGCCTCCCATTCTGTTCAGTCCCTCTAGGACGGACAGTTGATTGCGTTAGCTTCCCTGGCGAGCTGATTCTATTTGCAAGACCATCCGAGTTGTTGACGGCATCTTCGGCTTTGGGGTTTGCATGGTAGATATGACTTCCAGTCTTCAAAGTCTTCCGTGGTCTATCTAGCCTCTGCGATGGTGTTTCATCAAAATACCTGTGTCGCTTGCGCGGACGGTTATGGCTGAGCTCTTCGCTTTCGGAGTGTTTGGGCAGTCCATCTGTGCTCCATTTGTGTGTCGTACTACCCTCATGAGCATTTGGATAATCCAGGTCACCATTTACATCCAGATCAAGATGTCGCTTGATAGTCATATCTGTCTGATGATCGAAATCGCCGATAGGAGCAACGGACTCGCGTGCATGGTCGGTATCGGCTCTGTTTTGGGGAACTAAAACAACGATGTCTTCGTCCTGGTCGCCATCTACTGTACTTGCAGCTTCATCTCCACTGTCTTCACCAAAGATTATATCGGGAATATTATCGCCTGAGAAGTAAGAGTCTTCGTCCGAATCCACAGGCCCAGTGGCATTTTCATCTTCATTTACTTCCGCGTCCGCTGCTGCATCTGCCTGATCGGACTGAAGTTGATATCTAGCGAAATCGTTGTTGTTCGGAAAGAAATCTTCGACACTCTGCATCGCAGTCTTTACATCTTTTGCGAAGGGATTCTGCGAAAGTAGATCATCGAATGTCACATGGCCTCCGCTACTCTCCTGTTTTTCCTCGTCCATAGTCTGCACAGTCATTTCACGATACTCTTCTTCGTGAATCCAGCCTCCTCTAGACTGGTTTCTCGGGTTAACGGACAAGGACACTAGCTCGTGGGTATCAAACGGGCTACTGCCTGGTTCCAGCCCAAGGCGTTTCTTTCTCCTTCGTGTCTCATCTAGCCACAGACCCGCCATGCTTGGAACAAGTTTTTCTTCAGAGGCCATCGGCTGCAATAGTTCGGTGAAGTCATGGTGGATAGACCTTTCACTGATTTCTGTGCGATTTAGTATGTCTTGGACGCAAACATCAACCTCTAGTGGACAATGACTCTGCTTGGGGAAAACCGACTCGTCCAACAGATCCTCGGGCCGGATTGATCGATCATGCCAGCGATGAGATAGGTCAGTAAGCTCAAGGTATTCCGGGGTTGGAGTACGGAATTTGACTTTACTGCACTTCATGGAAGCGCACCCGTACAAGCTGTAATCACACATCCATTGGGGGATGAACTGCAGGTGACTTTCATATGGCTGTAGAGGGCGTTTCAGGATAGCGCCCTGGAGCAGCAAGTCTGCCAGTCTGGTCGTGTAAACAGGGCTCATAAGATAAATCTTAAAGTAAAACTTATAGCCCACATGGTATCCATAGAAGGGCACACCTTTGACCAGCGTAATATGCGCGACAAAGGGGATTTTCCTGGCATTTTCGTTGCGATTATAGCTTACTGCCAATGCTTGATCGATTGAGAGCCGGAGACTCCGGATGGCGGAGCTCACTAAAGAGGCCTTAGTTGCATGAACATTTGATGTTACACCTCACCAAACCAACCTTTCTCTGGATCCAGATCGCCGTCATACTCGACATACAGATAAGGAAAGGCGCCATGCACATGGACGCACACCTTCTGGCCAGTCTCTGTTGCTCCGAAGATTCTAATTACGGGGACTTTCGATCTATCATTCTTCCCCGCAGCACCATCCCTGTACGGCAGGGGAGGATCGAGTTCTGACGGAGTTGCCTGGTAATGATCCACGCAGTTGAGGCGCACTTGGAAGGGTTCCATAGCTTAGTTTTGAGACAGCAGAAGCTGTCAGCGACATAACGCGCGAGGACTCTCGAATAGCATCATATCAGTAATTAGGGCGCGAACAGCATTGCTAAATGCTTCACCATTCACTCCTCTCTTTGGGATGTGACGGGACGTGTCAGAAGTGGTGATTGAGTGACGCGCCTGGTGGCGCGGAAATACACCAGGTCACGTGGGTAATCCGGAACAGTCGCCGACTCCCAGCAGGACCGCCATAAGAACGCTCTAGGCTCAACCTTTCGCAATCAACGGGTGGTCATCCCTGAAACAAATTGGTTCTCTTGGGCGCAACAACTTTCGTTTACTCTCTGTGTACTCTGCGCTAGCTGCTTCTCGTCATCACCGTCACCATGTCCAAGAAACCCGCCGATGTGGCGTCAAAAGAGCGCAACGAATATATCCCGTCTTTCATCTCGAAGAAGCCGTTCTATATCGACGACGATTCTTCCGCCAATGATTACCTCGAGCATCAACGTTTGCAGAAATCGACAACCGACCAGTCGAAATGGTACGATCGTGGAAAGCGTGCGGGCCCCGCGGCCACCAAGTACCGGAAAGGCGCCTGTGAGAATTGCGGCGCCATGACCCACAAGACGAAAGAGTGCCTAAGTCGTCCCCGGAAGCAAGGAGCTAAGTGGACTGGTAAAGATATTCAGGCGGATGAGGTTATACAAGATGTCAATATGGGATGGGATGCCAAAAGAGATCGGTGGAACGGCTACGACCCGAGCGAATATCAACAAGTGGTGGAAGAGTACGAAGAACTTGAGAAGTTAAAACGGCTCACTAAACAAGATGGCGAAAAGGGGGACAGCAATGGTGAAGCCGATGATGATGATGCGCCCGAAGAAGAAGCCCGCTACGCCGAGGAGTCCGACATGGGAAGACAACAGAGCACCGCCACCCGCAATCTCCGTATCCGAGAAGACACCGCGAAGTATTTGCTGAACCTGGACCTCGATTCGGCCAAGTATGACCCGAAGACACGACGGATGGTCGATATGGGCGCCCAGGATGATCAAGCAGCCGCACTTGTTGCTGAAGAGAACTTCGTTCGCGCTTCCGGCGATGCAGCCGAATTCGAGAAGGCGCAAAGATATGCCTGGGAGTCGCAAGAACGTGGCTTGCAGAAGATCCACCTGCAGGCAAATCCGACAGCTGGAGAGGTCATGCGCAAGAAGGAAGAGGCGGAGACTGTGGCGAAACGTGAAGCTCAACGGAAAGCTCTGCTGGAGAAGTATGGTGGCCAAGAACATCTCGACCCCACACCATTACGAGATACAATGGTTGTCGAAAACGAACGGTTCGTTGAATATGACGAAACGGGTGCGATCAAGGGCGCACCTAAGAAAGTGGCCAAGTCGAAGTACGCTGAAGATATCTTCAGCAACAACCACACATCTGTTTGGGGTAGCTGGTGGCACAACTTCGAGTGGGGGTATGCCTGCTGCTTCTCAACTGTCAAAAATAGTTACTGTACTGGTGAAGATGGAAAGCGCGCATTCCAAGAAGCAGATCAGCTGTTAATGCTTACTGATGCCGATGCCGATGCCGATGCCGATGCTGAAAGACTTTCCGCCGAACTCGAGGAAACCAACGACACGCACGACGACCCTCAAACTCCAGAGCAGCCTAAGGAAGCATCCGGCATCAATGCAAAGAAGAGGACATTGATGGAGGTGCAGTCCGGAATCTCCGAGGAAGAGATTGAATCATATAAGCGCAGCCGACTTGCAGCCGATGATCCTATGGCTGCTTTCATCGGCAAAGACGACCTTGTATAAAAGCCCTACGCCTAATTTTTGATATTACACCAGCTCTGCTGCATAAGCGCTTAGCACTTATGATAGATACCCATCCAAAATGTGCACACATCACATCAGCTTTGTAGCTATGATGCATTGAGCTTATCCACAATTCGCTCTATAGATAGATGCTCTGTATGGGTAGATTGTAGATAGCCTTACTGCTCCCGGGCCGTGTTGCGCTAGTCTTCTAATGGCTTAGTGCAATGGAGATGGAAGTGGGGTCCAACAACAGATCAAAGATGCAGTCATGTGACGTTCCGCCTTTCAGAGCCACAACGAATCACGGGACCAGGGCACAAGCCCTGGGAACCACAACTCGCTAAGCGACACCACCCCAGATCCCAGCGCAACTTCGATACGCCCAGCGACGACGACAACGACAACCAGCCCTTCAACGGAATCGCCAGGTACGTTAGTTACGCCCTCACGTGGGAGATTGCAGGATTTCTCCAGGCCCGGAATTTTTTGTTCGTGTTCGCTGACAAGTTGTGCTTCCCTATTCCAGTTCCTTAATTCAAGATGAGTACGTGCCAACACGATATACCACCGCCCAGTCCGATCCATCGTCGAGAACCTATAACAGACTGACACCGATTACAGCGAAGGGTACCTCCAGCTTTGGCAAGCGCCACAACAAAACCCACACTCTCTGCAGGCGTTGTGGTCAGTATTACACTACTCCGAGATGATCAACGGGCGGATTTTACGGATCTCTATAAACGGGATGGAGGGGGAACAATTAAGAAAACGCCGTTGGGGGGAAATATATGGGACGACCAGATGGGCTAACAGATTGCGCTTGGGATTCTTCAGGCAAACGCTCCTTCCACATCCAGAAGTCGACTTGTGCCAACTGCGGTTACCCTGCCGCTAAGACTCGCAAGTGTACGAATTCTCTCTCTCCCCCGACCCCACGTTGCTTGATCGACAACCTATCGAGCAACCGTTTGTCCCTTGACAATAATACTTGAGTGTTGAGGATATATTGGCTTACGAGTTTGGTTCTACAGTCAACTGGAGCGAGAAGGCCAAGCGCAGAAAGACCACCGGTACCGGCAGAATGCGCCACCTCAAGGAGGTCCACCGCCGCTTCCACAACGGCTTCCAGGTCGGCACCCCCAAGGGCGCCAAGGGCCCCGAGAGCGCCTAGATTAATTTCCGACTGTCGCGGTTTCGTTCGTTCTCGGAGGCTGGAGCAGGGCTGGTATGACAGGGCCGGGCATTTGACGACGTGAACGGGTCGCAATGCTAGGCGGAAAAAAAGACGCTTTTCCCCCGTGGAGTTGGTGTTGGGACGGTCTTTTTTTTCATCTTTGCCGTCATAGCATTTCTATTCTAGAGAAACAGAAAAATGGCATATATTGACGACAAATGAAAAGATGGAAATCTCTCTCGAGGGTTTTGTTTCAAAAAATGGGAAAGCATGCATGAAATTTCCTTGTCTTGTTTAGGGCTGGCGGATATCCCATGTCGTGACAGATGCAGTCTGAGATATTCATCCAATGTGATCTGTCTACTTGAATGCAACCCGACTTCCGAGGCGTACGACATTACTTCCACAGCAACCCGTGCTCTCTACAACTGCGACGATTCTTCTATTCACCTGGTCTATTGTCTTCACATGCGACTTAACGCCTGAACCTAACATGGATAGATGCGTCATAGCCCCATAGTATCTACTCTCCTCGACCAAAGACGCTAACGCCGCCGTCCCTTTGAACGAAGTATAAGACTTCCTTCTCTTCCCAACGGCTATCATTCTCCGTGTTGTTATTTTGCCCCCACGCACCTCCTTTGCTGACCCTCAGCACACCACTGACATCCCTTGCGGCACCCGTCTCTAGGTTCCGGAGCTGCATAACCATATGCGCCCGATGGCCCGACCCAATAGCAAAAGCAGCATGCTGGGTCTCTAGCGGAGTCGCCAACTGGTGCGCAGATGTGGACGCATTGTGTATCAACGGGGAATCAGCGGAAACGGTCAAAACTGTCGCGTGGGCATACTAGGTAAGGTAGTAGTATCATGGTCAGCAGAGTCCTTTCCCGGATTTAATAACACGAGTCACGATGGTTGTCGGCGGCCTGACACCCACCCCACCTGATCCGCGGGGGACTAGCAGCATACCTGTTGTAGCCCCATCACCCAATCTCCCATCTCCGTAGCGCCTACACCCTTGCCTGGACCCGTAGCAGCTAGTAGCAGATCTGGTTGGTCGAGGACCAGCAATATTTCGGGATCTTCCTGTCCGTCTCCGGCTGTCGATGTTCTCAGGCCATTGATCACGGCAGAAATGTCCTTTTCCAACGCGTCTAAGGCTGCAGTCCCATTTCCTGACAGGTGAAGTCGCCTAACTGGGCCAATTTCTCTCGATGCCGGCGGGTTCGGAGCGGCAGCCACTGGCCGATGTACGGGTTGCGGTCCTCGTGCGGGAACGGGACCCGGCTGCGACCTGAGGGGCAGTACTGTCCGAGGAGGCACGGCTCCGCGTAGTGAGGCTTGATGTGTAGGTGCCTGGGTAGAAGTAGTGGAAGGAACGGAAAATAGTTCAGAGAGTCCGTCGATGAATGCGAATTCGTGCTTGTCTGTGAGGCGGGCAAGATCGAGACCCTAGTCAGGTCAGGATTTAGTTGCCATTGATCTGAAGTGGAAAATCTAAAGCTCCAGGGCGTAAACACGAAGAGGTATGCCTTTGTAGAGCCTGAATAACTCGTACAGTGGCATATTATGCGACACGAAGAAGTTTCATAAACATACCAATCTCTTGGCCTCGGTCCTCCAAAATTCCCAGCCCCGCAGAAAACTCACGAGCACGACCTTCCTCTTTTTCCCATTATTGGTATCGCTGAGACTTAAGGTCGCATCCGATGCTGACACGCTCAGGGCGGCATAGAGGAATCTCAGGGCCAGCCAGTTTCCTGTTGCGCCGAGGACTGAAGATAGGACTGTCAGGGACGATGGCGGTAGAGACGATACGTAGGGCGCGAGGAGGGGAGGGAGGGGCGGTTGGCTGGGCATGGCGTTGAGGACGTCGAACCTGCCCGGATCGAGAGAACTTTGGGTGAAGTGGTCCAGAGGCCCTTTTCAGGGAGGAGCAGACGGATTCAAGAACGAGAACGTAGCGGTCAATTCCAGTCGGATTTTCTGCTTTTGCAAATGACGTTGTATAAAATTGAATTTCCTGTGGAGTTTGTGATTGGTCGGCGGGGGTGGTGCCAAGACTGAGCACCGACGAGAGCAGTCACTGAATCGATCAATATGGAAGGTACGTACAACTATGAGGGTGAGTCTCGCTGGTCGCTGTTGCTTCCATGGCAGTCCCCTTTTCCTTGCATCGCTCTTCATCGATCCGTCAAGTTCGCTGGCACTGCTTCTGCTGTGTTGCGTTATTTCTAGTCAAGCTTTGATCATGTCAAGCTGTAACAATATATTTTCCAGTACAGAGTACTCCCCCAGCGATAAGGTATGTTAACTGCCTCCCTCTGCATCTTGCTGATAACCCCGCTAAGGAGGTAGTACTAAGCTCTTTTGACGATCTTACTAGTAATTTTGCTCGTACTTACTATGTTTGCCTGTCAGATAGATTAAATCAGAGGCCCCTCACCGAAACCCCTCACAAGCAGGGAGCCCATGCAAGAGATAAAGATGAAATACAATGTCATCATCCGCACCAGCAGATAAGACTGATGGTAATCTTACATTCTCATGCCATCCACGCTACATTAGCTCACGTCACCTGTGTTGATCACTGAGGCATTTATGCGAACTGCCAGATACCTTGCTTTCTCCTCAGGTTATGGCATGTCGTATTATTATGATCTTATGATCCTGGTCTCAGAACAGGGGACCGATACTTTCCTGCCTAAGGATGCGATGCCGTTGATTCCTGAAATTCGAGGAGGAAATTTTCGGCCCGTCACCTGACTGCGCTTCCCCCACACGAGCCAAAAGTCCATCAGCAATCATCGTCGCTTTCGCTGGCCGAGCATCCGTCCAGGTCTCGCCCTCTTCTCGTCGGCTCATGGGTTTGGAGGGTTGGATCCGTCTCTGATAACTTATCGTCCGGCTCCAAAGGCGTTGGGCCCTCGACTGCTTCCGTGCCGATCGTGAGTTGGCCCCATCCATGTCTCTCGCTCCAAGCACGTTCCCAGGCACCTCGCTTTTTGTCCAATACCCCACCGGTCCTGGAAGCAGCTTAGAGCTACAGGCTTCTGAGACTTCCTGTACATTTATTGATCATCCGAAGCCGGACTCTATGGCCACCGGCATCCCCTCTTTTTATCATCTTCCGGCCTGTAGAAAATGGGTCTACAATGTATCCCATGTTCTTCATACTTCATCCGGCTTATCCTGCGGCGCAGAACAATACTTATCACTTGGAACACAAGTAGTTGACGGCTAACAAGCTCTCCGCAGATGATATTAGTTTCGTGTACATTTCAGCGCGCACGAGATCTAGGGTACATGAAACTTGATTTTCTGCGATAAACATGGCCAGTACTCGTGATTCCCACTCCTATGCTGTGAGTACCCGATGTAAAGGTGGAGACGCAACACATCAGGCTAAGTATGCACACGCAGTGTGATGAATGCCGTCTTCGGAAGTCCAAGGTAAGCTGCTCCCAGGCAGTCAACTTAGGCAATATGTAGCTAAACCTTGTCCCAGTGCTCAAAGGAGAAGCCGGTGTGCGCACAATGCAAGCAGCTCAATAAAGAATGCAACTACAGCCCGAAGGTTACCAGAAGCCCCCTGACGCGACAGTGAGTATCTCCATAGATTTTGACTTACGCGCCGTCGTTATCCCCCCCTTCCATGGCATGAATCACCTGCTAATACTTACTCAGGCATCTGACCTATGTGGAGGACCGCTTGCAGGCGTTTGAAACGGCCTTAGCAAGATTATTTCCGGGTGGCGATTTGGATGCTACCGTTCGCTCTCTTTTGCATGACCAGGAGGGACCAAAGCCTGGTTCCTCCAAGTCTTCATCTAGGCATTCAACCCCAGCAAAAGCTGAGCCAGATAGGGCTGAAGCGGCACCGGAGGCGCTGCCACAGCAGGCCGATGGATTTGACTGGGCCGAGAACAAGATTACAGTCGGCGACCTGACAGACGGCATGGCAGCTTTATCTATCAAGCCAGAAGGAACTGGGTATTTTGGTTAGTGTGATTGGCTGCCTCGGAAGAATATCTTTGAAGGTGCTAACTTCCTGACAAAGGCGCATCCTCAAGTGTTGTGCCGCTTCGAGCGTTACTAAAGCATGGGTTTGACCTCAATATTCCTGCTCGATCGTCAAAGTCGAGTTATGGGGTGGAGAGAGTACCGTTGAAGGCCCAGCTGCTCAGCACTGCGCCCTCCGGTCTCATTGAGCAAGCTTTCATGGATGCGTTCTTCCTGAACTATCATACCAGCTACCCTTTTATCCACGAGGGAACATTTCGGGCGCAATTCCACGAGCAAGTTCCACGACCACACGGTCAGGCATGGCAGATTCTATTGAACACCATCTTGGCTCTGGGCGCATGGAGTATCGGCGATGACAACTCAGACCTGGATATTACTTTTTACCAAGAAGCGAGAAGCCATTTGCAGCAGGTGTCCGTGTTCGAGACTGGAAACCTTACTCTTATTCAGGCATTGCTACTTCTGAGCAACTATGCGCAGAAACGAAACAAACCGAATACCGGCTGGAATTTTCTTGGCCTAGCGGTTAGGATGGCCATGAGCCTAGGTCTTCATAAGGAGTTCCCTGGTTGGAAGATAAGCCTTCTCCAGCGTGAGGTTAGGAGACGTTTGTGGTGGGGTGTCTATATATTCGATAGTGGTGCGGCCAAGACTTTCGGCCGGCCTATTCTCTTGCCCGAAGACAGTGTCATGGATGCGAAGCATGTTCTCAATATCCACGACGAGGTGAGTCCCGGACTTCATACATTCAGAAATTCCTACCCTGGTGTATGGTAATTGATTCCTATCGCAGGCTCTGACGTCCATCACAACTACTCTGCCCCTCGAAGTTAACGAGCCAACTCTCTATTCAGGATTAATCGCACAGGCCAGGTTTCATCTGCTCACCAACAGTGTCTACCAACGTCTCATCTCGGGCCCGAGTTTGACACCCGAAGAAACACTAGGCCTCCAAAAGCCAATGGAGGAATGGTACAATGGCCTTCCCGATTACTTCAAGCAGCCTCCTACACCGGTGTCGGACGCTTTTGCTCTTGTCCGCAATCGCCTGATGTGGCGCGACTGGAACCTGCGAATTCTTCTATATCGCCCCATTCTTCTTCGCTGGGCCTCGCGCCGATGGACACCAAACTCGGCTCCCGAACCCGAGGATCCTCTTGAAGCAGATTGTAGAAAGCTTTGTCTTCGAAATGCCCGATTGACACTTTCGTCAATCGCGGATTTTGTGAACAACCACGTCTGCACAAGAATAGGTGCATGGTACATGCTGTATGTTTGTCTCAGGACCGCGTTCGTCCGTGCCACTAATTTTTTTCATAGTTATTTCCTGTTTCAGGCCGGTGTAATTCCGATCATCTTGCTTATGACCGACCCAACAAGTACAGAGGCCCCCAGCTGGCTTCAGGAGATTGAAGCCACCAAGAAGCTCCTCGTACATCCATCCCTTAGCAACAACCGTCTTGCGACTCGTTGTCTGGAAGTTGTTAACCGACTCTGCTCGCCTGCATACACAAGCGCCGCTACCGACAGAGCTGCGGGACCGCCCATCTTGATGCCATTTGCCGATCAGCTTTTCAACGACCCGGCATTTGGTAGCTTGTTTCCAGATGTAGACCAGGAGCTGAACCTTAGTGGCATGGATTTCTCCGACTGGGTCAATTTTGCACCGCAAAACGATTTTGTTTGATCATCTGGGATTATCAGGCGGTGATCATCTCGGGTCCCACACGCGAATGGAGCGAAGCGCACAAAGTAGAGATGGGCATCTCAGCCTAAGTCAATTGTCTCGAAGGATCTGCCTTATATACGCCGATGCTAGATGGGGCTCCCCGTCAGATTCAACAGCGACAACTTGCAAGAGATCGATATCAGTCATGGACCCTCAAGCAATATTCTCTTCCTCCTGTGCGAAAGGCTTCAGGAAATCCGGATCGACGATATGACCATCCGTGCCGCGGAGCTGGGCCTCAATCTGAACAATACGCTGTTTCTCCTCATGGGCAGCCGTGTCTCCAAAGATGAGATCCATATCTTCCAAAGTCTAAATAGCAAGGAAGTCGTGTTAGCGAGATATACATGGAATGCACAAGGGAAAACCGAACAAACCTTTCCACGGGTCTCTGGAATAAAGAAGAAAGTGAATGCAAATGCCAGGAGACAGAATGCTGCGAAAAAGATATAGGTACCCCAGGTGATGGAATCGAGCATATCCGGGGTCACGAGACCGATGATACTAGGTGGAAATGTCGACAATGAGTCACGATTATCATGGGAGAATATCAAGGAACGAAACCTACAAGTTGCACATCCAAGTAGCGGAAGTTGTGATTGACATGGCTTTGGAACGTATGGAGAGATTGAAGATCTCCGATGGCAGGACCCATCCAATTGGAGCTATATTTGCATCAGCAGGATACGCTTTTCATCTGAAGCAGGGGAACGAACCAAAAGAGTACGAAAAGTTGATATCGTAGATGTATATGAATGCGATTCCGGCCCATCCGGCAGATCTATGGTGGATCAGATTCGAACCATAGGCCCCGATAATGCCGCCTACGATGACCAGCGAAACACAAGTCCCGGCGGCACCGGACATGAGTAAGGCTCTTCGACCAATCTTGTCGATCAGAAAGAGGGCTGGGAGCGTGCTAAGACAGTTAACAATCCCATAGACGCCAGTAGCGAGAAGTGAAGTCTATCCGATCGAGTCAGTCACGAGCTCAAAATCACGAAACACATGAAGCCGTACAGTATTCCCATCAAGTCCAAGCTGCGAGAATATTGTCGGAGCGTAGTAGATCAGCGCTACGTCTGTTAGTAGTTTTCCAGTTCATCGTATGTCACACGGAATCAAAGACTCACCATTACAGCCCATAAACTGCTGGAAGAACATGATGCAGCATCCGATCGCTAGACGCTTAAAACGTGCCCATGTAGTGACGAGTGAGATATACTGGTACATGTGAGTAGGGGTTCAGGCTATGTTAATATGGATGAACGGGAATACAGGATATGGAAGAAACAGACCTGAGCAGCATGCAAACGAACACCAGACAGATTAGGGAATCGTTCCTTCGCAAAGCTATTCTCTAACATGATGGATGCTTTAATATCGAGATACTCGCTGATCAACGCGGAATTAGTTCTATTCTGTCGACGTAGTTTGCAAAGTGCCTGTAGAGCTTCGTCGTCTCGTTCTTTCATCAAGAGCCAGCGGGGCGAATCGGGAAAGAAGAGCATGCCTAGACCAAGTATTAGGGCTGGGATGATCTGAATGGCTAGTGTTAGTCGCCACGAGGCCTCGGACTGGCCAGTGCACCCGCCAGAAGGGACGTCGGTGTAGGGATCGAATGCTGGGGAGGACGCTGTGCCGCCGCTGTAGGGGATGCTGGGGGCGCAGCGTGTGCCTCCAATGTAGTTGGTGCCGTAGTCAATCCAGTAGCTGACTAGGATGCCGATGGTGATGGAGACTTTATGTGGATGGGTTAGTGGGTGTGGTTGTGGGATTCTATGGGATGGAGTGCTCACGTTGCTGGAGAACAACGAGACCACCGCGTATCTCAGAGATCGAGACCTGTCGGGTTGATGGTGAGTTCAATCTATTATTGGCTTTGTTTGTGAAAGACACACACCTCGGAGATATATAGGGGCACAACCATGGTCAATTGGCCAATGGCTATGCCTGCCACTGCACGTCCTGTCGACAAGTATAAGAATTAGTCTGGCATGCGCACGGGGCAAGATGAGGACCGCACCTGCAAAAAGCATTGGAGTATCGACGGCACCACATTGGATGGCTGATCCTATGACGAATATAATGACAGCGACGTGAATGGATAACTTGCGACCCAGTCTGTCCACGACAGGGCCATTGACGATAGAGCCGAACCAAGCAGCTACAGAGTCAGTCCATGTTCTTGTCCAGAAGGTATACAATGGTTGACATACCTATCAGCAGGGTAGACACGAACCATCCTTTGAAGCTGCTGTCCGAAAACACTCGAGGAAATCGGGACCCGAATGATTGCATTGTGATCACACCAGAAACCACACCCTGATCATAGCCGAACAGCAAGCCACCTAATGTGGAGAACTAGAAGTCGGATTAGATCATTTCCTGTTCTTTAATGCTCATAGGGACTCACCGATGCGACACCCAAAAGGTAAGGATTCTGGTATATCATGGCGAACCCGCCGTGGGACTGATCATGGGTGGAATCCATAGCTGTATATGCCTTCAGAGTATGTCTTTGAAGTACGAGACGGATTGACCCTTGGCCTAGGACAGCGGCTCCTTATATGCAATTCTCGTCTCCGACATCCTTGTGAATAGCATCTCCTGTGTAACCACTGTCAATGAGCTGCGACTCTAGGGGAGCATAATAATACTAGCCGGAGGGGAGTACTCCGTCCAATGGGCACAAACTCGTCATCTCATGATAAACACCCTTTAGCTCTGTCATGCTATTCCCCGCGAACAGCATCTTCTGTGACCGTCGTCGGAGAGGTGACGCTTCAAAGGAGCATGGAGGTAGACGGAGGGGTGTGCTCCGTCCAATGGGCGTCAGACAAGAACAGGGTAATACGACGAAGGTCGATGCGGGGAAGTGAATGGGTCGTGCCGGACTGGGGTCGAGGGAGCGGAGTTGCTCCGTAGACCCGAGCCATGACTGCAGTGGTGAAAAAGAAGTCCGGCCGGGAAGGAGACAATAATGGCGGGGATCAGATGACCCTCGGCCATCATGTGACGGTCACTTTCTGGTTTCAACTTGTTTCTCGTCACAACTTACAAGAGCACCGATCAATAGCGGTCGTATGGGACTGAGGATCTGAGAACAGACACAGAACAGGAGTTGGTGGATCTACCTGATAAGCACTTCAGAGCAAAAGAGACTTGCAACTCACTACTGACGCCAATGCGCCTTCAGTTTCACTAGATCCCCAGACATCCCAGGCTCCTCGAGGACCCCAGGCACGATGGGCCAGACTTGCTCGCATAAGTACTCTCTGGAGTGGAATCGTCTGGTTAGGAAGAATAAGGCCAGTGATGGCAGTGATTGATGGTGGGGCAATTATTTCTCAAATGATAAGGAAATCCAATTGTTTGGTCATTGCATGCGGCCTGTTTGATGATGATGCAACAATCGCAGAAAAAATGCTTATCTGCCAATTGCTTGATCAGCCACCATGCAAGGGATCCCTGCGGAGAAAGTGCCCAGCCTTAGACATCAGATGTAGGTCCTGTCATCGTTAGTGTCAGGGCCGGTTAATCCCGACTGATTCACCAAGACACTTTTCGGTTGCGTGTAACGAACTTTGCAACCCGGCCAGGCCACGCTTCGTGAGGCCGCCGCAACTCATGTAGGTCATCTGGCAGTCCAATTTAAAAGGCGGAGAAGCGGTCTGATCCTAAGTCTTACAATTTGCAACTAAGGCTGAAGGTACCCACGCCCACCCCAATGCGACGCACAGCACAGACGCTAAATAACAGACAGGCGATTGGAGCGATTAGAAATACGAGCAAAGAAGCCACAACTTCGCCAATGCCATACTAGTAAGAACACACGCTTCTTCGCCAAGTCACACGCTAGGACAAGAGCCTCCGTCCATATTTCCCGAAACCAGACTTGCATATTCAATTGAAAGAGCGTAACGCACATCCAGGCATTAAAGATCGTGAGGGGATCCAAATTGAAACTACTGCTCACATGGCCAGACGCAATGACCGTTCATCTGCGAGAATCGCTGGGCTCCCAGTGGATGGGTTCAAAGTCCTGATTCTGGAAATGGGCTTGGTTGTATGGGGAGCTAATGCAAAAATTAGAATTTCATCTTCGACAAGGGTAAAAGACAGCCATGCGGGCTGACATATAGATGCTTACTTTTTGAATGGCGTCGTGACTGGAAGAGAGTGACTAAGATTCGGTTTCATCACCAGCGGATTCAACCGGATTTGCGGCCCATCAGAAGACCGAGGTGGTAGTGAGCTCATGGGGGGCGGTGGCGCCGACATTCGTAGCGGCGGCGGCGGTGGCGATGCGATAGACATTGGAGGTGGTGACGCGTGCATGGGTGGTTGGTACACTTCCAGAGGGGGCGATACTCGATACGGACTAGGAGGAGCCGCCGGCATCGGAGAAGGGGCCATGCCAAAACAAGGGTCCATCATCAGATTGGGAATCGTCATCAAATTTGAGCTCACATCAAACGCGAGGGATCCTTGATCCCAGGGGGCGTAGTCAGAAGTCATCGCGTATTGGTAATTAACCACGGGTTCCATATTCACAGTAGGTTCGGCTGGGTAGAGAAGATCATAGTGGCCCCTAAGTAAATGTTAGCGTAGCCCATGACGCCTGGTCAGGTCTTGACATCGGAAATGAGACTCACGGGCGATAGAGTAGGCAGATCGTCCCAGCAACTGGCCGTGCCGGGGTTAGGAGGTGAGGAGTGACCACTTCACCTTCGCTGCGGTCGAGATACATGATCTCCACGGCAAATCCAGAATCTTCAATCACACCATCAACCAACGCTTGGAGTCCGACTTCGTCGATCTCCGTTCTGACGGTGTCTATTCGTGCCGCACAATATTGATCTAGAGGCATGGAGAGAAACGCTTGGTATCGATGCGGATTAAGTTTCATCCACGCACTCGTCAGCAGCTGCAGAACATTGTGGGTTAATGTCAGCCGCAAAACCTCAAACGCACAGACGATGGACGAAAAGAACAGCAAATGACAACACAAACAGCGATTCAAGGGTTACTGACTCTGAAATGAGTGAGGATAGCATTTGCGTTGTATTCGTTGTTGAATGCGTTGACAAGAAATGAGTCATCCCGTATGCCACTCTGGATGGCCGCAGATATCTGGTTGAAGACTTCCTCTGTTGCGTCCACGAATATCTCGTACAGGTGTTCTTGTTGGCCTGTTTGGTCGAGAAGTACGCTCAGTGACTTTATCCGGGTCAATTCACGGTGTACTTGTAGCAGGTTTTGAAAGTTGAAAAGATTCTCGAAGTACCCGAATGCAACCGCTGCACGATGTCAGCAAACACCCATCGCTAGAGATACACGAATGGTTACCTCTCCAACCACAATTCCCATCTCCTTTCATGGTTCGTGTCAGAGGGTGTGTTATAGCAAGTGCCTGTTGGGAGTATCGTCAGCCTCCTCGGCTTCTTTCGCGATGATATGAAGGCTACCAAGGAGGGAAAGGATGTGAGGGAGCATACACTGGTCTTGGTGGCAAATGTTGGATCCGCATTTGCATACTCCATAGCGATTGCACTACTGGGTTGCTTTGTCGATACCGCGGGACCCTTGAAGGACACTTGTGAGCTGGGGTATCCAAGTATGCATGGTGGAAAATCTCACCTGGACCTCGGCCTGAAACTCATTGGAGAGTTTCTGGAACCTCTCCATCTCCGCGGTCGATAGAGTGTTCATATTGAAGAGAATGGTATTGCTTGGATGATAGAGAGTGTTGGAGAGGTGAGCAAATCCGTGGCCGAAGAAGGCGGACGAGTGAGGATGCTGAGGATAGAAGCCGGAAGTTGGATCCTGTCCAGTGGGGAAGTAGTTGATAGGATCGAAATGATTCCAGGGAATATCCGTCAGGGACATCGCATAGAAAGGCGGACCGGGATGAGGCTTTAGGAGGAATAGCTTGAGGATTCAGAAGTAGCCGGATGCCTTGTCCTTAGCAGGTAAACAGGAAGTCAATGTCAAGTCCCTTCATTCACTTAGCAGGGAACATGGCCAAAGCGCGTGATACACACAAGACAAACAAGCATCGCTTGGAGCAATGTTCTTGCCTGACACCGCAGTGACCAGCCGAGTGGGTTTTCTCACTGATGTAACCGACCTACTATGGGATGTGCTTAGCATATCTCATCAAGCTGCAACCATGAAGATGCAAGATGGCTGTTCTGGAGATCCAGCCGGGTAGAGACAGAATCGACCAATGGTGAACAAAGAAGCAACGAATCCACCGGATATCTGGGGAGGTGCTAGCAGGAGCGATCGAAGTCGGTGGCGAGCCGCTAAACCACAACCATGGAATACGGGATTGGCATTGTGAAAGAAGAGCAGATGACCTCCAAGACCGAGGTAGAAGGAGAGACGGAAGGCCAAGAAGAGAAGGGAGGGGGCGGACAGCAGATGGGGCAAGTAAAGTTGCAGACGGCTGAGCAGGCAGACGGAGAGTACGCAATCATGCACTTGGCTCGAGGGACGAGGAGACGTCGTAGCAATAGGAAAGCATATGGCATTGTTGGGCGCAGTGCCAGGCCACAGCTTCCTCATTCAATCAACCCTCCGTTACAAGACAAACGCCAGATGGGTGATGGTGGAAAAGGATTCCACATGGTTGACATTGCCCGCACTCACATGCCTCACATCTGAGATGCACTGGAGGTAACCAATGTTACCTCATAGTTGAATTTTGTGCAAGTGCTTGCTTTGCAAGGTACCCGGGCCCGTCGCCGGATTAGGTAAGGGGATTGGATTATAGTTGGAGAGGACCAGAGACCGCAACGACAACTTAGACAAAAAAAAGCACGAAAGGAGAGAAGGGGAAAGATAAAAGGAGGGGAAGGAAACAGAGGGAGGACAAAATACAGGGCGGGATGCAATGGTATAATAATAACAGCAAGTCAAGGTGATGTCAAAACCCAATGAAAGAAACGTGTGGTTGGACCTACTGGAGTCTGCAACAAAGCTCTCTCTACGGCCGAGGTGCATACGTGCCGGTCACACGGGCCGTGGCATCAAGACTGAGATGCGTCGGGAGAAATGGAAGGCCAAACAGATGCAGTGGTGTATACTAAGGCCCGAAGTGGCAATAGGAAGATAAACTCGTTTCAGAGTTGGGTTGAGTAGGTAGATCCAGTAAAATAAGTTCGATTTCGGGGGTGGGTGGGAGGGGGGGTGGGAAGTGTGAGTGGGAGGGGAAGGAAAGGCAGAACGATGGGATATGGATGGTCAGGGCGACCGGCTAATCACTTGACGGGAAGACGGACGGAGGAAGGATGAAATAGATAAGGTGGTAGGTACGGAGTAGATAAAGTAAAGTGTTAGGGAGGGAAAGCAGACCGAGCAGGGATGATGGGGTACCTAGTCAAAAGATACTGGACAGGTCAGGTCAAGTCAAGTCAAGGCAAATCCGTCAGATCTCGGAGGTGGCCCTGGGTTTAATAAGGGAAATTGAGTGGCAGCAAATGGAGACCGGATGGTTGCGTTCGTGGAGAGGAGAAAGGAGAGAGCGCGAGTGGATTGAAAGTCTACTGTGTCGACCTTCAAGGCCGGGCGCGGGGTTTCCGACGGGGTCGTTCTTTGCTGCCACTAGGCTAGACTACTAACTAACTTACTACAAGGTAGGTACCAGTCGGTCTGCTGTCGCGACTCGCTAGCGGATGGATGCGTGCTGGGTTCCGCCAGGATGGACGGTCCTCAATAGTCACAAAATAATTTCCAGGGTAATTTCCCTCTTCTGTCTTTTTTTTTCTCTCTTACACTCCCCACCACTCCCATCATCACCGCTACCCCCACCACCACCATAAACTCCCAGACAAGCCAGGATGCGGGCAATCTACGCATCCAGACCATCTATGGCGGTGGAACTCCTGACGCCCAGGACACCGATGGGTGGAATTGGAATCCTGGAATGCATTGGGAGAAAAGCTCCCGGAAGAATAATCATGACGTTGAAGAAGACCGCCATGATGGGTTGATATCAAGACTAGTAGCCGCCACAACGGGCTTTGCAGGGCCCGAAAGACGCAAGACATGGATGGTCAATCCTCTCAGTACATATCAATGGCCGGGTGTAAGTTCAGGGCGGTGTTTTTTTTTACTCATCCATATATTATCATTATCATTATTATTAATGTTGTTTTTTTTTGTTTTTTTGGTAACTGGCCTGTGCAGGGAATCATCAACGTCTAGTAGTCCGGACTAGCAAGGCCAACTAGACACGGGGCCAGGGTATCCAAACAATATTATTTACTGACGACCAAGGATAATAATTAATGGGATGATCTGTGTGGTGGGCGGCAGGTAGGGTAAAACAAACTCAGCATCGCTTGACTTACACCAGCAGGTTGAAAGTGCAGCTGGAGCGGAAGAGCCGGTTGGACGGGGACCCAATGGGGGCGATCTTCGCCCGTCGGCCATCCCCATCCAGTGCAACACTGAACACTCACTGGCAGTGATGCGGTGGTAGGGTGGTGGTGGTGCTCCTGATTCATGTACACAGTAGTCGGTGGGAGCGGATTGGGTCCAATCCATCCATCCATCCACTTAGTATTTATCTACCCGTCGTCGTCTCGCGATCCAGCTGGCTAAACCCACTGCTGAAGAAGTCGGTTTACCCACTCATCGACTTTCCTCCGTACATCTACGGAGTACATCGTGTACTATCTACGGGATGATCCTCAGGAGCGTAAAAATAGAAAAAAACAAGAGCGACACCACCTTCATGAAACAGCAGCAAATTAACAGCGCTGATTGATAATGACAATGACACCTCGCCATCATTATGACTACTACTTAAGGGGTATTAGCATGATTACTATTGACTGAAGCATATCACGAGGCAAATGCCGAAAGCATCGTGATTGGACCAGGGCATTCCAACCCACGGGATCAGTCCGGGTGCTCAGATCGCAACCCTCGTCGTGTCGGAGACGGGATTAACAACCAGAAGGGGTCCAGAAGATGTGCTGGGGGGTCGGTCGTATTACTACTACCTCCAGGAGGGTTGTTGAGGATGATCAAGAGCCACGGTGAGCAGGACGGCGGCCGAGACATGCCCGCGGCCAGCAAACGGCCACTTCCATCTGCTGCTGGGAGAACGAACGCCCGATCTCGATGCAACGGATGACCCCTACCTGCGCCTCTTGATCCTCCATGCACTGGAGAACGGCCACATGTCCTGGCAGGACCGCCGACCAACCCGCTTGACTGGCGGAAGAGCTGCAGCAGCGCAGCTAGAGAAGACATCGTGGTGCTGGATTCGAGATTGACTCCTGCTATCAAGAGCTAGTCACTCGGGCGAGTGGGAGCCGGTCCAAACCAGCCCGCGTTAGTGCTTGCAGCTGCATTTACGGCCGACGAACTTGCCCTTGTCTCCACGCACGCGCCCTGCCCGATCCCACGACACCCACGACGGGGATGATGAAAGGGACAAGTCATGCCCGGGAGCTGCTCGAGTTTATTTTATTTCTAATTTATTGTCCATCCGCGTACTGCTACCAGCCGTCTTGCATGCAGAAGCGACTCACAGTGCGGAGTCGGAACCTGCGACACAACACGGGATTCCGCCGGTGCCTCACTGCCTCCAGTGCGCGCGCTCTCTGCCTTCTTCTGTTGCACGCTTTCGAAGGATCCGGTTGAGACATTATTCTGATGATGCTAAATGGAGGGTCGGAGGGGTTGACAATTTGACGGATTTTGATTTTCACCCTCCCCAAATCGCTGCTTACCTCCGACTCAACATGCACAACATGTATGTAAGTAAGCCCATACTGACTTTAGTAGTGACTGACCTACTTCACCGTTCACACGGTCCATCTCAGTACTGTCAACACTCAGCACTCGGCACTCAGCACGTACCGCCGCGCGGATTGTAGGGCCTCCCAACCACCACCACCACCACCACACCCGCACTCGAAGAAGCAACGTGCAACTATCGAGGTTGACTGCCTGGTATGGCCCTGGCATGGGATCAGACCACCGTAAGATGATGGTAAGACCTCTGGTCCCATCCTGCCGGTGTGACCAGCCATCCAGTCAGCCCTCCGGGTTGTGACCGTGGCCATGGACAAGGATCGTAATCGACCGTCTCCTACCGCATGGGGATGTTCCAAACTGCATCAAATGGCCCGAGATGGCAGGCCACCAATAACTCTCACTCCAGGAAGATTCTCGATCCAACTAAGAGGGGGCTTGCATATGCTACCTCGGAAGCCGCTCCGAGCCCATCCATCGTCCGTCCGCAATCAGGATCCCTGATCGCTTGCTTGCTTACTTTCTAGTTTCTCCCCTCTACAAAGGACGCAGCGCACCCTCCTCCCTGGCCGGGGATACATGGTACATGGTACATATCCTAGCGATGGGTGCGCTTTGTCAGGTGCCTCCCTGCCGATAGAGTACGGGGTTCCCTTGTATCCACTCGGCGAAGCTGGTTGCCTCGTCCGCTGGGCGTACTTTGTCGCGCCCTCGACCATCCACCGTCGACAGTTGACAGATCACGGAGCACAGAGTACCTGAATCTCACCTTTTTCTTTGTTTCATTTCATTGCTTTTTTTTCCCGCCACTCATGCAGGATGATATGCTTCCGATTCGTCTGAGCATCCGTCATCAGTTACCGAGAACTTGTGATGGAGGCATGCACTTGCATTGCGCAACGGACAGTGTAGCCAAGAAGAAAAAAAAAATAGAGAAAGAAATGATTAGGCGTGGAAACGGTGGAGGTGGAGACGGCCGCATCGCAGGGAAGCTCGCTTTTTTCTATACAAAGCAACCCGGTTGTCTCAACTGTCACTGCAGTCTTCTGCAGCGATTTTCACATCCGCGACATCGGCGTATTTTCGGTTCATTTTGAGAACCAAACATACACACCGGTAACTGACACTTCTGACAGTTACCTTAGAGGCACATCGAGTGCAGAGGGAACCCTGCAACTAAATCATAGGGACAAAATTGCGCACACCCACTTCGGGCAACAGGTAAGCAATCTCCGTAGTTCCAGCAAGAGATAGACAGCTATCTAGTTGCTATCTCCTCCGTAGCTAACCTAACTAACCTAAAGCCCGGCAGGGTGCTCCGTAAACTTCCTCCCACAAATGAAGCAAGCAAACATTCCCTCCTCCTCCTCCTCCTCCTCCTCCTCCTCCTCCTCAACCCAACTACCGTACTGATCGGCATTCACCTCCCCGCGCCAATCCCATCCCGATCGATAGATAAACCAGAAATCCTCCAGCAAGTAGTACCCTTGTGCAACCTAACAATCAAGTATTATACCCTATTGTTCCCACCTTTTTCCCATTCATCCAGCCTCAACCCTTGTACCTCCACAGTCCACACAAGTAGGGACTTCCTTGCCTCTGAGAACTGATTGGGTACCTATCGCCCCCAGTTTCACCTTATGTTAGGTACCTACCTCTGCCTCACTTTAGAGTGTTCTTTTAGGTACCTGAGTCCCAAGTACCTACCCAACAACCAACAACATCCCGGCGGAAGGATCCGAAAGTACCACCACTTCCTTATTATGGTATTTCCACCTTACGATGTACTTCTACCAGCTGTGCAAACATAATCTACTGGTAGATAGAAGTCTGGATGTAAGTAAGTATGTGTGGACTATTCCGCACTCCGTAGTTGATTGCTTCTCTATACATAGTACATACATACATACATATATACATACACCCATCGATAGATATCGGGTTTCCTCGGCTGACGGCTTGTTTCCTCCTTTAGGAAGGATATGGGGTACATACTCACACACATCTCACACATACATGCTTCCTACCTACCTACTAGTAGTACATAGCTTGCGAATACCTACTCAAACCTGGATAAGCACCTGCCTGCCTGCCTGCCTGGTCACACACACATGCTTCTGTCTGCGCTGCGCTGTGCGGTGCCGTGCTGTGATGTACTCTACTCCTGCAGCCGTAGAGTACCTACCTAGTACCTGCCTGTCTGCCCTCCTACGCCATCTGTACCTCCATCCCCGGTATTCAGTACTACTCTCACCTGTTGCGATTGACATTCGACCTAGTAGGCGTACCACCTCCTCCTCTCCCTTTATACCTACTACAGCCTCCTACTTCCAACATATGCACACTTCCATCATCGCAAATCAAACCAATCCATCCATCCACCAAAGCATGTAACCCCCTCCCCCTCTTTACAAAGTAACTATTCATCTAGTGGTTTACTACAGGTGTACGGAGTATACGGGGTACACAAACAAACAACCCACCCCTGCAAAACCCACCACCAGCACTACGCCCCGAAAAAACAAAGTTTAGATAGTCTCCCCTCCCATCAAACAAGAAATTCCCGGATTCCAAGATTCCCAGTAAGCCACAAGACACTATACAGCACATACATGGGTTGCGTCTCTGAGACACACAGGAAGTAAGTACATAATCCGTGAGGCGTCAAACATGCATAAGGACGGAGTTACGGAGTAGGTACAAGGGAGAGAGAGGGGGGAGGGGGCGAGGAAAAAAGAAAAGAAAGGGAAGGATGAAAGTGACAGACAAGACCTAGACTGGTCTATTGTGGTTTGGTACTTTTTTTACAAACTTCACCCACATGGCTTAGCCCGGGTTTGACCTGTCACGAAAGTGCCGGGGGAGGTGATCCATCATCCCGCCCGTTGTCTTAGCTGGGCCTGGACTATTGGGATGTATGTACTGGCAGGGAGGGGTGGGCATGGATATGGCAAGGGTGTTGGTGGACTGTTGTAGTGTGTGCTGTGTACCCGAGGAAAAAAGTACGTTGTGTGCCTGGGTCTGGGTGTTCTTGGGAGTGGTGGCTTTGGGAACGGAGGAGGTCCCCCTGGCGCTTCTTAGTCTGGGTGGCTTACGGATGAGTCTGGGTAGGTCGTTTGCCCGTGCGCATTGGCCTTCCATGATCTCATTGTTTTCCCCTGCGGTAGGCTGTTGTGTGTATGTCGTGATTTCATTCCTTCCTATGTAGTATGTACAGACTTGACTCTGTACTCCATACCCTTGTTCTCTATCGGGATATGACGCAGCGAGGGTGGATGGACAGATGGAACAATGCATTCCCACTAGACGCCCCCCAGCCCGGCCTTTGTTCCAGGCCCGCCGCCGCTTCTGCCTTTGTATCCACCCCGCAGCCGGCGACCGCCAGCCCGTAAACTTGCAGGCGCTTCGTCTCCAAACCCGGGTTGGAACATGGGCCCTCCTCCCCTCATGCCGTGGAGCTGCGTGGGATCTTCCCTGAATCCATCCCCGTCGTTCAAGGTCGCTTGCCAAAGAGACCGCAGCGATGCGTTCCACTCCTGGAGAGACTGTAGGCGGTCCACGTCGCTAGCGCTCTCGATCTCCACAATCCCGTTTTCTTGGTCGATCTTGGCATTGAGCTTCTTGTCCAGGATCAGGAAGCTCAGAATGTCTTGGACCTCGGGTACAGAGACCCGGATGTGTTTCGAAATGAACTTCAGCGTGAATCGCGTGTATGGGGCAATCAGTTTGAGAACGGCCTTCGTCCGCATGTTCCGGCTGACCTCGTCAATGTTCTCGGCGATGAACGGATCTGCCAGGACGTCCGGGTTTTTGCTCAGGATGGCTTCGTATGCATGAATATCGTCCCGCTGGAACGCATCGACTAGATCGGTCATAGCGGAGATGCGGGGGTCATTCTTGTAAGGCTTGGTCTCTTGGGAATAGAATGGGTTGATATCCGATTTCATCAGCATGGTCGTCAACACAAGATACTTGAGCACCTGAATCCGTTGTATTGAACCCGCCTCGTCGTAGTTGCGGAATGACTCGAAGAAGTCGCTCTGTGCTTCCTCCCAGTTCTCTTCACTCATGTGCATTTTCCCTCCGCATTCTCGAATGATTCCCATGATCTTGGGGTGCGGCACCGCCGACCGGACGCGAAGGGCACGCTGGTAGAGCGCTTTGAGTCGCTTGTTGTTCTTCGTCTCGGCGTACATCTGGATCTCCAAGGCGTATAGTTCGAGGAGGTATGTTCCTTTGCTCGGGTCGTCTGTTCCATCGTCCCGTTGACATGCCCGATGCAACTCCCGCACCTTCTTGCTCAGCTGGCCGTACTCTTTCCGTTCCAGCCAAAGACGCGCCAGCTTGATGTTGGTTTTCAACCACAGTCGCTCATTGTTGGTGTTTTGGAACGAGCGCAGGGTCAGAGAGTAGAATTCCTCCATGCACTGGTAAGCTGTGTCGTCGTCCGATCCCTTTTCGATGTAATCCAGCATGTTGTTGATGGACTTCTCTGAGTAATTTCGCGTGACAGCCGATTTGACATAGGTAAGGAGCTCCCTATAGTGTTCGACGGCCTGAAGGGTCAGGACCTTATCAGTGAACCAAAGGAGCGAGAAGAGGTGGCTTACATCGCTGTATTTTCCAAGCTTGAACTCCAACTTGATGGCTTGCTTAAGTCCCTTAAACCCCCTTGACTACCATCAGCATCGTGGCGAGCCATCACTGAGGTCCACGGCCTCTTACCAGTCGCCTTTGTCTTGTTCTAGATCTGGGACACCCAAAAACTCCTCGATGGCCTCCTCGGGGTTGTCTATCTTCATCTGTTTGGCATTATAGTATTTGTTCTCGATCCCGACGTCTCCCGATTCATCGTCGTCCGCGTCTTCGTATTCGAAGTCGTACCTGCAATAGTCCAGCTGGTTAGCGGCGGCGAGCACCGGATGGCTGGATGGGTGGCTCAGGCTTACTCCTCGTCACCCGAATCTTGCATGAAATCATCATCGTCAGACATTATGAAAGGTAAAAATGGGACCTCGCTGAGTGTTGGGTATCTAGGGGAATCTAAAAGAGGCAAAGGAGCGTGCACGGCGGGCTAGAAGGGGGATGGAGATAAGTGGTGATAGGCGATGAGATGATGGACGTGAGGGAGGAATGGAGAGCTTCCGCGCCTATCGGAGCCTGGGGCCAAAGTTTCGGTTCCCCGCCTTAGCTTCCAGGTTGCTTGGGTCGTCCACGCCGGGGGCCGACCGAGCCCGACTCTATTCCTCGAGGTTAAGCACAACAAAACATGGACTTGCTGACATTCAAGAATAGTAGTCTGTTATGACATGGATATTGTCCTATGGCCCAACCATCTGATCTGCTACTACTGCGCTGAAACATCCATCACGGAAAAGTTTTCATCACTACCTACGAACTGGCAGTTCCCTCCTATATATATTTCTCGAGGTTCAAGCCCACTCAACCTATTCTTAGTTGAGTATGAACATGAAACAGGCCGTTGATAATGTCGCCTCAAGATCACCGATTAGACCTGCATGCAATGGTTCTAAAAATATATCGACACAAGCAACCGGCGGCTGTTAAGGCCTGAGCAGGCCTGAGCAGGCATACTACATCAATCTCCACAACATGACTAACCAGGCAGTGAGGGTGTGTTCACCGGTACATAGCAAGATTATCCATTATCTGACAAGCACAGCCACTACCATGAGGGCTCACTGCCCATCTAGCAAGGACGGACGGCTGTGCGGGTGAAGGAATATCGCCAATGTGGCCGTGGCCTCCGGACATCCAGAGCGGTTCAGGCACTGCGCTTGGCAGATGACGATCGTCTCATTCGCGGATCGCCTGTTGCAGGACGGAGCCGATGACATCGACCGACCCTGCACAGCGGCCCACGACTACTAAGTATCTTCGTGTTCGCAACCACTCTTCGCCTGGCCAGATCTGTGCCTCGTGAAACGTGATCAGAACCTATTCGCCCTTACTCCGCACACTCTAATCTTCTTATCTTCCATACACATTCCTGTCGTTTGGTCGACCCCCTCTCGATCCAGCCCCTTCCCTCCCTTATCATTTGCTTGGACCCTTCTTTCCGCATACCTTGACAGATCACCCTCGAATACCCTCACAATGGATCTCTGCGGCCGTCAAAAGGTGGTTCGGCGTAAGATGGTGCTACTGTCAGTTTGTCCGAGCCTTGGCAATAACGCTCGATGGCCAGAATGCTGATTCCTAGATAAGAGGGGACGGCGCTTGCGGCAAGACCTCCGCTCTGAACGTCTTCACCAGAGGGTGGGCACCTCCTGTTTTCCCCCTTGGATTCCAAGTCAGCTAACGTTTTGGGTCAGATACTTTCCAACCGTTTAGTGAGCATGGCCTTCTCTTAACGCTACTATCATAGTTCGATTTTAACGTTTGAAACCTACCCAGTGAGCCTACTGTATTTGGTGCGCATGTGCTTCCTCGGTCCATGATAACTATCATACTAACTGTTGAGTTTGCTAGAAAACTATGTGCATGGTACTCCCTCCTCCCCATACAGACCGGTTCCGCATGCTCATGTTCACCTAAGATATCTTCGTGGACAGTGTCCACATGGAATTGTCGCTGTGGGATACCGCTGGCCAGGAAGAATTTGACCGATTGCGTGCGCTATCATATGAGGACACACATGTGATTATGCTTTGTTTTAGCGTGAGGACTGACGCTCCTTGAGGGCTGGACATGATGTTGACTTGTACTAGGTTGACAGTCGGGATTCGTTTGAGAACGTGGCGAGCAAATGGATCGAAGAGATCTCGGAGAACTGCCCCAGCGTCAAACTGGTGCTCACTGCCCTCAAGTGTGACTTGAGGAAGGACGAGTTCCTCAATGACAACCCGAATGCGATAACTTACGAAGAAGGACTAGCAAAGGCAAAGGAAATCGGAGCAGTGAAATACTTGGGTAGGGACTCTATACCCTGTGATGTCATTTCCATGACCGTTCCTGACAGACATCTTGCAGAGTGCTCCGCCGTACAAAATCGTGGCATCATGGAGACATTCTACGAAGCAGCAAAAGTCGCCCTGGAAGTCAAAGCCCAGGGCTCTAACGGATCCGGGGAACGATGTGTCATTCTTTGAACCCCGCTGGCCGATTTTTTTGACCTTCGATCGTCGCATTGCTCTGTTTCTATACCCTTCTTGACATGCTTGTTCTTCAGCCGCTGAACTGGATCATTTGCTGTGAACATTCCAACCTGGGAAATACTTGGGTCTTCCACCACAGGCATCGAGGTACCATGCTTCTGGGCGTTCCAGCCTGTCATATTCACCCTCCGTTCGCTTCTCTATATATACTTGCTGCACCCTTTTTGTAATCCTGTATACCTAATGTTTGCTTTGAATCCGTCCTCCAGAAAAGCGCGCCAGTCGGAACCGTTGTGGCTGCACTATCTTTATTCAATTGCTCGCTCTGGCCGATCTTAGCATCGATGATTTTGGTATAGACCATGCAAATGTACCATTCATAATGAACCATCTTGGCTGCTCATAGTCACAATTTCCGTGCAGTGTTTAGGGTACCCCGACTCACTGTACAACCAATGTACAGCCTGTATCACCTACACGGGTAAACCATCCTACTCCCGAAGCAAATCCTCTTCTGTCACACTATACACCTCCTCAATCTTCTCCCCTCTGGCCCCCTCCCCACACGCAAAATCCGCATTCACCCTCCCAACAAACGCCCCCACAAACCGCCCAGCAACCTCCTCCACCTCCACCCCCTCCACCCCGACGCCCCGCAAACTCGTCGCCTCCCTCCCCTCCAACCCACACGCCACAATCTGCCGAAACCACCACATCGGCTCGTCCGTCACATTCAACCCAATCCCATAGCTGCTGATGTGTCTCCGCAAATGCACCCCCACCGCCGTAATCTTCCTCGGCAACTCCCCTTCTCCCTCTTCTCCCTCCTTGCCAGGAGGCTGCACCCACACCCCCGGATCCTCCGTCACCATTCCCCGTACCCCATACCCCTTTAACACCTCAATCACACTATTCTCCAATAGCCGGATATGGCATCGCGGGGTGAGTCCAAGTCGTCGGAGATCGAGAATCGTGTATGCGACCATTTGTCCGGGGCCATGGTAAGTCGTTTGTCCGCCGCGCAGGGTGGGATGGTATTCTGCAACTTTGGTTGCGGGTGGGGAAGAGGTTGTGCGCGGTGGGATTAGGAGAGAGCGAATTGGTTCTAGGGACGGAGGCAGGGAAAGATTGCCGTTGTTGGAGGGGTGGCTGGTGTTGGAGGGTGGGAGGTCGCGGCGTCCCGTTGTGTAGACGGGGTTCGGGGTGAAGGTTATGATGGTTGGGTCTGGAGGGTTTGGGGTGAGGTTCTTTTTGTGTGAGAGGAGGCGGCTGGTGAGCGTTTGTTGGAGGTTGGCGACTCGGGTGAAGGAGGTTATGTCAGGGTAGTGGATGTGGGCGAGGCGCATTTTGATGGTGGTGGTGGTTATTGGCGTTGGTGTATTTGCATTGTATGTAAGAGGGGATTGGGGTGGTGGCTGGTGTGGAATTGGGTTGGAGGGAATTGTAGAGGAATTGAGTTGAGTATTGTTGGTGGTAGCTTTTGTCCGATAAGATTCAACGTCACCGCGGAGCTCCCGGATCATGTGATGATGAACGCAATCTGGATCTCAGTTTCGTGCTTGCATCCCGGAGCTTAATTTTAACTTGACTTTGCATGCAGCTTTCAATTCTATGTACAGCAGTGGATACTTCCAAATTCGTCCGGAGGCATGACTACCAGATCATGTCCGCAGAAATCTCCAGAAACCCGGTACGCCGAAAGACCCCGATGACTGAACATAGGCATTTTGTAAGCGCCCGAGCATCTGCTTGCAATCTCCCAAATCGGCAAGTCCACTCCCGGGCGATGATATACAGGGTAGCACAAACTCCAGTAAGGACTATGCGGACGGTACGCCGTTAACCAAAGTCTCTTGCGATTCTTCTCCCTCCAAAACCAGCTGCCAATCCTTCACGCCGCCCTTCCAGTCTGCAATGCGGCCCTCGCGCACACGAACGACCACGACGCGAACATCGCTATCAATAGAGACACTGGCTCGTCTTTGGCCCTGCTCCTGCTGCTGCTGTCCGAAAGTGCCAATCTCTTCCTCGAAGGTGTTGTTTTCCAAGTGCTGCTTCTTGCACCACGCTTCCTCATCAGAACCAGACTCCAGGAACCGGGCAGTACCGGTAATGGTGGTGGAAATACTAGACAGTGCACTTGTGTTCAGGTTCAAAAGCAGGCTTGCCAATGAGGACCGTGTCGCAGCAGGCGGAGGAGACCCTTCGCGACCACCGGGATTGGGAGCCCGGGTAGGCGGACGGTGCGAAACCCAGTCGTGGACCAGAAGGGACACACGAGGGTTGGTCAGCAAATGATTGGTTTTGCGAGAAGAGGGGTTGGTGGTCATGATAATCATGGGATACGGGTCATAGGGAGTCGAGGGAAGGTAGGTGTAGGACATGAGCGAAATGTGCGGGGTTAGGCCATCACATGTTGCGAGATGAAGCTAACAGAGTGCAAAATTAGCTGCCAAGGACAGGAGTATAGCATGGGATGAATGCCATCGCAGTACTCACGAATCGCGAATTCTTGAGACTCGAGATCACCTCCGTTGGAAGGGTGGTCCCGACATGCGGATGGGTTGTTGAGGCAGAGGCCTCGTAAGAAAGCGGGGGGTTCATAGAATCCGCCATGGTGCAGGATATCAGAGATATTTCGTTCAGAGCCGAGGTACAGATGGAATTGACGTCAAATGCAACAATCACAGTCTGGACTCTGTTTGAGTCTAAGGAGCTTGTAGCACAGTGGCAGAGGGACAGCAGCAGTGGCGGGCCTGGAGGGGGCGGCCCGGAACAAGAGGCGCTACCGCTTTGGGTTGAAATCCCTAGACTCCTTTGGGACTGGCATATCGAGCCCGGACCACCGAGCGGCTTGCCGTGGATTACATAAGGCCATGCTCCGTCCACGACGTCATCGGTGCTGGGAGCTACGCTTGTGTTGTGATGATTGTTTTGCAAGCCCCTGTGCATGATAGTATGGGTGATTCTCTACCATTTACCAATAGGATTGGATACGGCACTGGAGCGCTCTCCCGCCGGTTATCAGGCCTGTCTGTAGCCGTGAGCGCGGAGGAAAGGAAGACCGCTTTCGTCATAGGCTGGGAGCTGCAGCACTACTAGGCAGTGATGATCGGCCTCGACAGAAGAATGGACAAATCACGAGGAATGTCTCTCTCGGGGGGGCTACACCTCATCCGCAGCAGCAGGACGTGTATCGGCATGATGAATTAGTACACTAGGGCTGGAATTGGTGCTCGGGCCCTATATAAGGCAGGCCCCAGCTGTACATGGTTGCTGGGAACAGCACAGCCTACCTACCAGACTGTCCAGACAGGTCTTCAGGCTTTTTCCCCGCACTCTGTTAGCTTAGCAAGTGACGACTTTCCCCAGCTTCCACAACGCGGTCCGGAGGTACCTCCAGCTGTCCTCCCTCCCTCCCTCTCTCTCTTTTCTCCCATCCCGTTTCTCTCCCACCATTGGCTCTGTTTAATTGTCACCCAATATACCAGACATCCGTCAGCCTTAACCGACAACCCGCCATTGGGGATTATTTCTTCTCCGCCCGACAATTCGACCCTCCTCTTTGCTGATCCTGGCTCTCAAAGCTTGCTACCTGACTAGTTCCGTGGACTCCTGCTGCAGTGCTCCTTCCTTTTAGCCGTCGGTCAGGTCATTCATCGCGTGTCTACCTCCCTCTGCCATCCCTGCCCTTACCTGCTGTCTCAGCTTTTTCCCCTCTCTCTGTCGAACCCCCTCTTCTCTGTGTCGCCTTCACAACCTCGGCGCCGTGGTTGGGCTCCCGTGTTGCTGTCATTTCGGCACCCAGCACTCTTCTTCACCCACGCCGTTTCCCCCAACCACTATTTCTTTTTATCTGGGAGCTCCTCCTCCTTTGTCACCTGTCCCCAAATAGCATCTACATCTGTATAGCTACCTACTGAATCATGCTCGCCCCACGCTTGTTCCGGCCAGCGTCTTCGCTGGTTCGCCCCTTCAGTTCCTCTGCCACTGCCTACCGCGCTCCCTCTATCCGTGACATCACGCCCGAATCGGCTACTGAGTTTAACGCACGTCAAAAGGAGTTCCGCGAGAATCTGGAGGTGGCTCGCAAGAAGAGAGAACAGCAAGAGAGTCAGTCTGTCGATGCTTCTGGTTCTACTGCCTCATCCCCTGCATCCCGTGACCGCCCTCGTGAGTATGCTACCGCTCCCACTGCTCCACATGAGAGCAATGCGAGCAGTAACAGGAACCCTATGTTTGATGCCGCTGGAGTTCTTGATCACAAGGCTTTGGGCTCACTTTCTACCCACCGTATTATAGGAGACGAGCAGCTGCACGAAGCCAGTCAGTCTCCGAAGCGCGGCCCCCTGTCGTCGCTCATCTACGGAACGAAGGAAGGCCAGCAACTGGACAAAGATATCGAGCGGTCGTTTTCGCAGGTCCTCGCCCGTGGAAAATACGTACATTCGATCGTTTTTCATGATGTGAAGCCCGACAAAGTCGACGATTATGTCAATCTCGTTGGCCAGTGGTATCCGCGCATGGCGTCCGACCCAGAGAACCGGGTGAACTTGGTTGGAAGCTGGCGCACACAGGTTGGAGACAATGACACCTTTGGTACTTAATTTGAAACGCGCCCAATTCCCCTCTTCCGGTGGCAGTTGGCCTGCCTCCCAGGCCTCGGTGCTGACCGTTTTTGCAGTTCATATCTGGGAATATCAGCGATACGAAGGCTACCATGCTTCCCTGCACAACATCTCCAGCCATCCTGAGTTCCCCGATTTTGACCGGAAATTGAAGAGTTTGATCAAAAGCAAGAGGACATCGTTGATGCAGGAATTTTCCTTCTGGCCAACGACTCCCCCGCGGCGCCTGGGTGGTCTCTTCGAGCTTCGATCGTACACTCTTCACCCCGGAAACCTTTTGGAATGGGAGACACACTGGAGACGCGGCCTCAAAGCCCGCCGGGAAGTCATGGAGGGTGTCGGGGCGTGGTTCGTTCAGATTGGGGAGTTGAACACTGTGCACCATCTCTGGCAGTTTGCGAATCTCGAAGAGCGTAAAGTTCGTCGAGAGCAGTCCTGGGGCATCGAAGGCTGGGCGGAGACCGTGCACAAGACGGTCCCGCTTATCCAGACCATGCAAAGCCGGATTTTGATCCCTATGCCATGGAGCCCTGTTGGTTAAGGCCAGCCGCGGTCACATGGTAACGATCACGGGGCAAGCCGTGCCCAGGCATCCAGAGCCAAGCCTGACTTATGTTCCCCAACGATCCGAGCGCCATGAACAGAGAGAGCAAAGGGGATATACAAGAGCCGGATGGAACATGGAACCACTCGGCCTCTCTATTGTTGCACTATACCGAGTCTCAGGAACCTTGGGCCCTGGTGTACTCCGTACACTGTCCACTGTTTCTCACCTGAGCCGGCCCTAGTACCATTCGTGTATCGTATCTAGCATAGCACATGTTCAAAGTGTTCCGTGCTGTATCTATTATCTTTCGTTGTTATTTGTGAAGGCCAAAATCCCCAGCCACCGAAAACAAAGTTGATCCATGGTCCCGCTTGACTGTTCTAGCGTCTCCCCGCTTTGTAGTCGACTAAATCCATTCCCGTCATCGCCAGCTGCCTCGGTCCTCGCCAGACTCAGCAGACTGGCTGCTCGGTTGCTGGCCACCCCACTTGTCCCACGACGATCAGAGCCGGGCTGCACTGGTAGAAAAGAGGAGACTCTCCGTCCGAGGCAAGCCAGCAAATGAGAGGCACGCCTGCACGTGCGCATCCCGTGTTAACCCACACCGTCCTTCGAAGATGTGCGGTGGGATTCTTTGCAGCGCCTGAAGCAGTCAAGGCTCTTGGGCCTTTGGCTGCCGAGAGCGACTGGTTGGCTTGGGTGGCTTTGGTCCCCGCGTCCGCCCTCTGTAGCGTTGGTTCCGCCGGCAGAAAAAAAAAAGTTCTTAGAAAATTCAAGGCCTGGAAGAAGACAGACATCAACAACCAGTGCCCACTATCCTCATCGCGTCTTTTTTGTCTTTTTTTTTTTTTTCCTTTTCCTCTTCTTTTCTGCTTCTTCTTTTTGTTTCCTTTTCCCACTTCATCTTTAACTTCAAGCAGCCCTTCGCCGCCAAAAGATTTCGTTCACCTTTCCGGCCCTTGTTTCCCCCGTTTCCGCGCGGCATTGGCAATTCTGGCGTCAACCTGAGTCCGCCACCGGCTTGGCTTTCCTCGCGTGTAAAGCAAAGAAACAGCATCCATCCAAAGCACATTGACTACCTGAATTCTTTGGCCGTATTCCTCCCTGTAACTCAGGCGCTTCTGACACACCAGCAAGATGGTGTACATCCGGCAGGAACAACTGCCCAAGTTGCGCGAGTACCGTTATGCAGGCATCGATCTGTCGCTTGTTAGCCGATATGTCCTCAAGCCGTTCTATAATGACTTTGTGATCAAGTTCTTCCCCATGAGCATGGCGTAAGTGGCGAGCTGGCTTGATTCATCTTTAATGTCCCCTCTGGCTAACAGCCTTGTTCGCCGGCCTTAGTCCTAACGCCGTAAGTCTCTAGTCCTGACGGGAAACGAAGCCTATAACTGAGGACTGGTAGATCACCCTGACTGGGTTCTTCTTCGTGGTAGTCAACTTCTTCACCATCTTATGGTACAACCCGACCCTAGACCAGGATTGCCCGTCCTGGGTCTATGCCAGTTGCGCCATCGGGTTGTTCCTATACCAGACGTTTGACGGCGTAGACGGCATCCAAGCGTACGAACTGCCCCTTGCGCCCCTTGATACTCTGTTGACTGGTAGACTGGATGCTAAATCGATCCTGCAGGCGGAGAACCAAGCAGAGCGGTCCTCTGGGTGAGCTGTTTGACCACAGTAAGTTAATAGACCGGACTTAAGACTTAGCTTGCTCGGAAATTTAAGTCGCATTAGGTGTCGACGCGTGCAACACGGCTTTGGGTGTCTTGATCTTCGCCGCTGCGATGAACCTCGGCCAGTCTTGGGCAACTCTGTTGACCCTTTTCGGATGTACGTGGCTCTTCCAGCAGAAGCATGAGCCTTGGAAATGCTGATAAGATGTAGCTACCATGACGTTCTATGTTCAGACCTGGGATGAATATTACACCCAGGTGCTGACCTTGGGAGTCATTTCCGGTCCCGTTGAGGGAGTTCTCACACTCTGCGTTGTCTTTGGCTTTACGGCCTTTATTGGCGGCGGCAGCTTCTGGCATCGCTCCATGCTCGAGACTATTGGCGTCCCTAAGATGGCCTTCCTGCCAGACAACATCTACGACATGGCCTTTACGCAATGGTATCTGGTCTACGGTGGAATCCTCCTCTTCTTCGCCACCGGCTCTAGCATTGTGCATGTCATGCAGGTGCGCTGCGAGCGTAAGCAGGACCCTATCAAGCCTTTGTACGGTCTGCTTCCCCTTGTCGCGGTGTGGACTCTTGTGCCAGCCTATCTCTACCTGCAGCCGACCATCTTGGAGAACTACATGGTTCCGTTCTGCCTGTACGTTGGCATGATCAATGCCTACGCCGTGGGCAGGATGATCTGTGCGCACCTGGTCAAAGCCAGCTTCCCTTACTTCAACATGCTTCTGATTCCTCTTGCTTTGGCGGTGCTCGACAGCGCCGGGGCGACGTTTGGTTTTTGGTCCAGCCTGCTGGGCGATGGCGAGAGGCAGGTTGCGTTTATCTGGGTGTGCCTTGGTCTGTCTGTTGGTATCTATGGCAGCTTCGTGGTAAGTCTGACCGATCAGGTTTCGTGGCAAAGCGCTAATCGCAAGCAGCATGACATCATCACGACGATATGCGACTATATCGACATCTGGTGCTTGACGATCAAACACCCTCATGTGGAGGTGGTAGCCGCTAACGGAGAGGCGAAGAAATCGAACTAATGCGGTCGCAATCGAGGACGGTGTCGTATGAGAGATGAGTTACGTGGGGGAAGTCCGAGTCGCATCATATGGAGGGTTAATTGGACGGAGCAGCCGTTCGTGGATTCCCGCATTGCGTACTATCGGGAACATTGGAAGAAAGGCGAGGAGTCCGGTGTCGGAATGGCAGGCACATGCCACCGGACAGGAACGTATGTCATGTCCGAATCTAGTCAGTAGCGTATTGGATTAGCGATAGAAATGTACTTGTATGAGCTTAGCACGTGGTGGCAACAGAGGTGTACACATGAGTAAGGAGTGAAGGAAGAGCTCCGTCGCAGAAGGACCTTGGAGCATCTAGCAGCATCTGGAGGCTGAGATAAGCGGGCGGTGATTGGCGGAAAAGCGGCCAGCCACGGGGGGCACTGCCGGGCCGTGGCAAAAGTGCTTGTTCGGGCAGTATTAGCGAGAGGGCTGCAACCCTATGCGCCCCAAACGGGCCGCCCTGGGTGACGCCGTCGAGAATTCCCTTCAGCGCTCGCCATCTCCACGAGACCACCTTTTCACCCTCAAGCAGGCCATCTCCATCAGCGCTTCATTCAACTCCCTTCGCTGATCGACTCTTTGTCTCGTCAAGATGGTAGGTTCTGCCCTTCGACACCCCCCATCCCAGCCTATTCCGAATATACCCTCTACATGCTTGTATCGACTGGCACACGCCGCTAGCCATCTGTGTTCCCCGTCGCCATCGCCATCCCGTCGCCGCAGGATCCCTCCAAATTTTTGTCGAAAAATGTTGAGCTGACGGACTTCCCCCTCGAATAGGTTCTCGCGGTCGACCTCCTCAACCCCACGCCTCAGGCTGAGGCCCGCAAGCACAAGCTCAAGGTATGAAACATCTGGATCGGATATCAAAATGATAAGGGATGCGGTTGGCTGATACTGGTGTCTCAACAGACTCTTGTGCCTGCCCCCCGTTCCTTCTTCATGGACGTCAAGTGCCCCGGCTGCTTCACCATCACCACCGTCTTCTCCCACGCCCAGACCGTCGTCGTCTGCGCTGGCTGCTCGACCGTCCTCTGCCAGCCCACCGGTGGTAAGGCCCGTCTCACTGAGGGCTGCTCTTTCCGCCGCAAGTAAACGTCTCGACGCGACCGTGCCGGAGCGATGATGAAAGCAATGTGGCGTTCTTCAATGATGATGGATTAATATATCTCGTTTTTCTGAGGAAACAGATTCAGATAGAAGATGGAATCCTCGCCCCTTGCGAGAAGCCCTGCGGAACCACAGACAAGGGAAATGAAAAAATTTTGACCAGGCACACAACCCGTTGATACACATCCAAAAAAGCGTTTCTTCTTTCTTCCTACTTCGCGCAGGGGAGTTCCGGATATCTGGCATATGATCGGTCCATACTACCAAACTACACTTGCCTTGATCTCTGATTTCGCTTTTTGCTTTTCGCCTCTGCGTTGTGTGTTCCGTGTACCTACGATGTACTTCGACAGGGCACGATGGGATGACACAACGCCCCAGTCACGTCTACCTGAGCTTTGCCGGTTGCCGCAGGAATTCGGATGTTGCGGAGCGAGAGATTCCATCCATCGTCGACGAAGATGAATGATGGCGGAGCCGGCATTGCTTGAAGTGGCGTGACTGGGCTGCAAGGTCGGATTATCAGCCTGAAAAGGACGGTGCCGGCGCTGTGGAGTTGTGATACCCTCGTGCAGTAGCAATCGTATGCTTATTTGGTCAGTATGGACATTGTAGGTTGTACATGTAGGCCCCTGGACCTTCGGAGATGTGGCTCCGCTATCTCCGCAATCTGCGTAGCCTGTAGCCCTACAGAAGCTGGGGTCAGTCTGTGACACTTGCATCTAGACCATTTCTGGCATTCCCTATCCCCTGCTTAACAATGGCATTATAGCCGCCATCCACTTGCCCATCCGTTTGCCCATACGAGATCGAATGTATCGGCGACAGCACTCACGGACAACGCCAATACCCCAAAATGGTAGATACACCCCAGATGAACCAGAAACCTTTATTCCCTTGACCCCTTTATCCCCATCCACTCTGAACCCAGACGCCCCCGACCCTAGGCTCAATCGATACCCCGACAAACCACCACCACCACCACCCGCTTATCTTATCTGCTCCTCTCCCACTAGTACATTTTCTCTCCCCGACATCTTCACCAATTCCTCCTCTTACACCCTTATTCTTCTCTTTTCCTCTCTACTACACCAACTAAACATACTACACAACTACACCCTCCTCAACAAACACCCCTCAACACCCACACCCACACCCACACCAATACCAACCCCCCCAAACCATGCCGCCACTAAAACTCCTCTGCCTCCACGGCTACACGCAATCCGGCCCCCTCTTCCACGCCAAATCCCGCGCCGTGATCAAACACCTCACCAAGGCCCTCCTCCCCACCCACGCCGTAACAACCACCTACCCAACCGGTCCTATCCACCTCCTTCCCTCTGACATCCCAGGCTACGACCCTTCCTCCTCCACCTCCTCCGACGAAACCTCCACAGACTCCTACGGCTGGTTCCGCCGCCACTCAACCCTCAACCCACCCCTCTACACAGACCTCTCCCTGGGTCTCGAAACCATCGCCCAGACAATCCTATCCGAGGGTCCCTTTGACGGCGTAATCGGATTCTCGCAAGGTGCTGCAATGGCCGCCATCGTGGCGTCGCTTCTCGAACCGGGACGAGAGGAATCTGTTTCCCGGTTTTTGGATCCGAAGGTGGCGTGTGCGGGGACGGAGTTTGAGGGAGTGGCGGGGTTTGAGGTGCCCCGGGTTTGGTGGGAGGAGGTGCGAAAGGTACAGCCGGAGTTGAAGTTCGCGGTGTGTTATAGTGGGTTTAGGGCGCCGGGGCCGAGGTATAGGGGCTTTTATGAGCCGGGGGTTAGGACGCCGGTTTTGCATGTGTTGGGGTCGTTGGATGCGGTGGTGGAGGAGGCGAGGAGTAGGGCGTTGATTGAGGCTTGTCAGGAGGAGGGGGAGAAGGTGAAAGGGATGGTGGTGGCGCATCCGGGAGGGCATTTTGTGCCGGCGCAGAGGCCGTATTTGGATGCTGTGGTGGGGTTTGTGAGGGATGTGTTGGAGGGGGAGAAGAAGGGAGAGGTGGTGGAGGAGGATGTGAATGATATGGATTTGCCGTTTTGATGGGGGTGGGTGATGTAAATACGGAGTAGACGGAGGATAGACTAGATTTCATAGACCATACATTGAGTTCGACTTCATCAGTTGTTCCGTTCCATTCTACTGTCGTCAGTGTACGTTTGCTATCCACATACATACAGGCTCTAACGAGCCTTGCCCTTCTCACCACGAGAGGGCAGGATCCGCGCCATCATCTCCTCCTTCGTGATGAGGTGGTCGATCCGCTCCAGGAGCCCCAAGAGGCTCTTCATGTCGCTGCTCCATTCGTTCAGCACATCATCCGCATCGCGCGGCTTGGCGAAGTTGACCAGCCGTGCCGGACGGTCGATCTTCGCGTAGATCGTCTTCGAACACACCAGCTCGCTGATGTACTTCTCCGTCTCCTCCTCCGTCAGGTCCAGCAGCTGTGTCAGCCGCCCCATCTGGATGCGCGTGTAGTACTTGGCCACCACTCGCACATTGTGCTCGATCACCCGCTTGCGGAGGTCCTGCCACCTCCGGTGCGGCTGGTCCTCTGCCGACTGGCTAGCCTGAGCGCTGAAGACGTCCGTGTTGCAGAGGTGGGGGCCGAACTGCTCTCCCACCATCGGCCAGCGCATCAGCTCGTGGATGGTGAAGAGCTTGACAAGGCGGCCTTCGACAGGGACCAAGGAGAGCCGCGAGTCCTGTTGGATGCGGTGCAACAGATCAGACTGTTCGTTGTCGTAGGGGGACAGGACGATGTAGTAGACAATCCGGGCAAGAACCTGATACCATGTTAGTCTGAAGACATGCCCACTATCGGCGAGGAAATCTTACTGCGCGCAGTTGCTCCGGATTGCTCTCCACCGACTCCGTATCCAAGACCTCCCGATAATGTTTGCAGACATCGAGATACTTGTAGTCATGGTTGGCGAGAATGATCTGTTGTTCGTAGTAGCGAAGCTTCAGGTCGGTCACGTCGTCATCAACCTCCATCGGTGCCTCTTCCGGTCCACGCGTCTTCTCCTTCTCTTCGGCCTCCTTCTTCAACTTCTCGATTTCCTCGGCGCTCTTCTTCGGCTTGCGGGAAAAGTATCTCTTGTTGATCTTGCGGCTGAGGATGGTGGCCTGTGTCCAGTCGCCCCGTTCTATGCATAGGGCAACCTGCTCCAAGATGAATTCTGTCTTCTCCCGTCTGGTCATAGATCCAAATGTCTCGACCTGCAACTCGCAGAGGATATCGGCGGCGGCGTTCAGGTCGCCCTGGGACTTTTTGATGTTGGAAAGGATGCGGGTCACGCGAGCTCTCTCGACTTCGACGAAGATCTATACACAAGCGCATCAGCAGGATGTCGGGCTGGACGGGTGTTTATCGCACTGACCTTTCCTTCGGTCACAGTCCGCAGCGTGTTAATGGCGGACAGTTTGACCTCCATGTTGGGCGTCTCCTCCAAGAATCCCATCACCACCTGGACCATCTTCGTTACGGCTTGCTTGAGCTGGCCATGCTTCTTGGATAGCAGGAGCACTTGGTCGTTTAGGAGGTTCCAGTCACCCGAGTTCTTGCTGATTGTGACGATGGTAATAAGGAGACGGGATGTCGTGGCAAGATCCGAGGCCTATAGCGTGGGTCAGAATTGCGTTATCGCCAGATGGACGGAAGGGCCGTACTTGTCTTGCCTGCTTCTCCAACACGAGGAGCTTGTCAATGGCACCCTGCACATCGCTCTGTAGCCAGTCAGTAGGTTGCATTCGCTAGAGGGCTCTCAGAAGCGTCTACCTTGGCAAGCTGTTCTGCCTCTGGGATCAGCTTGTCAGCATCCTTGGAGAAGTCCTTCTCCGGCTTGAGCAGGGTCTCGGACATGGTGACGAGGGAGCGTCACAGCTGGAGTATGGGCTGAAATTAGACGGGGATGTATCTGGAATTATTTCGAGAGTGATACAAAAGAAAGGAGGACGGTCGCAAGAGGATGGGGGTATGGGGAAGTGATGGAGATTGGAGACATGGGCTGGATCGGAGCTCTGACGTGCAGCTCGAGTGGCGGCAGTTGTGTCACGTGACCGTCATCGCCGCAGCACTTCCGGCCATCTCCTCCATCGGTACTTCTTCAATAGTTCACGCATCATATTCGCCATAACCACTCTCTCGGATGATGCCTCTAATCTATGACCGATGCTTTCAGTCATTGGCTGGTCCTACCAAGTTTTCCAATGAAAGATCACATGAGACCATATCCGGAATGAAATAACACATTGATAATGACAAAGTGTCATGAAGTGGAAATGCTCACTATCTATGCAATCTATCCAAGTACACAGAAGCGAGACTATTCAACTGAGTACAATAAGTAACAGAACAGCTCTGGCAAGCTGGCTGAGCCAAGGTGCGAGAGTCGGGTGATTATCCTGACAGTCGAGTCTCACCCTTGGCAGAGGCAGCTTTTCATTAAAAGTGTCACCTTACTATGTATTCTGCTTTTCTCCCCTCGACCTTTCTACCATAACAATAACACTAACGTAATCGGTAAGCGAGTGGCCACCCGCGTTCCGAAAACACGCGTTTTTTCAACCACAAAGCATTGAATCCGCGATATCACCACCGAAAAATGTCCAAATCGTTAAAAAACGGTGTTGAACAAGAGGGCCGGATCGTCCTCGCAATTGAAGCTTTAAAAAATGGCGATACTCCTAACGTGGCCCAAGCAGCCCGCGATTTTGAAGTTCGTTGATCAACTCTCCGGCATCATCTGCAGGAAATCAAATCGCGTACAGAAATACGTGCAAATTCATTAAAATTGACTCCTGCAGAGGAGGAAGCCTTAAAGAAATGGATAATTTCTTTGGATCAGCGAGGCCTTCCACCCAGGCCTTCATACATTCGTATAATGGCTACTCTCTTAATCCAAAAGCGTGATTTGAACTACCGTACAGATATAGGAGAGAAATGGGTATATAACTTTATCAAAAGATATGATACTTTAAAGTCTCGTTTTTCCCGCTGTTATAATTATCAGCGCGCTCGCTGCGAGGATCTAAAGATGATCAGCAAGTGGTTCTCTCATATTTAAGCTGCTATATCAGAGTACGGCATCGTAAATAAAGATATCTACAACTTTGATAAAACTAGATTTACTATGGGAATGGTGTTTACTGCGCGTGTTATTACCAGATCTGACTGTATTGAAAGACTGTTCTTTATACAGCCTGGAAATCGCGAGTAGATAATATCAATTAAATATATTAATGCAGCTGGCTGGGCCTTACCTCTGTTTGTGATTCTTAAAGGCAAGGTTTATATATAGTTATGGTATTAAGATAGAAAGTTACTTTCTAATTAGAAACTTCATATATTACTGAATGGATAGACTACTAATAAAATAGGCCTTTTTTAGCTGCGTAAACACTTTATTCCATTTATCCAAAGCTGAAGAACTGGGAAATATAGCCTCCTAATACTCAACAGCCATGACTCCCATTTAATGCCTGAATTTAATAAAATCTGTAATCAAAATAATATTATTTCTGTCTGTATGCCTCCGCACTTCTCATACTTGTATCAATTGTTAAATGTTACATGTTTTTTTGCTATTAAAACAGGTATATAGTGGGTTGATTGAGAAGTTAATCCGCGCGGGAATCTACAAAGTTGATAAGAAGAATTTCTTGGATATATATCCAGATGCTCGATTATTCGCTTTCAAAAAAGCAACTATACAGAGTGCTTTTCGCGCCGCAGGAATAGTGCTTTTCTTACCTACCAAGGTGGCTAACCAGCTTGTTTACTGCCTTCGTGATACTACCCCCCCCCCCAGCCGGCTAAGTACAGCTTCAACGATATCAAAGACTCCTAATAACGTGAGACAATTAAAGAAGCATGAATCTACTATCAAAAAGGTGCTTCGCGAGCTCTCGAAAAGCCTGTCTACACTAATAAAGACTGCTTTATCATATATAATAAAAGGCTGTGAGATTGCAATTAATCAGACAACCCTTCTTGAAGCCGAAAATCGCCAACTCCGAGAGGGAAAAGAGCACCAAGAAAGAAAGAAGAAAAGGAGTCATCGCTAAATGACTGGTCTTGACGGTCTCACCGTACAGGAAGCAATTAAGGCTTTTCAACAGCCTCGTCAAGCCGGCGAAGCACCTGGAGGCGAGGTGATCCAGCCGGCTGACTATGAGGAACAACCTCGCCGCCGCGCGCCACCCCGGTGCAGTGATTGTAATCAATTAGGCCATAAACGTACACACTGTCCTACAAGAGAAATCAACTAAAAAAAAACATTTTTAATGACTTCAATATGTTAAAGAACGGCTTCAAAAATGTATGTTGATCGGAATACGCGGGAAGGGTGGCCACTCGCTTACAGTGGCCACTCGCTTACCGATTACGTTAACGTATTTCATAAGCGAGCGGCGCACCTCTCGCATTTTATACGCGACTAAAAATCTCGCTCAAATCAACCACCAACCATGCCTCCAAAAGCGCGTCAAAATTCAAGAAATTTAGCTGAGCAAGAGGGTAGAGCTGTACTAGCTGTTTCTGCTTTAAAAAAATCAGAAATCTCTAGTATTCGTGAAGCAGCTCGCGTATATAATGTCTCTGAAACAACCCTTCGCAGACAATTACGCGGTATATCTTCACGCTCAGAAACACGCGCTAATAGTCATAAATTGACTCAAAATGAAGAGAAATCGCTCGTACAATGGATTCTATCACTAGATCGACGTGGAGCCCCTCCCCGACCGTCCCATATATAAGAAATGGCCAATATTCTACTTACTCAACGCGATACTATCCCAGTTCAATTAGTCAGGGAGAACTGGGTCACCAACTTTATTAAACAACAAGATTATTTGAAAACTCGCTATACTCAACATTATGATTATCAACATGCTAAATGCGAAGATCCTAAGATTATACAAGAGTAGTTTAACTGCATGTAAATCACGATAATACAACACGGGATCGCACAGGAAGATATCTACAATTTTGACGAAACTGGCTTTGCTATAGGCTTAGTAGCTACTGCTCAAGTAGTTACTAAAGCTAACTACTACAGAAAGGCCTCTCTTATACAGCCAGGTAATCAAGAATAGGTTACTTTAATCAAG